AATAACTTGGAGTACTAGAAATAAAGCTCAAAACAATAGAGAGCTGAGCTAGTTGTTAAGCATTAATTTTATAAAGACAGGGCGTGCAAACCCGAACATAAGAAAGAAGTCGCATATTGTTAACACAGTCACAACTTCTTTCCTGTGTCCATGTTCCCACACCCCATCTTTTTAGAATTGATGTGATGCAACTCACGTGGGTCCTAGTGCATTTGCATGAATTCATTATGATGCATAGCCACGCTAAAGTAGTGCTCCGCAGAGTTCAGCCAGAATAAGCCATGTTCACCCTATGGATGGTTCTGTGTCAGTGCGTGAATAACTATACCGTCAAGGACGTGCTGACAATCCGATATGTTCGTCGTGTGGCTGCTCTGAGACACTAAAACACGCCATTTGAGAGTGCCGTAAATTTGTTGTACAGTGAGCACTATTCAAGAAGGACTATGGACTGATTGGACTTAGATGCACGACCCTTGACGATTTCTTGTTCCCAGGATGATGTGCTTCTAGGCTTGACCAGACTCCCAAGGCCCTTTTAACTTTTTTAACGAAAACAGACTTGGCGTCACGTTTATAGACATTTTTCATGTGACTATTTATTCTCTTTTTGCGTGTGGTTTTTTCCTTCTTTTTTTAAACTTTCTTTTCTCTCCTCCTTACTTCCCATATTTCCACCATGCCTCCCCTTCCTGAAGGAGCAGGCAGGCAGTTAGTTGTCAGCCTGTTCCCTCCCTATTTCTTGTCTTTGTGTTTTCTATATACTCAAACCAAATAATAATAATAATAATAATAATAATAATAATAATAATAATAATAATAATAATAATAATAATAATAATAATAATACACAGTAAGCACATTTATAAAATGCCATGCAACCTTTGACAAACCAAAGGCTTATCTACTGACAGTCTTGCACTGCCATGGTTGCTTCATCTACTTCGTATGCACTAAAATTGGGATGGCATAATATGAATGCACGCCGAACATAAACACAAGGTTGAGACATGACCAGCTTCACATTCATGTCATGTACATCATTATCTACATGACAAAATAACGTCATGATGCAATGATTGTTGTTTGATCATTTGCTATATAACATACCAGAACATATAGCTTAGGACGTTCGTGCACACTAAACATGCATGACAGCTCACAACCCAAGTATTCATAAATTATACAAGTGACACTGCAGAGCTGTCGCAATGGTTTCATCAATATGGTTTTTACCAGAACAAAAGTCTGCATGACAAACATGAATCGCTTGTCAATAACCACAAATTGGTTATCTCTTTTTCCAGGACACCTAAATATGGGTGACAAAACATTGATAACATGACGTGAAGAATACGAGGCAGAATGAAGCACTGCTTGATGTTGAATCTATAGCAGTTTTCGTTTTAACAACTCCTAACTGACACCATTCTGTAACGCTACCGTTTGGTTCATGACCTTATAAGGACAGGGTTCAATCTAAGGCACATCCATTGTTTTTATTGTACCGCAAGAGATTTTTAAGCACTTGAAATAAAACACTACAAGGAGAGAAAAATTTTTTGAAACAAGAGGAGCACTGCTCCTTCTGTTTCAAGACATTTTTTTTTTTTGCACCTCAGTCTTCTGCATCAAGTATGAACCACCTTGCCCAAAAACAAGCTTTTTTTAAAAATAATTTCCCCTGCTTGAAATGCAGTGAAAATAACTTTCATGCTTTACAAACACACACATCCTTTATAGATGCTTCACAATACAACGTGAAATATTGCAGTTATAATGCGTGGTACAAGCGCCCATTGCCAACATGTGATTATCATAAAGAATTCGTGGTCTGAAGCCAGTCACCCACTAAAAAAGGTACACACGCTACTGCACACTAAAGGCCACTTAGTGGGTGCATAGCAAATTCGAAAAGGTTTAATGCACTGTTTGAAGTACTCACTAGGAACAAGATATGGTTATCGCGTTCAACTCCTAAAGGCGAAGCTATAGGGGCTCCCCATTTTTTATTTGTGAAAGTTGGTTCTAGTTGCATGCAATACCTTGTACATGTATAAACCTTTTTTTTATAATAGGTAGATATGAATGTCTGTTTGAACACTTGCTATTTTGGGCAAAACAAACCCCATTCAAAGCTTATGAAGGTAATCTCCACACAGTGGAACAGTACAGTAGGAAGAATTGATAATCGAAAGTCTCCAGGCACACATATTCCTGCAGACAAAGAAAGCAGATATTGACACTCCAGAGATAAATTAACCGTTTATTAATATAACTTTAGTGTCATTCACTGTACTCTACACAATGATCACTGAATTAGGAAAAAGGATATCAAAGGTTAAAATGAAACATGACAAAACATTACATGGTGCGTGTGGAATGTTCTCCCTCCATCCACACTTTTCGAACTGATATCCCCTACAGGTGCTCAGTCTACAACTGTACATATAAACTTCAGAAGCGCATCACGCAGCACTTGTTTTTTCAAATAGCTTAACTAGAGTGTGCACATATGCGCAGGCTTCTTGTGTGGACAATTAGCAGTCATTTAACTTAATTGTGTTGCATATTGCTGCAGAGGATCATTTTGCTAGAGACACTACCACATTTGACATGTGGTAGTGTCTATTCACAATGCGCACGGGCCTGTAGGTGGAGGGCCGTGCAATCCAAAATGGCTGCGGCAGGATGATTAACTCGTGAACTCCCATAAGCAAAGATAGGACGCACAGACGTACGCCCCACTGCCGCTTTCACCAGATGAACTCTTGATCGTTGAATGAATATACAGTATATCATACCAAAGTACCCTCCCAAACGATAGGAACTACTTTGCTACCTCATTTTTTGGCGCAGTGCAAAGAGTGGTGGTGTCAGCTGATTGACTGTGCAGCAACAACGCCTTGCGCAATTTTGCACGTGCTACCAAAAACTGCGTGAACTAAAATTGACGTATAAACTAAATGGCACTCCGAGATAATTTGTGCCGGGCCTGCCTGGCGGCTTTGCCACAGTAGTGGGCCACTAACGGGTAGCGCACCGTCGCGGCTGCACAATCGTACTGAATGTTTAACGTACCGATGGTTTGCAAATATATTACGCCGTCATCATTACTTGCGCTGTAAGCAACATGGAATTGCTTCTTCAATGGAACAAAAGCATTCAACTTCCTATTAGGTAGCGCTTGTGTCACAAACTCTAACAGTGCGCAATTCACTGCACTGAGATGTCGCAGGTTCCATCAGCGCAATCACAAGAAAGATATCGGAGCGAATACATGCCTATGCTTTTCGCAACGTTGAAATTGTGAGAATTCGTCGAACAAGAAACAACGTCATTAGGAGAGTACTGGTAAAGTGCAGGAGAAGTTAGCAGAGAGGCGTGGACTGTAGTCGTAGCTGCACATTTCATTGCTCTAACCATTTCGCTTTGCTGGACGAGCTCAAGTGTGTTGGTGGCATGCAGCGCTCCGTAATATCCACTGTAATCGGGCTACATGCAATGCACGAGAGCAACTGCTTTTATTTTGAGCTCACTGAAGAATATCATACAATAAATACAATCAAAGTGACTTGCAAGCATGAAAAAACACTAACCCATGAGGAGACGTGAAGTGCAACTAAGTATTCGTGAGCTAGTAGCTGATTGTTCATTGTCGCTGTCACTCTCGTTGCGTTCTACATCCAGTGAAAAAGCCTATACGTCAAGACAGTTTCTTTGAACAACACTGCTGAAACTAATCTGAGGAACTCACTCTGCCGAACGACTTCGATAATACCAACAACGCGTAACTCACCATGCACAACAGCAACATGACGTAACTCACCACGTTTGAGCGCGGAGAACAATTCACTCCAAGGCCCGGCAAGAAGCGAATCGCTTGCAGTGTGCTGCTATCTATCAACGAACGAAAAAATCAAGCGGCACAGCATAAACTAAGGTTTAAAAGCGCAAATTGGGAGCCTACACTACTTTCTGCGTACTATGAACGTTATGGAATTCATGTACTACAAAAGTCGTGACGAATGCTATATGCATGTAACATAACGCGAGTTTCAACTGCAAAGGTCAGACAATAACATTTAACTGTTCAACGTGGCTGCAAAAAATTTCTTGAAGCTGATATGTGTACTCCGCTGGCCATAATCAAAAGTGTGAGATGTCATGCATTTTTAGGAAAACTTTGCATCTCGCAAGAACGAATCACATTTATCGTGTCATGATTGGTCCAGTATATTCACTGATGCACAAAACATACAAAGTGGTTTGTGTTCGTTTCTTGCTAACGTGTTAACACTGTGGCTAGCACAGTCGAACAAGGGAGCGTCTGCCTACTGATCGTCCCCGAGAGGACACTCCTAAGTCTTGCTAGGCGGCACGACAGTCCATAAACATTGGGAATCGCCAATGTTTTTTGTTGTTGTTTTTTCATTGCTCAAAACAAATACAACCAAGAAACACACTGGGCATGCGTTTTGGACCCACCTTTAAATATTTTTATGCAAGGACTGAAGCTGACTGACTGAAGGATAATTAGGTGTTCAATTACATGCTAATTACTATAATTACCAAACGTTCACAAAACAGCACATTCCTTCATTTTCTTTTTTTAGAATGCAATACTTAGTGCCGTTGAAGCCTGCCATACAAATCTGATGCATATGCAGACTTAATTCCGTGCTAATTAACATTATTACTAAAACTCGCAGAAAACATTCCTTTATTTTTTTCTTGGAATGTAATATGAAGTGCCTTGAAGTCCTGCCAAGCCAATTTGATGCAGTTGCAGAAAGTGCATCATAATTTGCCCCTGAATGGGATATAGGTACTTACAACCTAGAACACGAAGCTTGGTTAGTACTTGAAGAACTGTACCAGTTCTGTCCCAGTTCAATTTGCGCAATTCTTTATGGATGTGAATTACCAACGTGTCCAGCAATCAGTCCTAAAGCTTGTTTAACAAGCATGCAGAAGTGGAACATGCACACGCTCTTTTGCATGATTTGCCTTTATCCATGAATACTGGGCCATGCGCAGGACTGGAAGAGGACGAGCTCTGCCGCCTGCTCTGCCCCAGGGGCCGCCTGGAGCTGCCACGCGAGCCGTACAACGAGGTCTACCCGGGCATCCTACTTGGCGATGGCACAACAGCGCTATGCGTGGGCATGCTGCGACGTCTCGGTGTGACACACGTGCTCAACGCGGCGTGCGGCCGCGACTCCTCTCTCTGCCTGGTCAACACAGGGCCAGCATTGTACCGGGCGGCTGGCATCCGTTTCTTGGGCATCGAGGCATTAGATATGGCCGGATTCCGGCTGGACCATTTCTTCGAAGAAGCCGCAGAGTTCATCGACTCTGCTCTGGCTGAGCCCGGGGGCCGCGTTTACGTTCACTGCCACCAGGGGATCAGCCGCTCGGCAACGTTGGTGATCGCCTTCCTGATGCTGCGTCGACGACTGAGCGCCCGTGAGGCCGTGCGCATCGTGCGCGCACGCCGCGAGATCGTACCCAATCGTGGCTTTCTGCGACAACTCTGCCTGCTCGAACACCGGCTCACGCAAACTGGTGTCCACGCGATGCCAACCAGGCGACCAATTGTGTCAGGTTGCGGCAGTCATCTGCGTTAGAGCGCACAGGTGTCTTTTTAAAGGGACACTAAAAAGAACCAGGATAAGAATAAAATTTTATTATTGCATAAAATCAAGTTATCGCATCTAAGTATACAGAAGCAGGTTCTAGAGTCTAAGCCTGAATTGGGACCTCCTGAACATGGCGAACACGAAAAAAAAAAAAAAAAGTTACAGCACTGACAGGAAGGAATAAAAATTACAATTTGCATTTTAAAATACGTTATTATTTACACTGCAAAGACAGAAAAAAAAATATCAAGACATGTGATGCACTTAAGATAAAATCACAAGGTTTGCACATTAAACCATATTTAAAAAACCTTTACGCCTGTGTCAGATAAATGTAATGTAATGTTGTATTGGTTGATAACGAACTTTTAAATTCTCTGACAAATGACTTGAGTCATACGGCAACAAATTCCATATGAAAAATGCGCTCGAATGGGCAGTTTGTTTACTGTAGTTAGTGTGAAAACAATGAATCAGATTAGATTGATCATTTATACTTGGAGTGCTATAATGTAATTGATTTCACCATTATATGTTCATTAATATAGCAGATAATCAAGGTCAAAGCTTCGTTATCAAATTTCATGCCGAAATATCCATGCGTGGCATTACAGATGTTTTGGCAACTCTGGCAAATAAAATTTTTCTAATATTAGTACACCATGCCTTTGGCCTCCGCAGAGGACAGTGTAGACAGTGTACCTCATTTTTACCGATCATGGACTACGTAGGACTAAGTTGATGCCGCCAAAATCTATGATGTCACAGCCTTTGTTTAGAGAATTTGGAGGTGGCGTCGCTACCAGCACATTCTTTTCGTACGTTTTGTTGTTTACCGAACGCCATCTCACAGTAAGAGTGGTGTTTTCGGTATTGTGAAACTGTATTAGGAGAAAAATAATTTTTGTTTTTAGTGTCCCTTTAAAGAAAAATGCATGTTTGGGCGCATTCTGCAATGCACCGCTGCCAAACAAAAAATAAAGGCACCGTGTTAGCTGCCCTGTGTATGGCCTGAAACGTCACTTTTGGCACTAAGTTAACAAATAATGCAAATTATGCTACTTTTCCTGCTCAATAAGTAATTTATTTAAAGAGAGAGATGCACAGAATGAGCACATAAGGTCTTTGGATAACAACTTTTCTGTTTTTTCATAGGTTAATAACTTAGCAATACCCAAAAATCTTTCTGCTGGACAAATTATTTCTCTATGGAACCTTGTCAAGAGACTGAAGGATTTACAAAATGAAGCAGAGAGTTCATTACACATTATGTGCACAGCCAAGTGTATGTAGAAGGATGCAGCATTACTCAAATCAGTGCTTCCTTTTAGATTGATTGATTTGATATGTGGGGTTTAACATCCCAAAACCTCCATAAGATCATGAGAGACGCCGTAGAGGAGGGTTCCGGAAATTTCGACCACCTGAGGTTTTTTAACGTGGGGTGAGTGCTTCCTTACGCACAGTGCAAGTATGCTCACTCCAGTTGCACAGAGCTCACTTCAATTGCAAGTCAGAAACCACACTAAGAATCCTTGAAACACCAAGATGTAAAATAAAGGTTGCAACGACTTGAAATAAGGTTTGAAGTACCTTACAAAATAAATTCAATTCAACTATATAAAACAGCTACAAAGACATATTTTCGACAAGGTTAGCAGCTTGCCAAAAAATAAAAGTGACATATAGAGATATCTGCTCATAATGTATCGCCTTCTCTTTACTTCGTTAAGACACACCAACAGTGACACCAACATGGACATCTAGATTATTCTCCGGTATGCATTTCTTCCCTGCCTTTTTTCCGGCCTCGATTTCTGATTTCTAATGTATGAATTTCAAGTCAAATTTTCTGTATGAATCGACTGTGTGATAGACATGATGAAACAAAAGATGTTGTAATAACAGGCACACTGCAATAATTTGCCAGCTCTTTTGGGTTGGTGCTATCTTCGCATAATTTAAACCCTCACCTTGACTGCAGTGAGTGAGTGAATGAAGTTTGTAGAATGAACCCAAATCAGCATCATCACTTCGAAGCCTCATTTTGCTTTTTGGAGCAGAATCTGGGGCAGAGAAAATGGTGCTTCAGAGCAGCCTTAAGTGACTTCGGAGCAGAAAAAAATTCTAGTTTACTTAGCTATTGGTGTTTTTGAAGCATATGTATGTTCCTAATGACTCCTGAAGTTTGAAGCATCATTTAAGCATATATATATTTATTACTAAACATGCAGTATGCTAGTATGCAGCTAGTATACAAGCAGTATAGTAGCATCATTGGCGTAAATCATGGTGTTGTCAGGGGGGTCCAGACTTCCCTTGTGTTCAGAATGGGGAGAACAACACTTGGAAGTGTCCCCCTTGAGATTTAGCTTTAGCACATGATATAAGTGAGTCTGTTTATCGTAGTTAGTGTTAAATCAACTTGTTAAAAAATTGTTTATCCTATACTGCATAACTGTGTTAAATGCCCCTCAGCTGTGTGAACTATGGTTAAAAAAAGTTAAAAAAAAACTGAACAGAACAATGCAATTCATCCAACACCATGATTGTTTTGTTTTTCTTAAATTTTGCTTCCAAGCATACCTCAATTCTTATACATATATAAAGTTACAACCCACATTAAAAATAAATAAAATGGCCACCACGGCCTGAATTGAGTCACCCCTTGTGATTTTTTTGGATTTATGCCACTGAGTAGCATACCTGGATGACAATGTATACAGCTTGCTTTTGTTTCGTTTAGGCTCACTGGATATTCACATGGTTCAACTTCATTGTTTTTAGTTTGCTCACACCGTTTAAGAGCAGGTTTGGAGCAGTTGCTAGCAAATATTGCACTTTGCAGCAGCATGGAGCATCATTTCTATATTGGAGCAATTGGAGCAGCACTTCCATCACTGCATTGGTGGCATAGAGATTATTGAGCAGTTTATTCAATGACGACTGGTGCGTTGAATGCCTGGATTCGATTACAGCTACAGCCCTAAATTTTGTGTGACTTTTAATAAGGCCACGTAGGCTTTTGTACAGCACACCACAATTTTGATATGTGGAATTTAACGTCCCAAAACCATCATATGATTATGAGAGATGCCGTAGTGGAGGGCTCCGGTTGACCACCTGAGGTTCTTTAACGTACATTCAAATTTGAATACACGGGCCTACAACATTTCTGCCTCTATCGGAAATGCAGCCGCCGCAGCCGGATTCGATCCCGCGACCTGCGGGTCAGCAGCCGAGTGCCTTGCACTGAATATTCCATTTTACACTGAATGCACTGAATATTCCATTTTACAAAAATAATTCCATACCATGTTGATTTATGTATGTTATACTGACTTATTCTAACTAAACTGTAATTAAATATATATATTTATCCTGAAGTCATTCATGCTCTGTTTTTGTATAAAGTCTAATCTCAAGCTAGAAATAGAGTGCAAATTCATTTTTGGTTATGTTTATTTTGAGCAAAGAAAAACTATCTTTTTGCATTTGCTCACAGGAAGCCACAGGTCAAACTATTGGTCGGACATGGTAGTGCCTTCAGCAATGTGACTATATTACGCAGTACACTGCGAAATGAAATTAAATGACACAATTATCATACAGGAGGTTAAATTGACCAAAGCGTCGATTATCTTGCACCATCTTAGCAACTAGTCAACCCAACTAGAAAAAGCAACTTGTCTTCACAATCGGGTACAAAGCACCTGAAAGGGTTAAAGATATGCAGCCCAGCAAGGTGCTGGAAACTCAGCCGCTCACCAATGCCGCTGTGGTGGCGTCCCAGATGAGGCAACCTACAGAAGCGCAGTGCATCCAACAGGGTCTTGGGCCAGTGGCCCGTGCACTCGGCGAACGCCTGCACCAACAGAGCATGGGTGGCCAATGTGCTAGGGCTCATATAACAGTATGAACCAACTAGTCTATAAACAAGTACTTCAGAAAAGGATACAGCTTCCATTCATCAGAACAACACCACTTTGCGAAAGGCCATGCATAAAACTTAAAATAAGCGACAGCTGAACTAGTTTGCAGGTATTCATTCTTAAAGGAGCACTGAAATCAAATTTCAAGATCAACATGTGCCCATTATTCGATCGCTTGGTCTGCATAGGTCTTCTTGGCCAAATTTGAATGGCAGCCGTCACGTGGAAGTTATTTAAATTTGATGCCAAACAGCGTAGAAAAGCTAAGGAAAAAAATGGAAAATAGACTGCCTTGCAACATCGTCACTAGTGCTACGTGTTCGGTGTGATGCATTCCACAAATACCATCCTCAGTGACGATGCCCCGGTAGTGATGACGTGTACGATCCGAGTGTTCTTTTTGTGGCGCTGAAACGCAAAAATGCACTCGCTCATCGCGTCTGATCTTAGGCGCACCGGTTTGAATGATTTCGTGAAATTATCAAGATAAAAACCACCTTTAAGAGAACAGCGAAAGGAAAGAGCATGATTAAATGTGTGCTTGTTGGTCGACATGTCAGGAAATCGTTGTGAGTTACGGGCGAGTTGCAGTCGCCTAGTTCGAAGCACGCAAAAACGCAATGAGAGTGCCTTTTCATATCACATATGTGTTACACATCAACATGACCACAAGCTATCAAAAGTGGAACAGCGTATACTCAGATATCATCGCTAACAAGTAACATGCAGGTATCATTTAATTTTAGTTCATCTGTAGACTTTGCGTCCACGTAAAAGTGGATATACCGTGTTAACCATGAGAGGCTAGATAGGTGGGGCCACCTGGAGGCGCAAAAAAGAACCTGGCAAGCAGGAAACACATTTTATTTCTTCGCTGATGCTCATTCGTGATAGCTATAATGCACTGACCTCTCTGCGTATACCTGAATGCTTCGCACACCAAAACACACCGATATAGCTAACTGAGACACACGAGCGAACATGGCTGAGGCGTGCATCCTCGGACACCTCTGCAGTGCTGCTTGGAACGGAGTCCATTTCGGAATCACTGTTCTGCAGAAGGTCGACCGAAGCAAAAATAATTCGCGACGTTGCGAATCACAGGGATTCCAAGCTCCAGACTATTATATTGAACCCGAGTTGACACTTTGTACGGCAACGAGAGCAATGCAGGTGACAAGGCATAACTGAATGTGTCCGCCTAGCAGACGAAATGTTTTCGGAGCAGCTAAGCCTGCCGTCACTTTTTTCTGGGGAGAAGTGATCAGCTGTGGCGTGATCTGGAAGTGACCGCGAGGTAGCGCCACTGCTGGTGCTCCCAGCGCTGAAACTGGCGGAATTGCCGGCTGCTTTGAATAGTGCTAGATACCAGTGATATAAATCAATAAAAGTGATAGTTATTCATCCCTCAGTTGCGTTTTAGGTCGTGAATCGCTGCTACGGGGTCTATAGCTACTCGCTGACGCAAAAATCTTGGCATGAGTAAATTTGATGTCAGTGCTCCTTTAAAGATAGTGTGTCCAAACACGGACACAAAAAGGAAGTCATTAACAAAGCTTCCTGGGCGATTTTATTCATAGTAATACGATTACTATGAATTACTAATAGGCCATCAGAAACCCAGTCTTACCGCTGAAGATGCAGACAACGGCAGAAAAAAAGAAGGCATGAAAACTTATCTCTGGATGCCCATATAACAGGCAAACCTATCAATCCGGCATGAAAGAAGGCATTTCATATTTATGCAAGTTAATTGACGGTTGGCCCACACATGCACTACCACTATTATTGATGAGCCATGCCTTGAACGTGTTTCTTCATTCCTATGCCAGAACAAAACAGTGCATTTATAAAACTGTGGCATGCCCTTACACTTTCAACAATGTAAAGACAGATTAATCTTCCTTCTGTGTTCTTGTTTGCATGTCTGGTCTTTCAGATAAAAGCCATGCATATAGCCAAGTAATCTGCATTCTATTTCCCCAATCACTGCTATATTCATTCTCACAAGAGATAAAAGGTTCGCTTTTCCTTATGGTGAGAATGATGGCACGGAAACAAAAACAGTTAAAAAAGGCCTCTGCGAGTGGTTCTCCTAGTGAGATCTGGGACTAATTTCAGCAGTGAACTGTAGTGAATATCAAAATCCAAAAATTACTATACAGTCGAAATCCACAACAACGAAACCCCGCGAGTGCGAAATCCCCGCGGCGACAAAATATTTCCGGATCCCCGGTGAATGCTCATAGAAGCCCATGTATTGCGTATCTCGTGGCAACGAAATGTTTTCCGGTAGCGATCCCGCATTAACGAATTTTCCACCACGATGCGGGCCTTGTTTTACCCTCCCACCAAAGGTTAACTGTCGAAAATATACTCGTATGCGTGTTATGAGCACTCAAAATTTTTAAACGACTGCTTTTGCCGTGCTAGCGTAGGTACCGCCATTTTTGTTTACTTAAATCGGCAATGGGGTCTGTGTCCGGCAACATGCCTGGCCACACTGCAGCAGGCGATGGCAAATGATCATGCTGGAGTGCAGATGGCGCCGTCGGACGAGCTCAACAGGCCGAAGCAACCCCACAGTTGGAATGAATCAAAACAACGAAGAGAAGACTGAAACAGCAAGCATCATGCACGGATTGCGCTTCGGCTTCACCAGACGAAGATTTGGACGAAGGCGCACTTGATGGCGAAAGTGGTGGCAGTGCAGTGCCTCTATCCCTGACCAACGCCTGGGTGGAACTTCGAACCATCGACATCGACATCCCAGATGAACTCACCGTTGATGCGTTCAGTCGCGCCGATGACGACGTAGCCGTGTACAAGGAAGTGACCGACGAGGCCATTATCGAAAGCGTGAGTGAAGCTGACGACACCGAGGACCATGAAGAGACGCACACGGAGAAACCCAACCCGCGGATTGTTTTGGGTGCGCTGGACACCCTTCGCTCCTTCTTCGGTGCACATGACGACGACGTAGCAATGGACCACTTTTTCCAGTGCGAAGGGAGAACTTTGAAGTTGTTGCATGGCAAGGGTCGGCAAAGTAAGTTGACTGACTTCTGGCAATAAATTTTAGTTCTGCTGGCCATATCACTGTTTTTATGTCTCATACTCGCGACAACGAAATTCTCGCGAAAACTAAATTTTTCGGTTTACCCGGCGATTTTGTTATTGCGGGTTTAGACTGTACTTGCACTCATGCAAGGCAGTCTAGATTTACTGCAAGGTGCGTGCAAGTAAGTTTTCGTCTTAGAGAGCTGACCTGACATTCGTCGTCTCAAGTGAGCAGTTTGAATATTCAAACAAATATTATGGTATTCAAACTCATTTCAATTTGAATTTAAAGTATTGTAAATTTTCGAATTATTCGTAATGATCGAATAGGTGTGTACTAGCCAGCATGTAACATCCCTTGTAAAGTAGAGGGATGCTATACCGTGAATACACCCATCCAAGCAAAATGCACTCTGCTGCGCAGCACCTACTTCAAGGTTAAATGCGACCTAAACTCTCAGAATGATTCGCAATATTTTGTCAAGTTTAAGAGCTTGTTATACTGGCTTGTACACTCTGATTATAAAAACATTAAATGTACCATAATTTACAGATTATTACTACCATTCTACCAAAAGTCATCTCCTGCTACAGTTGTGTCCATTTTCCTTAAAACCAAAAAGAATTACATTTGCACATGCCTTGTTTCAATTAAATTTTTTTTTCATAATACTTGACATAGACTATTCGAAGTTGATTTGAGACTATTCAACCAAAACACAACTTGCTTCGAACCTAAATTCACCATTTGCACTAGATATTAGGTCATAAGAAACAATGCAACCTCATAATGTGATGAAGCCATAACAGAGGGCCCTCACAATTATGTAATTGGCAAGTAGTTTGTTTCCAAGGTGCACATAATTGCTGTAGCGACAACTTCTGCAGCTGGGCTGACATCACTGGCTACACATGTGATGCATTTGCTATGGCAATAATACATTCTTGCTCACACAACACAGAAATCAAGACGCTAGTCGGAATTTGACTTCTTTCTTGCCTGTGTTTGCATGCTTTTTCATCACCAACAGTCCTCACTGAACTCACCTTTTTCAAGTTGATCCATCGAGTCATGTAAGGCGGTACAGGTATGCCAAGGTAGGCACACTGTGAGGGGAGCCTGTGTATACCCCAACTTGCTTATTAACCACAGTTTGAACAAGAAATAGCAAGCAGTACGATTCAAAACAGCAAGAAAGGACAAGTTTTGAAGTGGCGTTTCATCAGAGCATAGCACTGAATATCAAAAACCTAGTGCAGGTAGATTCATGCTCATAAACTGAGTACTGGAGAGCTGTTCTCGAAGTATCCACCTATGGACATATCCACTTTGGCGGAGTGCATTCAGTAACGACAAAAAGCGAATAGTTGTGACGTGATGGCAGTGAACCATGTTTACGTACTAAACCTCCTACCACATTCCCGGCATAAAGAGAAAGAAAGTAGACAAAATGTACAGTAACAGGACATTTAAAAAAACTTTACAAGTCTGAACTTGCGCATAAACGTGTTCAGATGTTTGAGAATGATGCAAGGAATGTGTACCGACCTTCCAGGTGCATCGGGCGGGTAGCCGCATTATTAAGCCTAACTCAAGTGCTAACATCTTTACAGTTCATGCACGGTCCTCGAGATGCGAGTCCAGAAGCGGATTTCTGACGCAAAGCCTTCGTTGTGTGAAATGTGTCCTGTACATCTAATTTGTGTCAAGAGTTGCAAAATCTTCACAACGTTAAAATTACATAGCAGAAAAAGGACTGGAAACAGGGGGCACACTGCTCGCCAAGCTCCAGCCAATCAGTGGAGGCCGAAGTGGATAGTTCACAAGGTGGATACATCGAGGATTGCACCCCTGGAATGACAATTGGATGGAATTATATGGTCAAGTGGTCACAACGGTGAAGAACGCTAGTGCAAGACTGGGATACTTTTTATTTGGGCACACACATGCCTGGAAAATGAAAGCTCAAAACATAAGCGATACATGCTGCCTACGAAAGTGGCATGAACAGTCATCGGCTGTGGAGTAATCTAATCTCCCATAAGGCATGTCAACATTTATACATGCGGCATTGAACATTCGAGCCTAATCGCTGGTGGCCGCGCCATTTTCGGGCTTATCTGAACTGTTCGCATTTGCACGCTCAAGCCTATCAGGAGATTCTACAAGAATATCGAAGATGCCCATACATTCGGGCGTGGTTTGCACGTGGCAGACTTTTGCACATTGTAGCTACACTGCATTAAAAAAAAAAAAAAAAGGCTTCTCTTTATCCGCTTCTCTTTAGTTCAACAGTTAGATTTCTTTCCTCACTCTTCCTCACAATCTTACGCATGCACACATTGTGTTTACTTAAGACAAAGTGTACTGAAAGAGAGGTGCCATCTAAGAAATGAAAAGAAGAGGAAGGCATCCTCGAAAAGCGAATAACGACTGTATTTTACCTCCGAATTCCCCCAACTCTTTGAATCTCATAGAATAGAAAGCAGCATTTATTTCAGCAAGGCCAATAAGAAAATGATCAATAAATTTTAGCACTATTTTTTGGTGGGGTAGCAGGCACGCACTTCGTTTCTGTAGTGTCCACAGTGCTGTCAAGAAAAGTCGCCAAGTAACGTTTGTGACATGCAAAGTTAAGCAGTATGGCCTCACATTTTCTGCAGGTCCCAATCACCAAAGGTAATAAACACTGTCCGTGCCTGAAGCAGGCCCTCCTTTTGCATCCAATCATCAAAGCGGCTGAGCACTTCCTGCAGATGTGGCTGATCGTCCACCATATCTTGCACAATGCCCGTCAGCTGCACACACGAGCAGAAAAAAATATACAAGTGAATACTGTAGTGAAACAAATAACAGAAATTATCAACTCCAGTCTGAGTCAAAAACTCAGTTCAGTTTTAAAGATTACATAACCTGCATATAAGGAACAACTAAAGTTATGCCACAGGTGAATCGGTAGCAGAGCAGGTATGACCCAACAGCATAAACAGAACAAAAGAGAAGAATTATATGACAAAAATGCTTCTTCTTGCAGATATCCCCTTCAGGTGCATATTGTGATGCACTGTCTAAGAAAATGAAGAAATGTGCTGTTCATAGTGTTTAAATAATTAGTGTTAATTAACATGTAATTAAACATCTACTTATTTTTCTATTAGTAAGCATCAATCCATGTGTTGTGGGGGTGCTATCAGCCCCTGCAAAGTGATTTGCGCCACACGTCTCAAGGATAGGCCACATTTATGTTTGATAACCACAGAGCAGTAGGCGGCACAGTGCTCGTGCGAATTCACTATTACCATCATCATCATCATCATCGTTAGCTCGATAGCCGCAGCAGTGCCGCCCTGCGGCGAGGTTTGGTGCTTGCAGGGAAATATTTGGGACTGTCTTTGGCGTTTCGTGGCTGACGTGGATGGTCGAATCCTGACTGGGTCCCGTGGGATGCGACAACCACAGGTCGTGTTCCATGCGTCCCTCGCGGTGAGTTGAACATAAATAACGCTGCCTTCGCATTACCTTGTGTTTTTTTCTTTAGTGTCATATTGCGATAATTGTATAAAGTTGTTTTTAGCATGTCAAACATATTTGATTCAGCTCGCGATATCGTCGTTCGTAAAAGTAGCTGAATACATGTACAAGGATGCAGCGATGTCTTAGTGGATAGATTATCAGCCTCGCGTGCAAAAGGTCCATGGTTCGATTCTCGGTGTCGCGCAGTTTTTAGCCGGATTGCAAAAAAAAAATATCCACGTGATCATGAAACTGCATTAAGAGGCCTGTGGTGTGGCCTTATCGGTGCCCACCATAGGTACCGCACTCCCTCACCAGAGAAGGATTGGCCACCCTGCTGCAGTATCTGGCCACTACCTCCCACATGCATACATCAATTAACCCACAGCCCTCAGTAACCAGCGGCTACGAAGCAACTGACCACGATGGCGGTCAGATCTGCAATGCAGCAGAGGGTGCTAAGAATCTCTTGGTCCGGACAGGCCGCCATTGGAACCTGAACTTGGCAACGTTTAATGCTAGAACCTTATCTTGTGGGGAAAGTCTAGCTGTACTATTCGAGGAGCACAAACTGTTGGGCAAGTTGGTAATTCATCTTAACTGAGTTGCACAAAAAAATTGAAGCACGAATGAAATCCGCAGCGCAGCGCATCCTGTCCAAGTGTTTTCTTTTTGTACTTCAATTTTCTCGCACAACTCAGTCAAGAGGTACTATTCGAGTAGCTAGAGGGTGTTAAATGGGATGTAACAGGGCTCAGTGAAATTAGGAAGACAGATGAGATGTATACAGTGGTACAGAATGAGCACGTACTTTGCTATCATGGCTTGGCTGAAAGAACAGAACTGGGCATGGTGTTTCTTATCCACAGAAATATAGCTGGTAACATAGTGGAATACCATAGCATTAATGAAAGGGTCATAGGTACCATAATTAAACTCAATATGAGATACAAGATGAAGGTAGTACAGGCTTACGTGACTACATCCAGTCATGATGACGCACTAGTTGAAAGGCTCTATAAAGACGTGGAGTTAGCAATGAGTAAAGTAAAAACAAAGTATACTATACTGATGAGTGACTTCAATGCAAAGGTGGGGAAAAAGCAGGCTGGAAACCAGGCAGTAGAAGATCATGGCATTGGTACTAGAAATGTAAGAGGGAACTACTAGTAGAATTTGCAGAACGCAACCATTTATGGATTTTGAATGCTTTCCACCGAGGGAACTGTAAGCGGACATGGAGGAACCCCAATGCCGATAGTAAGAATGAAATAGACTTTATACTCGGTGCACACCCAGGCATTGTGCAGAATAAGGAAGTTCTTGGCAAGGTACGATGCAGTGACCATAGAATGGTACGGTCTCGAATTTGGATGGACTTGAAGAAGGAGCAACAAAAACTGATATGCAAGAAGCCAATAAATGAGCTAGCACTGAGAGGGAAGGATAGGAGTTCAGAGTCTCGCTTCAGAACAGATCAGTCTCGTTTCAGGAAACCAGCCTTAGCGTTGACACTATGAATGATAATCTGACGAGTATCATGACGAGTATACGGTAGTTAAACAAGACACTGGCTAGCTGTCTCAGGAGACGAAGAACCTCAATAAAAGGGCCCTGTGACAAATTTTGAGCATGTATTTCTAACCAGTTCTTCTGGTGCTGTGGAATGCGCCGATATCGTTGCGCACATGGCAAAGCCAAAATTGACGCTGTTATAATGTCAATTCGTGAGACAAACTACCTTGATTTAAAACTACGGCTACACATCAGCTACTTTTGTGATGGGAAGTGACGTCATGTCATAAGACATGACGACAAGGACCGTGTGCTTTTTATTAGCTTGACGCGATAAATAGTGTGCAATATTCATATGGTAATAGCTAGGCCATACGAGTGAATGCTAAAAACAGCATAAACCTTTTTTATGCTTTCTCAGAAAGAAATCATTCCTGTTTCTAAATGATGTAGTTTCAGAAGAACGAACACAGCACTTAGCCTGCAAACGAGGCTATGGTATGCCAGCAACTAAAAATAGAAACGCATGATGCGTTTTTAGCGAGCCGAAATTGCGACAGGCGGTGGGAGCCGGTGTTGCTGTAGAACGCGTCTTGCATGCAAGCCGAGAAGTGTCCCCCCCTAAGTGTATGTGTGTATCTTACACAGAGTGACCGTGAGATAGTCTGCTACCCGATGCACGTGGTTCGTAGTAACCATGTTGACGATGCCATCAAAAAGAGCGATAGCGAGGTATTGTGTGAAGGCCACAATGAGGTGACATTTCCGGAATGCCTGTATGAGATGTGCGCTGTGATTGGAAGCGGTCTTTGACGTCAGAAGGTGAGTGAAATGCGAAAGAGAATGTTTCTCGTCGTCATCTGCTCGAGTTTAAAACTTTGAAGACTCATAACTTCACTTTACGTGCAACAATTTTCATTATTCTTATTGCATTTGTTGCAAATTGTGTAGAGGACGAGAAGCGACACTATCATCATTAGGACTAGAGCAGCGTGTTCGGGATAAAGAAGAAGCAGACGGGTGGGCTTCGCTATGGTCACGATGGCTCGTCCTAAACATTTGGGGTCAACGTGGTGTCCATCACAAACGCTTCACAGCACGAAGTCTCAAGCAATGTCGAGGTTTCATGCTTCTTGACCTGGTTCTCGGGAACGGTTGGGCTTCGCACATCAGCTTCACAAAAGTCCTCGAAACTGCGACTGCGGTCGAAATTTGTGAAGGCCGCTACGTCTCACCTCCGAAGGTCCTTTTTCCCGGGTTTCGGCACCAAAATGCTGAGGAAAGGATGAGCCGCCTTGCCCACAGCGAAGCCCACCCGTCCACCTCTTCTTTATTCCGAACACGCTGCTCTAATCCTAATAATGATAGTGTCGCTCCTCGTTCTCTACACAATTTACAACAGCATTCATCTCAGTAATCATCGCTACACGCGCTCCGGTGCTAGATAAGAATGTCCCAAAAGTGTCGCAGGGGCCCTTTAAAAAACATCAAAGCATGAAAGCCTCAAATGCAGCAGTCAAACTAGAACTGACAGAGCTTTCGAAGTTGATTAATAAGCATAAGGTATCTGATGTAAGAAGATATAACATGTATAGATTTGACACATTTTAAAGAGCGAAGGAAGCATCAAAGCAGTGAAGAGGAAACTTGGAATAGGCTAAAACTAGATGTATGCACTAAGGGACAAGGAAGGCAAAGTAACTACCAATATGGATAGGATAGTTAAAATAGCAGAGGAGTTTTACAGAGACCTGTACAGTAGCTGGGAAAACCACGACCCTAATATAAGAACTAGCAGTAACCCACATAGCATCCCACCAGTAATGATAGAAGTAAAAAAAGCCTTGGAGGCAATGCAAGGAGGCAAAGCTGTTAGTGAGGATCAGATAACAACAGATCTGCTGAAAGACAAAGAACAGATTGTGTTAAAATAACTAGCCACAATGTTAATGAAGTGTCTCCTGACGGGTTGGGTACCAGTATCTTGGAAGAATAAGATCTGCTGAAAGACAAAGGACAGATTGTGTTAAAATAACTAGCCACAATGTTTATAAAGTGTCTCCTGACGGGGTCGGTACCAGTATCTCGGAAGAATACAAACATCTTAAGGGGACATGCGGGTCGAAAAACTAGAGTTTTTTTCAAAATTACCAATTTTTTTATTTTCGCCTGTTTTGATAAGATTAGTACCTCTAATGTTATGAAAAAAAAAATGCAGGTTGAGACTTAACTTGGAAATGCTTTAAAATTGAATCTAAAGAGCACAAGGTGCCTGTTAAAAGGTCCAAATTGTGCAGTCTTTGAGCACCTTGCCGCCGATAATGCGCCGCCGCTAGCCATTGTTGATCGCATGAGTCGAAGAGTCAAGCCTCACTCTTCAAATAACAACAGTTTCTCTCGCTGATGCAGTGCAAGAAATAATAAAAAGAATCACTCTTCTGCATGTTTTTCGAGCGCCGCGACTGGCTTATCGCGTGGTACGAATCGGGGACCGCCATTGACCGCTGCGCGCGCCTGTATGTGCTGTGAAGCCTATTTGCGTGGTCCATGTCTTGTCGAGCAGCACAGCTGAACAATGCTTTTCTCGTGTAATTATCTCCTTTATGAATAAAAAAAGCTATTGCTCGCAAGTGAAAGACGTTATGCGGTGCGCTTTGTAGGAATAGGCTACGAGCAGCTGGTTTGATTTGCGGCAGTTGTTGGCGTGCAAAAGCCAATGCATCAAAATTCATTCACACCCGTCAGCCGAAAAATTCGTGATGCGGCAATGGATGACATCAGCGCCAATCTTGCGAGGTCGAAACAGCTCGCAGTGAGGGAACTTAGCGGGGACGACATTTCCATTATGTTCGACGGTATGTGGCACAAACATGGCCGCAAAATGGCATGACAGTGGACTTAGTTTGGATTTCACAGTCCTAGCTTGCAGTTGGCAGAAGGCTCTGCCAGATGGAGTGGAAGTTTGGCAAGTGTTTCATGGCCCTGTCTGTGAGCGAAATGTCTGTGACGATTCGGCTCGAAAAAGACGAGAGGGACAAACTTATGGTGCTGGCATATTTTAGTGGCAGTGGCCCCTATAAGAAGCATTGTTCTTTTTGGTTGTCAAATTTCATCTGATTTAATGATACAGTTCATAAATAAAAACTCAATTTTAACTTTAAAACTCGTTTTTCACAAAACACAAATTTTGCCATTTCTTTTCAATGTGCCCCTCTTTTTTCGGACACTTCTAGTGCCCGGATCCGCATGAAATTTTGCCCGATTTTTTTTTTTCAAAGTATGACAAATACAATTATCTAGTTTAAATTTCAATATTTTATTGGATAATGAAAAAATTGTATGTAAACCTTATTAGGGTAGGTGAGATATGGACTTTTTATTTTTACGTCTATTATTTTTCACACCTACAACATATTTTGTATGTGCTACCTAAATAGTTATTTGCATTCTACACTTTATTTGAAACATTAGGAACTATGAATGGTAAAAAAATTATGAAAGTTTAGGGCTGAAAAGAGGGGGGCAAAAGTTTTCACTTTGTCATGTTGCAGAGCTATAAGTGTGCAACTTGCAAGAAAAGTAATTATATATTTGAAATCAGCATAAAAAGTTCTATAAACAGCTTAAGTTTCATTGCTCTAGGATGAATATTAAAAAAAAAAGTGACTTCGAGTAGCATCTCCCCCTTAATACATAAGAAAGGAGATTACCAGGACTTGCCCCGCCGTGGTGGTCTAGTGGCTAAGGTACTCGGCTACTGACCCGCAGGTCGCGGGTTCAAATCCCGGCTGCGGCGGCTGCATTTCCGATGGAGGCGGAAATGTTGTAGGCCCGTGTGCTCAGATTTGGGTGCACGTTAAAGAACCCCAGGTGGTCGAAATTTCCGGAGCCCTCCACTACGGCGTCTCTCATAATCATATAGTGGTTTTGGGACGTTAAACCCCACATATCAATCAATCAGATTACCAGGACTTGAAGAATTCCCGGCCGATCAGCTTGCTCTTTGTCGTATACAAGCTATTTACAAAGGTAATTGACAACAGAATTAAGACAACATAAGAATTCAATCAACCAAACGAACAAGCAGGGTTTCGAACAGGCTACTTAACAATAGAACACATTCATACTATCAGGTAATAGAGAAATGCTCAGAATACAGGCAACCACTACATATAGCCTTCATAGAATATGAGAAGGCATTTCATTCAGTAGAAATATCAGCAGTCATGCAGACACTGTGGAATCAGAGTGTCAACAAAGCATATATAAACACCCTAGAAGAAATCTACAGGGGATCAACTGCTGCCATAGTACTTCATAAAGAAAGCAACAGAATATCATTCTAGAAGGGTGTAAGACAGGGGGATACAATCTCCCCAATGCTATTTACCGGGTGCTTAGAGGAGGTATGCAAAGGCCTACAATGGGAACAGTAAGGCATAAGAGTTAATGGAGAGTACATTTGTAACCTGCGCTTCGCCAATGACATTGCATTGCTGAGTAACTCAGGGGACAAATTGCAACTCATGATTACGGAGTTAGACAAGGAGAGCAGAAAGGTTGGTCTTAAAATTAATCTGCAGAAAACGAAAGTAATGTACAACAACCTCGGAAAAGAGCAGCGCTTCGAGATAGGTAATAGTGCACTTCAAGTTGTAAAAGACTATGTCTACTTAGGGCAGGTAATAACCGCGGAGCCAAACCACGAGATTGAACTATAAGAATAATAATGGGGTGGAGCACATTTGGCAAGCACTCTCAAATCATGACAGGTAGATTGCCATTATCCCTCAAGAAGAAGGTATATAACAACTGCATCTTGCGTGTACTTAGCTACGGAGCAGAAACCTGGAGACTTACAAAGAGGGTTTAGCGTAAATTGAGGATGTCGCAGCGAGCAACGGAAAAGAAAATGGTAGGTGTAACTTTAAGAGACTAGAAAAGAGCAGAGTGGATTAGGGAACAAACCAGGGTTAAGAATATCATCCATCCATCCATGCAGTGGACTGCTGCGCCACCTGTAGGTCCCGCACTTTTCTCATAGTGATGCCTGTGTCGGAAGTCCACACTTCTACGCAATAATGTGGTCCAGTAACAACTTCCATGAAAAAAAGGTGGTGGCAGCAAATGCTCACCTCTGTGCAAAATGAAGTCAGCTGAGGGTGTGCCTGTGGCTGGACGTATGAGTGGAAAGTTGACTCTGTCTCAAAGGTCTGGCCATTAACTTTGAGGACTGGAAACTCAATGATTTCCTGCAGAAGTGTTGAAAAGCAGGCTTGAATTCATTGTGAAATTTTGGCAGTGCAAACTAACTGGACAAAGAAAGAGTGGGGCACAAACAAGCACAGGCTTAAACTTGGATTTATCGACAGATGATATAGACACTAGAAAAAAAACATGAAAAAAGTGAAATACTAGAAAGAAGGGTACACCAAAATCAAGTGTTGTCCAGAAACAAGATCTTATTGTCTAGAAGCGATACATAAAGTGAGCTGACTCAACTATCAATGTTCTTTTTTTATAAAAATGCTTTTCACAATCTCCAGAGCTTTCATGTCATGATTAGCATAGAGAACAGACATGCGTGAAAATTCAGGTATGCAACCACACTTTATGCAATGGGCAGACAAATCGAAACCTGGTGCTGACTTAAGTGCATTGTGGTGCTCTGGTATTCAGTGAATAAATACAAGTTTAAGTCTGCACTTTTTTGTGTCCTGCTTCTTTAGTGTACCATTAGTTCACACTGCCAAAATTTTAATATGAATTTTCTGCAGAACTGTGATGCCCAGAAAATTACGAAAGCAATAATGTAAAGCATCACATCAACTCGGCAGACGCTAAACCAAGGCTTGGAGGAATAACCTATGCCAAGATATTTCGCTATGTCCTTTGCCAGCACCATTAATTTTAGAGCCAGGGTCCAGAGCAACATATTACTGAATCTCAGAATAAGAGAGAGCTGAGCTAGTTGATAAGTACTGATTCTAAACGAGACTGGGCCTGCAAACACGGACAAATGCCAAATAAAGGTGCACAATGATGAAAAAGAAGCAAGGCATGAAAACAGACAAGAATAATAGACAACCGACATAACACGCCAACAAATTCACTAACTTCAGTACAGGTTCCCTTAACATAATAGGTCCGAGAGTGTAAGTTCTCACCGAAAGCACAGAGAGCGAAAATTACTATAGTCTGTGCACGTTTTTTTTTTTTTTTTTTTTTTTTTGGAAAACAGCCTTGCAGGAAAACCTCCTTGCAGATTTTTGCAAGTGGTGAAACGCGTTCAATAATCGATTGACACACCAATAACGCATGCGTGAGCCAACCGTCGGTTAACTCGCACAAAGAAGAAATCAAATGTCTTGACAGTTATCTTTCGCATTAGACCCGTGCGTGCCGGATTGATAGGTTGAGAGAATTTGTTCGTTTGAGCCTAACATCACATACCCGCACTAGGTGATTGGCCGGGATTTCGTAGTTTCAAATTTAGTACATCGTTTGAACTATGTTTTCGTGTCTTCTTCCTTCTTAGTCGGCGTTTGTGGTGTCTTGACTTCTTTCTTGGGTCCATGTTTGGAACCACGTTTTTTAAAAGCAACTGGCAACACACTTAGGAAAAAGAGGGCAGTGGATTACCTGCGGTGTTGGCACTCCTTTCTCTGCGCTGCAGGTGGCCTCAAAGTCAAGCACGAGGAAATAATCATACCCCTGCTTGGGCATTGCAGCGGCGGGCGAGAGGTACGCCGGCGATGCCAGGCGAGACATTTGTTTTTTGGGAAACGCCAAGTGCGTGTAACCAGCCGACTTTGCAAGGCGAGGTACTGTGGTGCCGGCCTGCAGTGCCGCATGCGTAATACGACACAAAAGCGACGCGTTCCTGTAGAGAACGAACTGTAGAGCCATTCACTCGCATGGATAAAGATACCATTCACAACGCCTTCACATACACACACATACCACACCTAGCCAGCTAACCATGGTGTCAATCAACTTTCAAGTGGGAACTGCAGTATAGTGCCTAGAATTTGCACTAGGCCAACGCCATGTTTAGCCATGTGCTGTACGAAACCAGGGCTGTTGTGGCGCTCAGTTACCCATAACAATTTAGCTTTTCCTCCGTGGTAAATGCCATAAATTCTGCAACTTGTGAATAAAAACAAAGCTTTTAATGTAATTTATTTTATTTATGTGACAATACTGCTAACTCTTTGCACTAAATTGTTGCGTTCACAGCATTCTGTACAACACAGGCACACAAAGTAGTGTCATACATACGTGTGTTTTTTTCTTTAGCTTTTTCATTTCAATTTTTTATTGTTTTCTAGAACAAGAAAAAAATGCTGCGACTAAGGGCACATGCGTCTAGTAATGTGCCACTAGTGAAAGAAGACCCAACACCACGGAGGAAGTGCCCAACACTTATATATGCAGGTTGTATGTACCCAGACAACACAGAGCCATCCTTTGGATTCACTTAGTATGCGCTGCTTAGGATATGTAGGAACTTCTAAGGATGTCCCAAATATTTCCCGGAAACCTCCATGAAGGCTCCAAAATGAGACAAAAAACGAGATCCTTAGGACATCTTGGGATTATAATGTGATTATATTTGGATGTCACACATTCCGCTGTATCCAGAAATTACCAGTACATGCAGCATTTGAAGGACGCATGCTAGTTAGTAGAAAGAACAGTCTTTTTGAAAGTCTTGCATTTCTTTACATGTTTTTAATACCCCTCAATGTACTCTTCCAGCGATGCAATGCACTTCTGCTTTTCCACGTGACTGCAGGCTTATAACACGTTCAGTGGTTCTGTTGCCTTCCTCTTTGCTTGTTATTTTCCAAATCTTGTAAGCACTGCTCCATTATGTGTTTTCACTTGCTTATTTATTATGTGTATATTTATGAAGGGTTGCGCAGGTTCTATATACATGTACATGTGCGTTAAAAATGATCGCTGAAAATGTACACTAATTCATGAAGGAACGTGCATATATGAGAATATCAGTAAGTAGATTAATTGAAATCGAGTGGGATGATATATACCATGTCCATTAAACATCAACATCCCATATTGGGACATGAATGGGTGGATGCATGTAGATCTCACGCATGCATCCCCCCATTCACGACCTCTTCCGGGATATTTAATGAACATCCGTTCGCTGAAATCTACAGGACATCAATACGACTTTCTTTATTGGATGTGGGAATTAGCTAGGTACTTCTTTTGGGCATCCTTACGATGTTTTGTGTTGTCTGGGTACAGCACTCATATTTGAGCAATGATATATAATTAATACCCATTTAAAAAAACAGCTTTCGCACTTGAGCTAAAGCTGTGATATGAAGTGAATAAGAAAGGAACTTCCTATAATCAACTGGCAAGTAATGAGTCGAACAATTCTATGCTTTTGGTTTTATCGGTGGGTGGATCTAGGGTATTCAACCGAACGATTGTTTATGGTAAAAACAATACTTAAGAACATTATCCGCTTGATATGGAGTGATTGAAAAACAATGTCGTCGTCTTCGTGTACCGTAACCTGTTGAAAAACGCAAATAATTGGACATACTGCGGTTGAGGTAACCTCTAATTACTTTAAACATAAAACGTAATTGTGCGATTTTATTACTGTCCGAGGTGTTAATATCTTTCCTTAATGGATAATATTTATATATGTAAAGAATAGATGCAAAACCAATGCTACTGACCATAGAGTTTCATACAATTATTGTATGAAACTCTATGCTACTGACGGACATGTCAACGAACATGGCGGCATGACGTCACGCTAACGGCATGCATATAATGTCATGCTCTATTTAGCCATTTTTCTATGTAATCTATTGAAAAGAACGTGGATCGTGACGGAAAGAGACGAAAACATTCAAAAGTGCAAGAACGCAAGCAGTTATGTTCGCATATTTTCAACCTTTCATTGCTCTTTTCGTTTCACATTTTTTTTTTCATATTATTCACTTCATAACCGCCCGCTCAATTGCCAGTATTGAAGTAACAGTCGCTGAAATTTCAAAGAGGCTCGAGCCGTCTTGTATGAGATCGCACACATGCTAAATATTATTTCGTGGCTGTTGCACCTGATACTGTATGAATACTATAGACGTGTTTGGAAGAAGTAAAAAGTCTATCTTATTTTGTGTTAAATGAACAGTGGCACCTGCAATAACTGAGGTTACTTATTCTAAATGAAATGATTAGATCTAAAGCAACGTTTTTTGAAGCCCTACATATAATAAATTTTGATGCATTAGGAAAGGTGTAGCTCTTCTAGATCGGTTAGTTGTGATCTTGTAGGATCCCAGTAAATGTGCTCACAATTCTTGCTTCCGCGAAAAGTGACGAGTGTGCAAGACAATACCGAAAATTTGGAAGCTTGGGCTGCAGGTCTGTAGCCCCAGCTTCCTCCTTTGTATTAAAGGAAATAAAACTTCACTTCAAAAGCAAGATCGGTAATTACCTGATGGGCAACACGCTAGACGGACATATTAAAAGAAGATTTCGCAAGTCACGCAAAAAGATGCAGACGCTCAATCGTAACTACCACAAACGGTAGTGGTTAGAAGATAAGAAACGCGCCGCGCATGCGATTCCGTAAGCGCTATCGAAGCCCCCCCCCCCCCCCCCCCCCCCAGTAACGTTGCAGCAGTGGTCCGGGTAACTAAAGTGATTTTCCGCGCAATCAATCAATCAGGAAAAAAAGTCTTTTTTCGGGAAATTTTTGCCCGTACTTCTGAGTCAAAGGACAAAAAGAAATCTTCGTGATATTGCAGGCAATTACAGGAATGGTTAAATTCTCCTAGGACGACAGACTTGAAGCCCACAATGTGCAGTGTATTAACACTATATAAGTTAATAAAACAATTCTTTTGTTGTGCGGATGTGGATGGGCTAGTCATGATTTTAAAAGTCGCCAGTACGTGAGACACGTGTAATTAACTAATTATAGTGTGTGTGTGTGGATGGGGCGGAAATGAGACTGTTGTGCCGGGAATTTTTGGCAATTTTGCCAAAGTCCTCGAAATAGAGAATTTTAATGTCTCTGAATGGGAAGTTCTCGGTGTAGTACGGAACATCACTACCGGTTTCGGAGCACGCGGCGGGCCGTACCCGTGCGCTTTTTTATCCAGCGGCCGTGCCACTGCAAAGCTGCCTTTGTGTGTGCGTGTTTAAAAACAGCGAAGATGTTCTTGATCGAGGCGTTCATGTCCTTTTTTCAGGACGGAGAAAAACAGCACAGGCGCTGGCGTTCTACTTCGTGTCCAGGGTGAATAAAGTTCAGAGAACTTCTTTCTTTCCGTACTAATGCAAGAATTCGAAAAAAAACGTCGTAAGAGGACTAAAACCGAAATCGAAAATGAAAGCAAACTACGGTGAGTGGTCTCGTGACCCAAGCAACGGACATGCGCTTACATGCATGCCGAGCACAAGGTCGCAGACAGGCAGAGGCAACGGTGTTCTGTGGAGGCAACTCACCAGTTGAGCGACGTACTACGCGACGCCGACCCAGCTTTGCGTTGTTGTGCTAGACTGCACAAGCAATACGGGAGAGGTGAGCGTTTTTACGGGCGCCTTAGAGCGTTGCTAGAACCGCTTGTGCCGGCAACAGCAGTTTGTTAATGTTGGTGGTAGAACGCACATCGTGCCTTGTTCTTTGTCTCACAGAAAGCGTGCCCACGAGGCATTGGTTTATCACCATGCTTTCTGCTCTTTCTACTCGCCTTGTGGACGCGTCAAGGTCAGTCTAGCCGAGACTGTACTTCATGCTACGCTAGAGCTGTCCCTTACTTGCTAACTACGCATGGCTGATGTTTAAAAGCACGCACAAGTCCTTGCCCCTCCCGCGGGCGGTGAAGCGGTAAGCTGGAACGGTAGTCGGATGGTCCGTCGAAAATCGACGTTATCGACTTGTATATCCGCCCCGCCCCCGCCCTTAAGCATGCAGTTGTGTTGGGGGTCTGTTGCTTAGTCAACGAGAGTACCGTCGCTCAATAATCTGCACGCGTCCATTTGCAGGCTAGGAGCTGTGGTGCTAGCCCGCAAGACCATGGTAAGCAACGACTGCGTTCTTGTAACAAATAATCTCCTCACGCCGCTGTTTTTTCCTCGTTTGCAGGCGACCGCCGACGACAGTTGGAAGGACGCGTCCTCCATCTATGACTTCTCGGCCGTTGACATCGATGGAAACGAAGTTTCTCTCGATAAATACAAGTGGGCACACAAAAGCCTAGTATTAGGCTGATAGCCTCGACTGCACCTCGCGGTGGTCCTTTGTGTCGATTCCCTTCTTCTAAAAGCCAGCGTTCATAGTCGCGTAGTTCTACGTGGTTCCTGGCTGCCACATTTTGCCACCTTGTGGCAAAACGAAAGCAAACTACATTTCTCATTGAATGAACTGAACTTTCTCCATAGGCAATATGTATCGACTTAACCTGGGTGTGCAGCATATCGTGGTGTCCTAAAATTAACTAGAGGGACTCTGGCGCTACCATCGTTAAGCAGCGATGGGAATAACGGGTAGTACACACATTTGTCGTAGTCTTTGAATGCACTTGTAGCTTTGTTTATTGTTATTTTAATTTTGTTTTTAATGAAAGAACAAATCCTTATGAACTTCGTGACCCAATTTGAAATGGTAAGCCTTAAGGAATAAGGTGCTGAAGGCAACCGCTGAACATTTGCTGATTTTTGTTTTGTGAGAAAACAGCTCCAAGCCACACAAAGCCAGAAGTATGAACCTTAAACATATTTCTGTACTACCCATCATTCCCATGCTTGCTGTGCGTTGCAGCTGCCATATGCACTAGCGCTAGAGCTCCCTCTAATGTATTCATTGGAAACTCGTGCCTCGTACGACTGTAATAGACTATATTTTGGCGAATGCACAGCTATGTACGACAGGTCGGTCTTTGTGCCGCATTCCAGAACCAACGTTGAAAGTACTATAACCAAAAGCTGATTGGGCACACATTTGGAGGTGATCTCTTGTTGATTTTATGCCAAAATTTAACACGACTGACTGCAGGACAGTGATGCATGTAATTGCATGCTCATTACAATTATTGACTGGAACTCTAACAAAACAACACATTACTTCATTTGTTTTCTTGAAATGTAATATTCATTGCCTTGGAATTATTGTACGTGAGTTAGAGACATCGTAGGCTGTGTTATAATTTCGCTGAAGGGGATATGTTTTTGAGTGCTGGAACCAGAAATGACTAGGTGAATAATGGTTGGCAAAGATGCTCAAGTGTCGTCACTACAAGTATCGCAAGATGCACGAGTATGTCAATGGCTATTAGTATGCATCACTGGACAACCAGCAACTTTTCCTGTGCTGCTTTGCAGTTTGCATTGCCAGCGTCAAAGTTGCAAGGGCAAACTGTGACGTGCTGCTATATTCAAGATGTCATACATTGCCAATTTAGTCATGAAGTTTACAATGATCCATTCTTATATTAGAAACTAATTCCAAAATTGAATGGTAACCAAAGCCACAGGTGCTTTCAAAGCCGCAAGCATGAAGGTTAGGCATACCTGTATGCTACCTATCAGTCTCGCGGTGGCTGAACGATTGAAGCATCAGAGTTCCCCAGTAAACATTGCAGGAGACATTATGCTCCTTGTGACATTGGCGAAGTAGTGATACTTGTGTTACTTTGTCATACAGACGTACTTTTCAAAACTGTATGTTTTATCGGGCATGCAAGTGTAAACGACAGTGACTGGTTAAAGCTGTGTTATCCATAGCAGCGCAGGAGTATTTGTCACATCTGCCGCCAATGGATTTGCCAGATTGTTCATGTAATCTTGTACTTTTCTGTGCAGAGGTCATGTGGCACTCATTGTTAATGTTGCATCCAAGTGAGGAAAGACCAACAAGAACTACACGCAGCTTGTTGAACTTCACGAAAAGTATGCAGAGTCCAAGGGTCTCCGCATTCTCGCTTTTCCCTGCAACCAGTTCGGGGGTCAGGTGTGTAGACAAATACTGTGTTCTGACTAAGTTAGTTGCGCTTGCACTTAGTCGCATAAGGCATGGCACAGCGAAACAGGACAATTGTGAAGACTAATTTGGTTGCTTGTACATTGTTTCTTAGCTTAGAGAAGGCGTGTCAGGGTTGGTGTAGCCCTTCCGTTCACTACCATCGCTATACAGCCATTTGTCGGGCTGTTTCCTCTTTAGTGGTATTTACCCGGTTTCTGTGGATTGTTAGGTTAATAGACCAGTGGTGAGCATTGGGGTCTACCAAATTTATGTTGTGCGTGCCAGAGTCTTATGGTTCAGGGTTGAACGATTTTCTAAACAAGTTCGCTGTTGACATGCATTTACAGAGTGATGGCAGTGGTGTAAATTAAAAGGGGGGATGCACATCATGACCATTTTGATTTCATGAATATATGTTTATTTCTAATTATGCCAAAATATAAGTCACGCCTTAAAATAAAATGAAGCGAGGCTAGGGATCTAACAGGGATGCGCATTCAATAGTTGAAACGTGTGTTGGTGAAGCAAAGTTTTCAATTTTAGTTCATTAATGGGCTTTGGCATATGTCTAGTAAACAAGTCATAGGGTTAAACAATAAAATGCTAATGGTTGAACATTACGCTACTGATTTCGTTTTACTTTAGCTTTTTCGTTCTTAAAATGAACATTTTAGAAAACAAATTTGCATTGTATTTCTAAACTCGGATTTTCGTCTTTTTATGCAAAAATAGAATATGAAAGATTTGAGAATAAATATATATTTAATTACACTTTATGTAAGTATAAATACTGCCAAACATGCGAATCGATGTATTCTGGCAATAGTTTTGTTGCAATAGAATATCGACTGCCTTGCTTAATGTTGTGCAGCTTTGGTGCATTTGACACAGTTCCTCATAAGCTGTGTCTGGAAGGGTTAAATAGGCTCCTGTGGGATACTACTGGCTCACAGTAATAACTGTCATTGTTCTGTGGCCTAATCTTCTTGTCCAGGAGCCTGGCACTGAGGCAGACATAAAGAAGTTTGTGCAGAAATACAACGTGAAGTTCGACATGTTCAGCAAGGTGAACGTCAACGGGGACAAAGCGCACCCTTTGTGGAAGTACCTCAAGCAGAAGCAGTCTGGGTTCTTAACGGAGTAAGTGTTTTCTGCCTGGATGAAACGAGCGCTTCTGTGCACACACTGGTCCGATTTCCTTCGTATAGGATTGCTACCACTCACTCTGTCAACAAAGTATCACTTCAGAAATTCTGTCCACGAAGCAAAGAAAACGTGCGCAATGTATAGGAAGCAAGACGAAGGGTCATACAATCGATAAAATTTCACAAATCAAATATAGACTTAAAGCTAAACATTTAAAATCTCATTATAAATAATTTATTCTTTAGACTAATGTCATAGTTGATTCAAAGGCATTTATAAGTAACAGTACTTGTACACTTAGTTGATTTTAAAAATTTCTTTTGCAGTTAATCATGATACTAAAAGAATTTATTAAAGTGTACTTTGAATGTATATTATGTAAAAAGCAGGGTGCTATACAATGTGCAACATTTTTGTGCATGTGTGCTGAAAAAAGCATGTTTGAATGTATTGACCATTTTGAATAATAATGTAAAAATATATCATGTAAAATTAAGCAAATATATCAAACTAATGAAATGTGTAAATGATGTCACTGATGTGTAAAAGTGTATACTGTTACACTTATGCATCACTGTTTTAGTTATCAGGTCAAAATCTCGTCAAGCTTTTTTTAGTCTTTGCCTCCCACAAAGAATTTTTTTTTCTGCTGCAAATGAACAATCTCAAATTTACAAAAATGTACTACTTCCTGGCAAGAAATGTAACAAATTTAACTAAGGTTTAGCATTGTCTCAGCAGTGCCATCAAATGGAACTTCACGAAGTTCGTTGTTGACAAGGAAGGTCAGCCTGTTCACCGCTATGCACCCACGACTGATCCTCTGGTGAGGAATTTCTTTTTTTATTGTTCCGGTGGCATAAATATGCAAGTTCATTCTATCCCTTTCAAAATCCTCTCCAATAAGACTGGCAATTGTGCAGAGCTGCCTATGATGCTCTGGCGCTGAGAAACAATAACCATGACAACACTAGTTGCTATGTTGCCCTTTGTCGTATTAATGAGAGCTTTGGTAATTCAAACTTGTGATAATATAAAAAAGAATCCCGAAGTTCCCCCAATTTTGAATTATGGAGTCCAATGTGTTAGTTTTCTGCTTTTCTGTAAAAAAAGTTCAAAAATAATTTGTAAATATGAACCCTTTCAGTTATGAAAATTGGTTAATGTAAAGAGTGCTGCAAAAGCACAAGATAGAAAAAGGTATTTTGCATTGCTTTACAAAATTGAGAGCAATCTAAAATATTTTAAAATATCATGAGTAGGTGCAAATGTATAATAGCATTAGTACTGCACTGGTTTGTGTGAAAAGTGTGATTAGGACTATGGATTGGTCCCTAATCGAAAATTTGTGAATTGTGCAGTTTTAAATCGGCAGTTATTACATGGGGATGCCAGCAGTATTTGGTCCCAAAAGCCACTGTTAAACAAAGAACCCCTGATTGGCAAATGTTCATACACACACTGCCTAGTAAATCATTGCTGGCATTTTGTTGCTTAACCTGGGTTACCAGTATTTTTGAGTTAAACGTAATCTATATGCGCGTAAAAGGTGATTAAAATTTGCTGTTAAACTCCCACAACTAATATTTTTAAGAACAAAAATAAGAAGGACGTGCAGTGATTGTTTCACGCTGGTATCAAAAGTTCAAGCAGTGTGTAAGTGAAATTGTGCCTTCGGAAATGTGAAAACGTTTCGTTCTAGAACCTCGCCATGCTTTGAATCGTTGGGACTATTAAAGGGGCCATGACATTCAATTTTGAACTGTAATCCATGTGATGTGGTTTAATCTACAGTAAACAAGCTGGCAAAATTTCGGCACATTTGGTCTAAACATAAACATGCGAGTGGTGAGAGTCCAGCAACACAGGTGCACTCGCAAGATCGTCGCTTGCTAGCTGTGAGAGTCTTCCGAACGATATTGCTCCGTGGTCATCTGTGCGTGAAATCTGTATTTTAGCTTTTTTTCAGTTTGGTACCGAATATGAACAAGGCATACAGCAATTGAAAAAGAAATATTGTAAGTACTATGTGAAAACATTTCACAAATAAGGATATCAAGATAATTTTTGGTTTGTTCAATTTCTAAAATGAATGCAATCAAATATCGCATGCAAAGGTTATGAATTGAGTGCTAGCTAGAAATAAAACTGATAACCATTCAGTGGCAATGCTAGATGGAAGTGACTTCCATTGGTCTATTGATAGTGCAAGAGGTAAACTCTGGTATTTTTCAGTGTGCCGAAGAATTGGTTTGGCTTTATAGGCATGGTCTAACCTAGCCAAGATGAGGTAAAATATAAGATCATAAAAAAAAACATGGTGCTATGCAGTGGCCAGCGGTAGGTGTAGTTTAAAGCCGGAGACTGCTAGGCCCCGCTTTGCATTTATATATTCTTTTATGGCACTGGGGCTTTCATATCTGTAGACATAGTAGATGCTCTACTTGTAGTTTTTCTGTGAAAACCTCGCATTGTTCGGTGGTTGTGTCATGGCCTTTTTAATCTATTCTCGGTTGGAAAATAGCTACTTCCTGACACTCAATTGAAGATGTAATAGCATCCATTACTGCATTTTCTTTTCCTGGCAGGACATTGAACCAGATCTCCTGAAGCTCTTCTGAGCTGTCAACAGCTGGCACGCTGAGGTGTCTGCAAACGTGGACTGCTTCCTGGGCAAGAGACCTTATGACGGGCAATCTACAAACCGTAATTTGCGGCTGGCTTGCCCTGATGTTTTTCCAGTCTTGAGTCGAGAAAGAAGACGCCTTTGCCGGAACTTCGGCAAGCCTTGCTTTTGATGCTGTGAGCCCAAATAATCTTGATCAAATAAAGCCTAGTTTCACTCGGTCTCACTGTTGTCCCCCCCCCCCCCCCTTTTTTTTTTGAGCAGAAATTTAAGCGTAGATGTAAGATTTTTGAAGTGTAGCTCTTGGGCGTTTGTTCCTGCATGGAGCAGTGCTGCTGTGACTGATGGGAAGCGGTGACTGATAGGAAGAAAAAAAGATACCCAGGATCTAATCGGATTTCAACCTGGGTCCTCAGCATGGCAGTTGAGTATTCTGCCCTAGAGCCACGCTGGTCCTTTAAATGTGCACAAAGACTGTACAGAAGTCATCTTGGACAAGGAATTGTGTGACTGACAGCGTGGCAGGTAAGTGAAATAACCAGTTGTCATGCAGTACTGATTGTGAAACGCGTTTGGTGTCTAGATTCCAGCCACTGCCAAGTACTCGGCCGCAATTCGTCATCAATATCTAATGCTTATTACATGGGAAAGTAGAGAAGCCCAAGAGAGGAAATCCCTAGGGAGTTTCAGTCTGCAGTTTTTTGCACAATATTTCTTGCAAATGTTGTAGGTATTCTGTTATCTCCTGGTGAGCCATGTGCAAAATCGGTCTCTGGAAAAATTCCCACAATGCAGGTTGGACCTGCACTTTAGGTTTACTTGTGTATTTACGGTGCACAGTGGCGTAGACACCAGCATTTTGCGTAAGGATTTCAGGCCTGGTGTCTTGCATAAGGTTAATAACTTCTTCGGTAGGCTGAAAACCGCTTTCTGCACCTACTGTGGTAGGCTTGTGCGAATAATTGAGTGAATATTACTGTAATATGTTTAAGTTATTGGCAATCTTGAAGCATTTGAAATTAACAAATAAAAATCTGCATGCAACATCTTTGTAAAGACGGCTTCACTATAGTGAAGGGGTGCTGTGCCATGAATACACCTGTAGAAAAAAAAATCTGCTGCCACGAAGCCTCACTTCAAAGTTAACTTTTCAAAAGCTTGTTATTCGACTTATATGCTTTAAAATGCAATGTATCTTACGGGTTATCACATTTGCCTTCTACTGAGAGCTAAATCTTGCTACTGTTCAAACCCAGCTGCAGTGGTCTAGTGGCCAAGGTACTTGGCTGCTGACCCGCAGGACGTGGGATCGAGTAGCGGCTGCATTTTCGAAGGAGAAAATGCTGTAGGCCCGAGTGCATGGATTTGGGTGCATGTCAAAGAACCCAGGTGGTTGAATTTTCCTGAGCCGTCCACTACAGCGTCTCTCATAATCGTGTGGTGGTTTTGGGACGTTGAAGCCCACATGTCAATCAATCAATGGTGCTATTTCAAATTACCCGCACTTCTCTTTGAAAAATATTAAGTTGGCTGAGACACGACATATATGCTCATTTTTCTTTGCAATATAGACTATTATAGGTGTATATATATATTGCAGCTGGCAGAGTATATTTGCTGAAAAGTTTTCTGCACCGACTGTAGTTGCCAGGTGGTCTAGTGGCACCAAATTCCAAAAAATGGCTGGCGCTATCTTTTAAACCGGCGTCTTCATGCCGGCAATTTCAACCGAGGACTGCTGAACATCGCTATGCAAGCAGCCGTTCTTGTCTCCTCTGGTCTAACCATGCTGGGAGGGCAAAGAAATATTCCTGGATATGCAAATAGTGAAATTTTAGAACAGAGTCAAATAGTGATGAAACCAAATCGAATACCAACTGAATAGTAAGGGAACTATTTTCAAAGCACCCCTAGAATAGTAGTGGAACCATTTTCAAAACTAGCCCAAGAACTCTCACTAAAAATAAATATTCATAAGCTTCAAGAAAGGAACATTATGATCCAATTTAGGTGATAAAAATACCATCAATACGTACATTGATGCAAGCTTGTGCACAGCAGCAGAAAGGAATCTCTTGCAATAGCCAGTTGAAATACAGCAGTGTCTGTCCTGTCCACATTATCCAAGGTGAGGCTTCAGCGACATTGTAAATGTCGCGATGAAGATAGTGGATCGATGACTGCATCGCTTCAGCCACACAGGTGTTTTAAGCTAGAACACTCGCATCCTGATGTCAGTATGGCGTCCATGGTCCAGTAAAATCTTGGGCTGCTTGCATCTCGGTGATGAGATCAATTTAAAAAAAAAAAAGGAATGTTACCACTCTTTATTAAAAGATTTCATTCCTCTGAAGTTTTCTCAATGGTGCTCATCATTTGAAAAATATTACAAAAGTATTTGGGATTTCCGATATGATCTATTCAGTTCGAGAACCAAGTCGAATAGGATGGTATTCATACTTCATACATTCGTACTTGCTACGCTTTTAGAGACACAGCCTCTCTTTTTTGCATAATGCCGTCACTGCATTACCATTTCCTGGGAAGCATAAACCTATCATAGAAGTTCCTTTTTTTTTTCGGTTGCTTTTAGTTCAAAAAATAACATGTAACAGAAATGTTTGTACACTTTATCCCTTTAGGTGCCAATTATGATGTACTGTCTATTAATGTGTCACATTCACATAGCATAAATCTCTAGGCACTCAATATTGCATCCAAATAAACAAAATGAATTGGTTGCTTGGCACGAGGCTGTCATTTATTGTAAATTGCATGTAATGAAATATTCAATTATTCTTTAGTCAGTAATAAGGTTAAGTTCATCCATTTGGTCTCTTTTTCTGACAGCAAGTTCACACTACTAGTATCATGGAACAAGTTGCACATACAAACGCATCCTCTGTCACTGAAAAGGACAGGAGACCCTTCATGTAAAAGACGTGAACTGCTTTCCGGTGTTTCTCTCTTATGAAAGGGTTCAACTGTATAAACAAAAACACATTGCACTTGCATTACAAGCATCATATTTCACTCTTCTTGTACAGAAAATACGAAACAGTTGACTTAAGAATATGTAGATTTCTGGTTGCACTAATTATGATAGCTTACAGAAAATTGTACCAAACCGCATATCTCATTTTTGAATAATGCATGCTATGCTCTCGTATTGAACGTAATATTTGATGGTCGCAGGTTCAGTTCCCACCAGAGGCACGGTATCTTTTTGTCCATTTTACATGCTTCGCACTTACATCAAAATACTTGCAAATAATATCCCCCTATACTTTCCTTGGCTTTCTTGTCTGACAGTATTAGGTAATGTTGTGCCTAACAAAGAAAAACAAGCACTTAAAGTTTCTCTTCCTTCGTTTTCTTTATTTCAAAGCACAACTGATTCACAGACATGTCACATAACAGCAGAATCTATTGCAGTCCAAGCGGTTTAAACAGCACAAAGGACCAATGACTGATGTGCATTTGCAATAACTAATCCTAAAGAAGATGCTATTCAAGAAATTTAATAAACATCAGTTTTTACAAAGAATACAATAAAGAATAAATTTAAAGTGAAGTATAAATGTATATAGTGAGTTGCACGAGTATTCCTCATTGTGCCATATAAGTATACAGCACAGATTAAAAGAAAACACGAAGGTTTACCATAGCTACCATTGGCAGCTGTGGATTCGTTAAGTCATATTGCACTTCAACCAAAATGTAAAAACAAGAAACTTGCACAACCACATGCTTCTATTTAAGTTGAGAATGTTCTAATGCTTTTCGAAATATGCAAAGTATTTGTTCAATCAAAACTTAACACATAATTTTACTTGAGTATTGATCAAATAAGAAATGAAATCACACTTTTACTTTTTTAAAATTTTCTCTGTTCGGTTGAATACAGGTTCACCCCGCCGCGGTGGTCTAGTGGTGCTCGGCTGCTGACCCGCAGATTGCGGGATCCCATCCCGGCTGCGGCAGCTGCATTTTCGACGGAGGCAAAAATGCTGTAGCCCCATGTGCTCAGATTGGGCGCACGTTTTCAAAAACTCCAGGTGGTCGAAATTTCCGAAGCCCTCCACTCCAGCATCTCTCATACTCATATGGTGGTTTTGGGATGCCAAACCCCTTGTATCAATCAATCAAACAATAGATCGCATTTTGCCACGGCAAACATTTTCCATGCCTTGATAATTATTTATTTAGTGATGGTTGGAACTAGAGCTGCTAGTTCCACTTAAAATGGGACGATTTGGGCTTCCTTATTGGCCAAGTCGCTTGTAAAATTTTCTTGTCCCTTGTTGCATTTCTGGGCTTATTTGAATTTTCTGGCAAATATAGTTAGTTTAGTGATCACCATGTTGACCAATGGCATGTTTGCCAATGACGCTGAGTAGTTGAGTGTTGAAGTCAAACATATGTTGGGCAAAATCAACAAGTAGCATTAATGATACATTTGTAAAAAAGCTTGACACTCTCGGCGTGCCGAATCGTACATGAATAAAGAGGCATGGAGGCACAGGTAGGACACATACGAGCACAAACTAACAACTGTATTCAATAGAAACAAGACGAGCATGTATAGGGTGAAAGGGAAAAGAAAAGAAAGAAAGCGTAAACCTGCGCACTGCCCACTACAAAAAATCAACCATCTACATTACATCAAATCTGCATTCAAATAAATGAAGACTGAAATTGAGACAATGTTAAAAAGTAAATAGGTGCTTCTGTTCATATTTGCACATATTTTTGTTGCATGAAGTATACAGAGGAATTTTTGAGCTGAGTGATATATTTTATCCCAATTAAAAACATAACCAAGGACGGGTAAATGTCTTGAATTTCTGCATCTTTTGTGATAATTATTTGTTTGTTAGCTTAGTGGAATTTGGCAACTCTAATGGTAACCATCCTTGAATGTTGTTTTTGGAACATTAGATTTTCAACGAAGGCGTGTGTGCTGTGGTCAGTAATAAAGTGACACACTCTCATGCTAGCGAGGCATTGCATGAATAGTCATGCAAATGGTCATATCCAAGTATGCAAATGTCAACAAGGAGGAAGCAAAGCTTACATACTGTGGACCTGAAAGTTGTCATTCTAACAAGTACCATCATATTTAACATCCCTATATCATAAAAGACACAAAATGAAAAAGCATTGCAAGAACTATAAAAGCAGCTATATAAGTCTCCAGAGAGCACTTAAGGGTCTTGAAGTTTTTAGTAGTTCTTTATCTACCGAGGCGAAACTTGTAGTTTATGTATATTCAGGCACAGATTTCAAATGAGCAATTCGTTTTCTAATATATAACCTGTACTTTTTAGAATGTCCAACGTTTCGTATGCTTTTTGGGAGCCACAGTTTGCCTAAACTGAGAGAGTTACACAGCAAATAGGCCCTTCGAAATGAATAAATGCTGAATGCTAGAAAAAAGAAATGACAAGTCCTAAACACGCTTGAACAAATGTTATGCTATGTTCAACATTTCCACATAAGTCTACATCAAGCTATGATTTTAGTCACAAGTTTTCAAATAACAATTTATCTTCAGAAGGTTTTATTCTTCTTTTCTTGCACGGTGTACTCATTCCAGGTAATTCTGACATGCTTATTTAATTTGCAAGTCTCTCACGATAATTTAGCATAGCTACCGAAATGGCACCTGCAATTATTGCACAAGGAAAATAATTTATTTGAAATCAGCACACAAATATACATCAACTTGGCGAGTTTCATTTAAACTAATGGAGAAGTTTCCAGGCACAGTGTCTCCCCTTAAAAAAAAAGAAATGGTACTAGTTGAGCAAAATTATCAACTCAAGTCACACCTTTGAATGTTTGTCAAAGTAGGCGGATTACAAGAAGTGTTTGATTCGTTCAACAAAATAACAACACCAGTTCCTTTTTCCATGAATAATTGCACAAGACGAGAACTAAACGTGCACGTGTGGTATGCAAGTGAAACACAAGAGCCAGAACAAATTAAAAGGAATGTTTTTAAGAAGGAAATAGAACAGGTTTATCATTACCGGGGGAGACAGTCATGATAAAGGGAGAACAACAGGATGCTCGCTTGTGTCGTGTGGTTATTTGTTTCAGTCGTCATTGCGCACTCTCCGGAAACAATGAATACATAGCCCAGTTTTCTGCTAGGTTTAGAACAGGCTTAGTACGTGAATGTCCAAATAAGTATATTGGCCTCGTACAGGGGCGTAGCCAGGGGGTGGCACACCTGGCACGAGCAGTGCAGACGGTTTCGAGCAGTGCACGTTCTTTGCAGCGCTGGTGCGCACCCATGCATGCATGACGACCGCGTAATAGGAGCGACTAGTGACACCAGATGTGACCCTGTGTCTCACATAACGATACAAGCAAAACTAAAGCTCCTGGAAACTGTCAGAGAAGGCCACCTGGACACTTTAAATGCGCTGTGCACCTTCGTAAATACTTTTTGTAGAACGAATTTTCCCCAACTCCTAGGAACACCTTTCCATTGAACATCTGGCAAAAATTTCAGGCACTTACTACTACTCAACATAGTCATATTGCAAAGCTGACACTTTAATTCAATATTTGGCTAGCAAAGGTTCTTTTCATTACAGAACTTCGATGTTGCTGTAGCATAATCACGAGGGCCTCGCACTTCTGTCAAGTTCGCCAGCCTAATGCACTTTTTCAACAATACATGCACATTAGTTCGCGCTAAGGACTGTCAAAAGTCACTATGTTGTTAAAACGGGCAAATTCAAATTGATTCCGAAAGTTGAGTGGCTGGACTAACTATTAGAAAGCGCTGTGTGCACGATAAACAAATTTAACATGCCGAAATAGATGATCCAAAAGCGTCAATCACTCGTAATCGGTTTGAATAGGCATGGTAACGAAAGAGTTAAGGGGGTGTCCCTCCCTAAATCAAAGCGGTGACCCCCCCCCCCTCTCCCCCCAAAATATTTCTGGCTACACGCCTGGCCTCATGTGTACATATAATCACACACACAATTCAGGAAAAGCAACAGCATATAACAGACCAATGATATATGGGGTTTAACGTCCCAACACCATTACATGATTATGAGAGACGCCGTGGTGGAGGGTTTCGGAAATTTCAACCACGTGGGATTCTTTAACGTGCACCCAAGTCTGCGCACATGGGCCTACGACATTTTAGCCTCCATCGAAAATGCGGCCGCCGCAGCCGAGATGCGATCTCACGACCTGTGGGTCAGCAGCCAAGGTACCTTAGCCACTAGACCACCATGGCGAGGCGCATATAACAGACCACGCCAAGTACGTTCGATTGAACTTAAATAAGCAGCTATTACAAGAACAGTGCACAGTTTTACCAAAACTTTTTTGTGAAAGTGTGATTGCACTTTCAGGCTGCACAGAGGCACACATGAATTCTTGCACGTCATTTTTGCAGCTTCACTGGTCACTTAGTTAAGGAGCGATGACAATTGAAAAACGCAAGTTTTTTCCAAAATTACATATTTTTCATTCTCATTTGCTTTCACAATTTTAGTTTCTCTACTTTCATGACCAAAAAACTGAATATTGTAATTAAACTCGAAGTAGGTTAAAATCACTTTTCAATTAAAGAGCATGGGGTGGCTACTAAAAAACCAACAACTCATGGCTAAAGCTCTCTAGAAGTTGTCACCTGGCTTCTTGCCAATGGCATAGGCACTTCACCAAAGCCAGATGTTCAAAATAATTTCCCAGCTCTCATTATGAAAGAATCATTTTAAAAAACATAGTTCTTGCAGCACACATGAGCTGTCGCTTTAACATGTGTTTTTCTCAAGACCCATTTACTGGGCCACTTGCACACCGTGTTTCTGGTCCTTCTGGTTGCCAGATTAGAAAGAAACGTATTTCTAAACATGGGAAGAGTGCAAGTATTTCCTTTAAAACCTGATATCACCCATGTAATTATTATGAACCTAAGGTGAGTAATTAGTATGGACTGAAGATTCTACAAAATTTCACCATACAATGTCTATAAAAATGTCTTGTACACACTTTCTTGAGACTTATTTGCATTCTACAGTTAATGTGGAGCAGTAAAAGTGATTAATGGCTTAGAACCATAAAAGTAAGCATGGGCTGAGGATTCTACAAGTTTTCACATTACAATTTTTCTTGTCTATGAAAATGTCTTGTACACACTTTCTTGATACTTATTTGCATTCTACAGTTAATGTGGAGCAATAAAAGTGATTAACGGCTCAGAATCATAAAAGCTAATTGGCATGAAATTTTCCCAAAACAAAAGCATACTTTACACATTATCATGGCTCAAAACAAAAATGGAATAACTTACTATAAAACTAATTACATATTTAAAGTAAGCATCAAAGCATATATATGAATATATAAATAACAAAAAAATATTTCTCTAAGCTACAAATTAATGCAACTTTTGTTTCGAATTGCATTTCCTCTTAATAGGGTAAATAAACAGCAAGTGAGAAAAAAATTTAACAAACAAAAAGCAGGATTATCAGTAACGATTCAAAGCACTTCCACTGAAAATTATTATTCATGAAACCACATGTTAACAATTTTTAATGCAAAATAAAATACCAAATCTCCGTCCCCCCGGAAAAAAGAAACTGAAAACCCTCTTCCGAATTTTAAGGAAACCAAACTCCAAAAACACAGAGCCTCAGCCATAAGATTAGAAAGCCAGAACTACTGATAAGTAACTTCTAATTACGAAGGAACTCCTGAGAGCTTCTCAGAAAGAAAGAATCTCATCAAAAAAGTTTCTTAGAACTGATAATAGAACGTACCATCAGTGCCTTCTTGGGCAGTTACTTTCAGAATTAATCGGGAAGCAAGTAGATGACAGTGCAAGGTCAAGCTAACTACTAAATGGAACCACTGCGACTATAAATTAAAGGTAACAACTATTACTAAATGCATCTAAACACGAAAACTAGGAAATCTGCCTAGTGCTCATGTTAATAAACATAAACAACGAATGCCCCCATGGTTTATGAATCGAATATTGAGTTTTCCAACTCAGCATTCATGCAGATGACGTTACAATGGCGCAGACAACTTGACTCCTGTCAAGTTGTCGCACTGCTTCTGATTTGTGAGAAAGGCTTCACCCGAACCGGTTGGGCCATACATGAGACAGTTTGCCTACCAACCATACGAGGCTATTCTTTGAAATTGAAACAGATGTTTTTACAAGTGAAAAAACTATAGCATAGCACAGCGAGTCACCTGAGAATCCACATGAAAATCATCTTGTTTTGAGAGTGCATGGCACGCATGGAACATACATGGAACGCTTTGAACACTTTCCAGCATGGTTGCGGTGAGCTCTGTCTCAATGAAATTTGCAAGATTGGGAACATTGTGCTGCACAAAAACAGATTTGCTTCTGAGTCACGTTTTTCTCTTGTAATACTGACCGTTCAAGAAGGAACTTTACTAACTTAGTAATGAGAATAGCCAAGCTGCTGACAGCAGTGATTGCAGAATCGCCTAATTATGCCATAATCATGCAGTTATGCAAAGGCCAGGGATACATGTTTAAATTGATAACCCAACTTAGGGTACTTACAGTATTTATCAATTTTCAGTCATGCAATAAAAATTAAATGAAAACAAATTTCTGGTTACTAGAAAAAATGATTAAAGGTAAATGAAATCGTGAAAACGAAACCAGCTTGCTTTGCACAAACCACAGGGATGAAACTTCAAATGGCATCAGTAATTCTTATCAGTTAGGTATTTTGAAGCCCAAATAATCCAAGCATTACTAACACACAATACAATGAGTAAATGCTTATATCAGTCTATGTTCTGGTTTCATTCTGCTTCTTTGGGAGGTAATTACATGCATGCAATATTCAAACAAGCGACCAGCCGTGCATGCTGATGGGGCACACAACGAAAAGAGAGCACCATATTTTTTTGCCTAATAAATTCAATCATATACTCGTAAAAAAAAAAGCAATTGGCCATGAGGTAAACATTTTATCCAAAGTGCTTGCTGCCTGCTGTCTTGCAAATTGAAGTCTGAACACTTCTGCTGCTCTTTACAGCATCATGGACTCATGGACCGCATCAAAACAATCGTGATGAAAGGAAACAAAGACTGACATTAAGATGCATGTATTTGTGTTGCGGCAAAGATCAAACAGCCAAAAGTTAAATAAAACTGATGAGGGTGGACTGATTACTGCCATGATTTTTTGTGTTATTACATTATGCAAGTTTGCAAATTAATTCAGTCAAAGTAAATGCAAACCTGTCAAGTGTCCATGGCTTCTTTCTCTCCACAACATTTCCAACTAGTTGATCATTGCTCTCGACTGTCAACACTGCTCAAGAATTACTCTCATGTCTAAATTATGCCTATGTGCCAACCTGCACACAATGTGCAAATGTTCAGTTAAAATCTACAATCCAAGGCAGCCTAGCAGGTTAAGGCAAGGCACTGTTAAGCCCAAAGATGTGGGCTTCATTGCCAGCCATGGCTGCCATATTAAACAGCGACAAATTGAAAGAGCCCCCCCGTAATTATATTCAGGTGCACAGGTGGTCAAAGTTCATCGGGAGTGCTCCGAAATAATTTGCCACATAAAATCCCAGAATTTGATTCAACTAATCAGTTAAACACTTGCTTTTCTGAACGCACATAGTGTATGGCACTCAGTAAAACTAACCGAAAAATAAAAAATGACATAAAAACTAACCTAAAGTTTGGCTACAAATTTGTCCTAGTAATGTCCTGGACTGTACAATGGAGGCCTAAACAAAGTAGAAGATCATTTATTGAGGCAAAAACAGTGCAGACAAAGAAAACACAGGACACAGTGCTATCGACTGGTTTCTTTATTAGAAAGCCAGAAGAATATATAGGGAGGCTAGCAAAACAAAAAATGGCAAATGTCCTGTTGTCCGGGCTATTTTTGCCACAATGTTCATGAAACTAAGAAACCTGAATCATTTATTATATTCCCCTTCTGATTATACCTGCAAGAGATGGGCGAAGCAGCAAGGTTCCAGCCAGAACAATACAAGCCCAATACACAAACTAATTGGCAGTTGAAGAAAAACATCAAAGCACCACCTAGTGCCAAATTTTACTACGGTTCTCCAAAGCTGAAAGAGAAGCAACTATGTCGATGTCTGTAGCTTTTGCAGGTCGTAGACCACCTCCAGGAGGCATGCGTGGCTCCAGGCCTGAATGGGGCAGGCGTCGGGACAGACGTCACCATCACGGTTGGTGAGTTCGGGCAACCCTCGCCAGGGCGATGACTGAATGATCTGGTAGTTGTTGGAGAGGATCCCCTTCACCTCGTCCACTGCAGCAGCCAGCGCGTTCTTGCTGTCAGCCACCTTTTGGGCAAAGTGCAGCCTCGCTCTGAGGTAGAAGCCCATCGGCCAGAGCCACTCCTGAAAGAGCACTCCTGATAAATGATTGATGCGCTTTTCGAGCCCATGCATGCATGCATATATAAATATATATATATATATATATATATATATATATATATATATATATATATATATATATATATATATATATATATATATATATATATATATAGGGAATTTAATATACCTATCTACTTCATCTATACATTCTGATCACTATACATTATCATCATGCATCCTCATCGTTGTCGTGTATGAGTGTCATCATTCTTGGTTCATCGTAGCTGTCGGCTGCCGAGTCCTCGGGCCTAATATAAGGTCATCGGCCGAAATGTAAGAATTAATAAAATCTTTGGTACATTCACTGACTCAAGCCTATATACTATATACAGTTCACATAAAATTTGAGACGAGAACAGAAGAAATCATAGAATGCAATGCTTATAATACAATGTTTCTAAGTTCTTAAATGAAAACTTTTTCTGTCAGATATAATAAGAGAACCACCTTCTATAGAAATGTATTAAATGCTAATGCATAAATATAGGTAATTGTGTTCCCTATTGTTGCATTATCAATGCAAACATTTGTAGGCTGAATAATATGTTGTATTGTTACTTATGTCACTGATGTTAATTCTATTATTGAGAACTGACGGACATTTATGCCAAAAAAGTCTAAGGAATATTATTAGAAGTAATTGTAATGTAAATGTGAAAAAAAAAAGTGGATGAAAACTTGACTTGCCTTGGGCAGAAATTGAACTTGCGACCTTCAAATAACGCACCTGATGCGCTACCAACTGAGCTACCACTGCGACTATCCCCCCCATCCACTTTATTGGGTGTAATAAATGTGGGAGCATTAGTCCGCACCGCCCGTTGCCCATGGCAACGAGATAGGCGAAGGTAGCGTCAGTCGGGGCTGCCCATTGCCGACAGCAACGGGTGGCGCTGACTGACGCTCCCACATTTATTGTACATACATAACCAAAAAAGTGGATGGAGAGATAGGTGCCGTGGGTGGTAGCTTTATGCTTGTGGTTGTCTCGGCTACTGTACAGATCTCTGTAAAACTCCTCCACTATTTTAACTATCCTATCCGTAATGGTAGTTATTTGCCTTCCTTGTTCCTTACTGCATACATCTTGTTTTTGCCTATTCCAAGTTTCCTCTTCACCACTTTGACATTTCCTCCGTTCGTTAGAGCATGCTCAATTGTTTCCATGTCGTAACTTTTTACAATGGACAGCTCACGCTTATTAAGAGGAGATGCGGGTTGAAAAACGCGAGTTTTCAAAATTACTGATTTTTTATTTTTGCCTGTTTTGATAAGATTAGTACCTCTACCGTTATGAAAAAAATAATACAGGTCGAGACTTAACTGGGAATGCTTTAAAATTTCATCTAAAGAGCACAAGGTGCCTGTTGAAAGGTCAAAAGTGTACAGTCTTCGAGCACCTTGCCGCCGATAATGCGCCTCCGCTAGCCATTGTTGATCGCATGAGCTGAAGAGTCGAGCCTCACTCTTCAAATAACAACAGTTTCCCTCGCTGATGAAGAGCAAGAAATAATAAAAAAAAGCACGTTTCTGCGCCTTTTTCGAGCGTGGCGACTGGCTTATCACGTGGTACGAATCGGGGACCGCCATTGGCCGCGGCGCGCCTGTATGTGTTGTGAAGCCTATTTGCGGGGTCCGTGTCTTGTCGAGCAGCGCAGCTGAACAATGCTTTTCTCGTGTAATTATCTCCTTTATGAATGAAAAAAAAACTATTGCTCGCAAGTGAAAGCTGTTGTGCGGCGTGCTCAGTAGGAATAGGCTACGAGCAGCTGGTCCGATTTGCGGCAGTTGTTGGCTTGCAAAAGCCAATGCATCAAAGTCATTCACACTCGTCAGCCGGAAAGTTTGTGATGCGACCATTGATGAGGTCAGCGCCAATCTTGAGAGGTCTAAAGAGCTCGCAGTGAGAGAACTTAGCGGGGATGACATTGCCATTATGTATGACAGTATGTGGCACAAACATGGCTGCAAAATGGCATGACACTGGACTTAGTTTGGATTTTGCAGTCCTGTTGAACTTCTTCCTAGCTTGCAGTTGGCACAAGGCTCTGCCAGATGGAGTGGAAGTTTGGCAAGCGTTTCATGGCCCTCTCTGTAAGCGAAATGTCTGTGACGATTCGCCTCGAAAAAGCAGAGAGGGACAAACTCATGGTACTGGCATATTTTAGTCGCAGTGGCCACTACAAGAAGGATTGTTCTTTTTGGCGTGCAAATTTCATCTGATTTAATAATATCTTTCATAAATAAAAACTCAATTTCAACTTCTAAACTCGTTTTTTTCAAAACACAAATTTTGACAATTTTTCCAATGTGCCCCTCTTTTTTCGGGCACTTCTAGTGCTCAGATCTGCATAAAATTTTGCCCAATTTTTTTTTCAAAGTATGACAAATACAGTTATCTAGCTTAAACTTCAATATTTTATTGTATAATAAAAAATTGTATGTATACCTTTACTAGGGTAGGTGAAATATGGACTTTTTACATCTATTATTTTTCACGCATATTACATATTTTGTATGTGCTTCCTAAGTAGTTAACTGCACTCTACACTTTATATGAAGCATTATGAACTATGAATGGTAAAAAATTATAGAATTTTAGGGATGAAAAGAGGTGGGCAAAAGGGTTAAGGTTTTCACTTTGTCATGTTGCAGAGCTAAAAGTGTGTAATTTGCAAGAAAACTAATTATATATTTTAAATCAGCATAAAAAGTTCCATAAACAGCTCAAGTTTCATTGCTCTAGGGCGAATATTAAAGAAAAAGTGTCTTCGAGTAGCATCTCCCCTTAATCAACTTCGAAAGCTCTGCCAGTTTTATTTTCTATGTCATATTTGAGGCTTTCATACTTTTACATTTCTAAACGAGGCTCTTTGTCTCCTGGAACTGCTTGCTAGTGTCCTAACTACCATACCTCAAACTTCTACTGCGGACTCCATAAATATACTCATCAGATTATCATTCATTCTGTCAACACTGAGGCCGGTTTCCTCGGTAAACATTTGCCGCCCTCAACCAAATATCCCCAGACAAGCGCGCCATCTGTCGGACAGTGCTAGAAGCTGGTGCAGGGGCCTCGCATATTCCTTGAACCGGGTTAGAATGCAGTCGGCTTTTGGTCTTCAAGCACACTGAGAGCTAGAAAATTGCAGTAATATTTTATTACTTACTAGCTATCATATAAATTTTTTATTTTAGAGCAAGCAAAGAATAACAGTAAGTTTACAATTTCAAATGTGTTATGATGACTTCACCTCGCTCAGCTAGTACCTACGGCAGCCAACGGTGATGCATTGTCGTTCTAAAATTGCAAGAATTCTGGGATTTCAAACGAGTGTCCTTAAACATAGGCTGGATAGATATTGCAACAATATATTAAGGAATCAGCATGGCCAATGCCTCTGAAGCCGCAAAAATTACAACTGGGCAGCTTCATTTTTTTCCCATGATCCTTTTAAGAGGTGTTTTTTTTTTAATAGTTGGTCAAGCAGAATGAAATCAAGTGCATGTTGGCGTCACACAGTGCACTGCTGACTGTGGCCAAGCAGGATCAGGATTGAATTTATTAACACTGATTGGCGCTTTATCTTGCAAAGTGTGTCAAGGGGCAATCACGATCAACAAATTTGATGCAGATCACGTCTTATCACGATAAAAAGTGGTTGTGTAACAGCGGCATTATCCAGATTTTTCTTCAGACTTCGTACCACTGAGTAAATTTTTAATAGCTGCACTAAAAAAAAAAACATCTGCCATTTCTACAGTGTTCTCTAGCATTATGGATAGTGCTGGTTGCGGTGGAGTCAGCATAGAGATTAATTGATGATTGATATGTGGGGTTTAACGTCCCAAAACCACCATATGATTACGACAGACACTGTAGTGGAGGACTCCGGGAATTTTGATCACCTGGAGTTCTTTAACGTGCGCTCAAATCTGAGCACAAAGGCCTACAGCATTTTTGCCTCCATTGAAAATGCAGCCGCAGCAGCTGGGATTCGATCCTGTGGGTCAGCAGCAGAGTACCTTAGCCACTAGACTACCATGCCGGGGCGGAGCCAGCATAGGACACAATGGACACAGAGCGCTCGTGGCTCGAGCTTAGCGGCCACAGATGGGCAGTCAGAGCCAAGCTCACGAGCAGTAAAGACATGTCCATTAGTGTCTTGGCCTCCTCCTTAAGGAGTTCCAGGCAGTGGTCAACCCAAAACTCAGCAACGTAAGTTTTGCGAGAACTTTTGGCAACTTCTGTTTGTCAAACGCAAAAACAAGGTATTTGGTAAGATTGCTGAAAAGCTGGTCTAGCCTATGATGTAATTTATGTTCTTATAATGTTGTTCACCAAATTATAAGTGTTGATAATCATGATATGTACAAAGTGATAATTATTCACCCACACTTGCATCCACTTATTTTGTATTCAAAGTTCATTGAAAACAAACCAGCATCACTGGCTAGACCAGCTCTCTGGCAGTGTAGCTGCATAATTTGTTTTAGTGTTTGACAAAGCAAAGTTGCCGAAAAGCACAAAAAAATATGCTTTCAAAAATCTTTTGTTTGAATGAATGAAGCTATGAAAGCTATACTTGAAAAAGTTACACGAGTGTATTGAATTTCGTTCAGTTAACCCAACTAATAGAGAAAATTTTTTAAAGACCCACGTCTCTTTCCCCTTCACAGGTTTTTGTTTTGTTTTTACAGGTAAATATGTACAGTGCACAGCAGTTACATTTAGGCCACTTGAGCGTTGCAAGAAAGCTGCCACACTACATCACACTCTCTTCAGAGCACTGTTCTGTTACGCACATATTTCATATGAGTGTCAGCTTTTGTGTTTTTGTCATCACTAGAACAGAAGCTTGGGTGAGTGGCTTCTTTAATAAACAACCAAGGCAAAAAGACCGAAAACGAGAAAGGTGCGTGTTTCACTGTGTGCAGACAAGTAAAAAATGTGTTCCTTGAAAGGGCCTGACAGAATGTGTGATTAGATCATGGTTAAAATGAAATTACCGTGAAATATAGAGACAGATTCGAGCACGCATTTCATGTTGTGAGGAGGATTTTCCTTTCTAAATCGCGTTCACAAGTAACAAAAACTAATATTTTACACCGCCCAGTGAAGGCCCTTCGGCCGCCCTATTCCGTAAAATAGCAAACAAGGTACAACTAAGTCAAGTTCCATGCCTTTCATTTGCCCCTCTCTGCTTGCGAAATTTGGTATATTCATTTAAAGCTCGAATATGGAGTCAATCACTCTACTCTATGTAGTCACGTAGTCAAGTGATGTCATGTGTGCCTAAATTAGTCCTCAAAATTATAGTAAGATCATTATCCATACAGGCTCCATTCTTTGCTGCTTACGAGGTAAAAGGAGTTGCACGGTGAGAAGCAGAGCTGCCATCGTCGCAGCCTGTGGAACAGGCATGACACGACGCATTCAAAATTTGCGCTTGAACCCAAACTGGTCCAATGCTCATTGTTTGCAGCATGTATTGTCGTGTGCATATACGACGTCATGTTCGCCACAGATAGAAAAATTCTGTTCAGATATGTCTGGCAGCATTTTCCATGCTAAATAAAATAGGCAGAAGCATAAAAACTGTTTGTTGGTCCCTTTAACACGAGTTATTTTTACTGAGAGGTGAATCGTATTAGAGGCAGCTGTTCCAGAAACTCTGCTTATGAAATTTACATTTACCGAGGGTAGACTGCATAAGTTAAATGCCAACAAAGATTCGCTTTAGCTACAAGGAGCAATTCTCGTGTGATAACAAGAGAAGTACACTCCAGGTAGGGTGGTGTATTCTACTTTCTTTTCACACAGAGCATGAATGTTTGCTCCCTTTCAGATGCTGCCCACAGCTTGTTTTTTCAAGGAGTGAAGAAAGAGCAACATACATTGAGGATGACCTCCTGCATTTATATTCATTCAACTTCCCTTCGTATAGTTACATACAATCACTTTGCTGAAGGCACTGCCACGTTTGACGCGTCGTTCACGGGCCGCTTCGTGTGAACCCGTGTGAAAGATGTATTTTTTCTTTACTCAAAATGAACATAGCCAAAAATGAATTTACAATATGATTCTATGCTGAGATTTCATTCAATTTCTGCCAAAACAGAGCATGAATGGCTTCAGGACGAATAGCTGTTGAATTGTAACTTGATTAAGATTATTTACTATAACACACACAAGTTGACATAACTGTATGACATTATTTTTTTTTTAAAAATGTTAAGTGTTTTGAAACGATGTATTGGTTTGACACATTAACAAAGAATTCTTCATAGATGCTGCCTGAAAAAGCTAAAAATTTGAAGGCACTGCACACTTACCAAGCAAAACTATACTAGTTTTATTCAACGCAATTGCATTAAGTGACCATACATTAGTGAAAAAAATGCACCTTTTCTTCTAACCTTAATCTTAAAGGAGCACTGACATCAAATTTCAAGATCGAGATGTGCCCATCATTCGATCGCTTGGTATGCATAGGTGTTCTTGGCCAAATTTGAACGGCAGCCGTCTTGTGGAAGTTATTTTAATTCGATGTCAAACAGCGTAGAAAAGCTAAGAAAAAAAACAACAGAAAATAGACTGCCCTGCGACATGAAAATTAGTGCTACATGTTCGGTGTGATACATTCCACAAATACTATCCTGAGTGACGATGCCCTAGTACGATGACGTGTACGATCCGAGTATTCTTATCGTAGCACCGATTGGCGCCAAAGCGCAGAAACGCACTCCCTCGTTGCGTCTTATCTTCGTCGTACCGGTTTGAATTATTTCCTGAAATTGTCGAGATTAAAACCACCTTAAAAGAATGACAAAAGAAAAGAGCATTATTAAACATGTGCTTGTAAGTCAGCAAGTCGGGGAATAATTGTGAGTTGCAGGTGAGTTGCAGTCGTCTAGTTCGAAGCACGCAAAAAGCGCAATGAGGGTGTCTTTTCATATCATGTATGTCTTACACATCAACACGACCACAAGCTATCGGAAGTGGAACCGCTTATAACCAGATATCATCGCTAACAAGTAACACGCAGGCATCGTTGAATTTTAGTTCATCTGTAGACTTTGCGTCCACGTAAAAGTGGTAGTAATACCGTGTTGACCGCAAGAGGCTGGATAGGTGGGGCCATCTGGAGGTGCGAAAAAGAACCTGGCAAGCAGGAAACGCATTCTTTTTCTCCGCTGATGCTCAATTCGTGATAGCTATATTGCATTGACCCCTCTGCGTATACCTGAATGCTTTGCATGCCAAAACACACCGATATAGCTAACTGAGACACACGAGCGAACATGGCTGAAGCGTGCATCCTCGGGCACCTCTGCAGTGCTGCTTGAAACGGAGTCCATTTTGGAATCACTGTTCTGCAGAAGGTACATCGAAGCAAAAATAATTCGCAACGTTGCGAATTGCGGGGATTCCAAGCTCCAGACTATCGTATTGAACCCGAGTGGGAACTTTGTACGGCGACGACAGCAATGCAGGAGACAAGGTATGACCGACTGTGTCCGCCTAGCAGACGAAATGTTTTGCGGAGCAGCTGAGCCTGACGCCACTCTTTTCTGTGGAGAAGTGGTCAGCTGTGATGTGATCTGGAGTTGATCGCAAGGTAGTGTCACTGCTGGTGCTCCCAGTGCTAAAAATGGCGGGATTGCCGGTCGTTTTGAATAGTGCTAGATACCAGTGATATAAATCAATAAAAGTGATAGTCATTCATCCCTCAGTTGCATTTTAGGTCGCAAATCACTGCTATGGGGTCTATAACTACTCGCTGGCGTAAAAATCTTGGCATGAGTAAATTTGATGTCAGTGCTCCTTTAAAGCTCTGCAGTAAAGTTTTCATTAGTACTGCGGCTAAGCAAACAGTTTCTCAATAATTTTTACTTGAAGCATTCTTTTACATAAAATTTTCAAAACCGTATCTATGACTGTTCTCCTAGCAAGTAAATTCACTTGAACTAATAAAAACAAATAGTAAATTCTGGCCATTTTTTCCCGCAGACGCTTGAATAAAGGATTGGTGATCAGGCACCAACACATGGCTACCGCCTTCACGCCAGACCATCAAATTTTAAAATATTTTGTCATGGTCAGTGTTTCTGTTCAGTTGTTCCCAGTTAGAAACTTGAAAGGCTTCATTACATGAAATTCAATGCTTGAAAAAGCAAAAAGAAGAGCTTTCTGTATTTGCAACCATGGGTGGACAAATCAAGCTCCCTCGAACTCACCAAAATTTTGCTGGAGTGGACTTACTCGAATTTAGACTCGTGAAACTTTTCCTAAATCGGGCTCACTCGGACTCAAAATCATGAAAACTTTTTTTTCGCTAAACTCACCCGAACACACTCTCACAAAATTTTTCTTTAACCAGCACATGGACAACCTGTCCTTCAGATTAAGTCCATTTAAAGAACTGGAAGAATAATGCGTGTGCGAAGTTCTGCTAAATCTTGAAAATACTTTCACATAAGCACTCCAGTCGCTTAGTCAAGCATATGAGGAGGGCTATGTAAATCATGCGCTGTGCTATGGTAGGTTCAAGCATTTGAACACAGTAGAATGTTGGTCGGTGCCAATCCCAAGCCTGGATGACCTTCCAAGTCAACAGATGATGACCCTATCAAGAGTTTGTGCTGTAATTCGAGTAAATTTTAGTTAGACTGCTCGAGAAGTTGCTGATGAAGTGAGTATTACCATAGGCTAATGCCATAAAATTTCCTTCTAATTTCTACGTTGAAAGGACACCGTGTCTAACCCATTCCAGAAAAAGCATTCTATGACGCTTCAAAAAAATGAAAAAAAAACGAAACGATAGGAACCGTGGATTACCAGTAGAGGGCAGTAGTTCGAGAGGGGCAATGCTTAAAATGTTGTACCACAAGCAGTTAAAGTGTAATAGAAAAAGCTCAGTTTCTGTTTGAGCACACCTCAAAATCAGCGACCATAGTGCACTTGCACTTATAAACGGAATGTAACAGCGCATCGGGTGGAAGCACAAAAGAGCGTCGTAAGCTTGGTCTGCTAACTGGGCTCACTTGGCCTTAGACTCAGAAAACTCTTCCCGAGGTGGACTCACTCGGACTCATACCCACGGAAATGTATCCGGACAGCTGTATCGGAGTCTGGATGAGTATGCTGAGATGACTAATGAGTGAATTTTCTCACCTCTGCTCACAACAGCCAGTTTCAAGAGATCAGAAAAGTGTTGATATGCCTCATGTTCGTACCTCTTCTCTATGAGCAGATCTGTCTATAATTTCAGCAAACTTTTTGCAAGAAGAAATTCACCGAGTGCGTCAAACAAAAGAAAGCAAGCAAAACTCACTGGACCCTGGTGGTAGTTGAAGCCGTGGGCGCACTTGTAGTCATGGGAATCATTGCTGTTGTAGTAACAGCCGTTGTAATTCATGTCACTGAAAAGTTGACAAAATTGAAGCTGGTCACAGTAGAACCCCTCTAATGCATTTTCACAGAGACTTGGCAAAAACCAACCAACCAACAAAGAAAAAAGCACGCACAGTAGATGGGCAACATAACTCAGACGTGCGGTTAAAACTGGGGAAAAAAAATAGCAAAGCTAGCACTAAGCTGAGCAAGCCTTGAAACAGTGAAATTGGAAGATTCTGAAGACTGGTTGCTTCTAGGTTGTTTTTAGGCTAGGTGATGCAGGACTTGCATTATTAGGCTTCAATTTTGTGATACTAGGCTGCTTACACACTGACATTCAGCGCGGAGAGGTGCAATTTAAGCCATAGACAGTTACAGACACAACACAGGCACGTCGTCGTTGGCTTTCCATCACATTGGGCACTTCCCACAGCTGCTGTTGCCTTCCCGTTTCCTAGTGTTCTCTTGTGGTACGTATTTGTGGTTTTCAGCTCACTGCCACCACTTGCATCCTTTAGTTGAAATAACTGTTGCCTCTTTTTTTCTTTTTATTGGACCAGGGGTGCGATTCTTGCGGTGTCCAGGGCATGTCCACTTTGCCAGAGCGTGTGCAGTTACGCAAAAATAAGGTCGAGCCGTAACGTCATGGCGCTCTTAACGTCGACGCACTGAACCCACCCGCACATTCCCAGCGCAACAGAAAGAAAGTAGACGAAATGTACACTGACAGGACTTTTAAACAAACTTGACAAGTCTGACCTTGCGTATGAATGTGTTTGAAGAACGATGCAGGGAACGCACGCCAACCTTCCAGGTGCATCAGGCACACGGCCGCGTTAAATGTAATTATGATTTAGAGTTGGCTCATGTCCTCATATATGTGCATCTAGAAGCGGATCACTGGGGGCTGCATTCATTGTGGCGAAATACATCGGTCTTTCTCATTTGCGTTGAGAGTTCTGAAAGCTTCATGGCATCAAAATGACGTTGCGGAAGAGAGACTAGGAACAGGTGGCCCACTGACCTTCAGACAATCAGTGGGGGCCGAAACGGATGTGAGTACAGTGGGATTTACTCAATTGGTGCAGCCTGCTTATGATAGTTTTTTGGTACAAGGTAAACAATGTGCTTAACACTCCTGCTGAAAATACACATGCACTGCACACTGCATCACCTAAAAAAGAGATTGCTTCAAGTATTTCACTAACAGGGAGCAAACCAGGTCATGCAAATGTGGTCTCGGCAGCGCCTATATTCACATTGCGCTATACAGATAGTTAATGAGATGTGGGGTTTTAACGCCCCAAAACCACCATATAGATGCCATAGTGGAGCGCTCTGGAAATTTTGACCACCTGGGGTACTTTAACGTGCACCCAAATCTGAGCACAAGAGCCTACAGCGTTTTTGCCTCCATCGAAAATGCAGCGGCCATATTAGGGATTCCATCCAGCAACCTGCGGGTTAGCCTTAGCCACTAGACCACTGCGGCGGGGCACTATACAGATAGTTAAACCTCCAAGCAAGGAAGCCCGTAAAGTACTTCGTTATGTTGGCACATCATTATTTTAATTTCAACTTTTTAAATAAGTTACATTCACCAAACACTTCCTTATTGCAGGGCAAGTGCCAGAAGGCTGTTAAAATAATACAGCAGTACAGAAAACTAATTACAGTGCTGTGCCAGTGAAGTCCTCTTCACAGTGGTTGTTTATCACGTCTAAATGAACACATGTTCAATGCAGTGCAGTATAAAGGAATACACAAAGCTATCAGGCATGTCCTGCCTCCATGGCTTGACATGGAAACCTCAGGCATTGCCCAAAGTAAAGCTGGGGTTAGCACCGGTGCCTTCTGAACCTTAAGGGGGGACACTACACCTGAAAACTCCTTTATTTTAAGTTCTTTATTGATAATTAAGTGAAACTCGTTGAGTTTCACTCAGCGAGTTCCACAGATGAATCACGATTCCACAGATGAATCACGAATGTCAGCATATATTACCTTCCTTTACGTACTCATTTATGAAAGTGACGTTAACGTTAAAAATAACGACAGATTTAATATAATAACACAACCTCAATAAACTGAAATTAGAAATTGAGCTGGAGTTAACCAAATTCTAAGCTTGAAACGCGAGCTACCAGCAATAAGTGTGTAGCTGAGGACATTTGTTGTTACATTACCAATAATAATAATAATAATAATAATAATAATAATAATAATAATAATAATAATAATAATAATAATAATAATAATAATAATAATAATAATAATAATAATAATAAAGGCATGATATAGCCCAGCAAGCCACTGCTGATGGCAGTTCTAGCCAAACCAGAAGACCTTCAAGCCAAGTTGAAATTGTTGCCAAGAGAAGCATGTACAAATTTACAGATATGAGTAATGTTGCAATATGAAAGCCAGCTATGCCATGTGATATGCAGAAGCAACAAGCATCCAAACAGTTCTACCAACATGAAAGCTAAGTAATGCTTTAGTTGATATGAAGTACAAGTTGCCAAGCAGAGATTTCCCTGGTCTTGTTTATCATAGGCTGCCATATATATTGTGACAACCAGTACATCGGTACAACTGGTGATTTCAATAAAAAAGTTAAACAACACGAATATGACGTTGCAAAACCATGTGTGGCCTCGAACACCCTCGCTGAACAGGTGAATTCTACAGGGCACTACATTGACTGGTCAAGCATGTGTGTTGTAGACAAAGAAAAGAAGCTTGCATCATGCCTACACCTGGAATCTAGATACAGACGACTGCACATACACTGGACAGGAATGATGGGACGCTTCTGACAATGTACTCTCGCTGCCTACGTCACATACTTAGGCGTATTTAAGTACGCTGTGCCTTTCTTAAGACTTTTATTGTGAATAAGGCTCCCGTAATGGGTGCCAAAACATCAGTGAACTTAGTGTTCTATTGGTTGGTGTATCCTTTCGTGTTTAAACGAAGCAACAACAGTTATGCACAGCCTTTTTTTTTTTTTTCATGCCTTCTTCAGCCGACTGAGTGACTTCTAAAGCTTTGATCAATGGTATCGCTTATTTTTTGTGATGATCACACAAACTGCTGTCAGTTTCCATGATCTGGCGAGGTTTTTCAGAAATTCCCTGACTTTTCCAGAAGGGTCCGAATTCCCTAACCTTTCCAGGTATTCCAGGTTGGTAGACACCCTGATACTAGAAAAATGTTGCATATTTGAAACCTGCACACAAATATACATGACCTCGGCAAGTTTTATCTCATTTTATGAAGAACTGAATAATTAACAGATGCTTGGCTCAACTATGCTATGATATATGTACTATCGACTACAAACGGACGGACTAGTGAGTCAGTTCACACCAGTCGAGCGCCATCTCACTAGTGAAAAGTCACTCCAGGAGCTTCCAGGCCTTCTCAGGCGAGCCACCTTGCGCCATGTAATGTAACTACTCCTCGGGCATGTGCAGCACGGCTCTCAATATGCTCCACGACATTGCTCAACCTCGGACAGTGTAGTTTATGCTACAAAATATTTTTCAGGACCCATGCCCCCCCTTAAGATTCGCTTTCCACTTTGTTTCGTTGCATTTACAATCATTTGAGACAGTATACTTATTCTTTGTATTAAGTTCACAACTCAAGAAAGCAGAAACGCCTTCCTGGTGTGTGTTTGTAGGGTGGGAGGCAGGGGTGAGGAAAGTGCAAGAAGGGGCATACCCATCAAGAACACCGACATTAGAGTGGACAGATAGAGAGCAAAGCAGGGTACGGGCAAAGAGTTTTCTACAAGTACACTAGAGGGAACTCTGGCGCTGGCATCTAGGAAGCTGCAAGGCCATCAGCCAGCATAATGGTAGATGGTACACGGATTTAGGTAAACATCGATCTTCGGGCTCCATGTAGCCGCTTTGTCACAAGATGAAGTTCAGCAAACATTCAGCAGTTCCACTTCACCATCTTGACTTTTTTTAGTGTCGTTAGTTCTAATTGGCTCATGAAGTTTGTAATTATCTATTTTTTTATCCATAATAAATGCCAAAACACAATATAAAAAGCCACAGGTGTGTTTGAAGCCACAAGCACAACAATTAGGCAAGTTCGTGTGCTCTCCCATGGTGGCTGACCAATTGCAGTGCCTAAACTGCCTCTAGTAAACATTATAAGTGGTTGAGAGCCCCTCAAATTGTCACTGTTCAGCTTTAATGATCACCTGGGATCAAGAGTCTTCATTCCAAACGGGCCAACAAGGATCTCCTTTACAACATTCAGAGCATCCCAGGCCTTTTCAACAGTGAAAAGCTCAGGTGCCTGAAATGATCAAGAAAACAGGATGCACTCTCACACAAGCGTAATTGAACGCAGAAATTTGGGTTAGCTGGTGGGCGTAGAACTTGTACGTCGTAACATAGCAAGCGCAACATAGCAAGAAAGGCACATGTAAACAGAACGAACCCTAGACATCAGCTAGAAGTTTACTGGCATAAAACGATGAAAATTTACAAACTTGCCCAGAACCCACAAAGGGATGGAGATGGCACTGATAATGCAGATACCAGCAATGTTGCTTCAGTTACGCTGTTTCATTAGAAGGGTGTCTTGCAGGGCGAGTTGGTAATATTCCATCCATTATTGATGATGAGTGCTTTTTTGCGGCGCAAGGGCCAAGTGATGGCCAAAGAGCGCCATTTCAGTAGGCTAGAGATATGAACAATGATATGATGCGTGGCTGTAAAGGGGCCTTAAAATTTCTCGTGCTAATGCGGGTAAAAACATAGAAGTAATAAAATCATGACAGTGGCACGAAATATGTGCAGGGAAAGTGAATGGCAAAATGTCATGATAATAAAACCATGGCGGAGATGTAGTCACCGCAGCCACGACCACGGTACAGAGGTCGTGCTACGAATCACCTCGAAATATGGGGTGAAAGCTACGAACATCTTTTAAAAACATTAAAAGTGATTGTAGCTTAAAAAGTGGATCCCTATTTCACCCCCTTTCACCCTCTTTGACTCTGACGTTTGTAATAAATTTTTAATTGAAGTTAAGCGCTGGTGTTGTGTGCTCCATGCAATAGTTGCTGCGCTTCCTACCAAGACAGATTCATACCAACCGGCCTGATACATTCACCTTGAAATTTATGATGATGGTAATTTACAAAGATTGCTTAATATTTAAGTATCAGTTTCATTTAAAAGATGTTGATACCTTGAATACTGTAATCACTGCTATTTTTCAGCCTGTTGGTACAAAATATTTTAAACCTATAGTTGCTGCTCATTTTACATAGTTGTAGTACTTTTTGTTAGTTAAAGGTAATTATAATATTCTTTTGCCAATGCTTGTCAATATTTGTTTCAAATAAAATGTAGAATTCTCGAACCGTTTTTTAAATTGCCACCTTACCAGTTAAGGCCTGCTTTGAAAATTGTTGCCTTACTAATCGAAGAGTATTTCATTTGTGCTCAATTCAGTTTTGAAATTCACTATTCACACAAACCTAATTGTAGGAGCTCCAGTGAACATGTGAGCCAAAAAATTTTGCCATTGAATGCAGCAGGCAATTCACTAGGCTTGTGCGATTATTTGAGCAAATATTACAGTGTTTAAATTAACTTCAATTAGAACTTAAACTACTGAAAATTTCAAAGTATTCAAAATGAACAAACAGGTGTATATTCATCCAAATAAACTGTACTATTTCCTTGCATAGTTTGCACTCTCGCACAATTTGCACACCACTAATGTTTAGCCACTTTTACTAAAAAAAATCTACTTGCATATCTGGCGCTCCCTGCCCCGCTCGAGCCAGCTCGCCAGTGTGCACAAAAAGTTGGAACCTTTAAAAGGGCTCGCCGTTTGCCGAGCGTGCGAGTGCAGTCATACAAAAAGCAAGTGTGAAGTCCCTTCGTCTGAGGACTTGCAACGAACTTTGTCCCTACAACACCGCACCCAAACCTGTTGATGGGTCATCGGAATTGGAACTGATTGAGCGTTTGCCTCCCTCTATCTGACCACCATGACAATGCATGTTCACATCGCAGCACAATTTTCTGGATCGGCAGTCGAGGGCCCGCCTTGTCAACTGTTACCCTGCATATGCATTGCATAGCACGCTAGGTTGATTTCGAAAGCTTAGGTTTCGCCATCCGTTCGTCGCATCTTTATTGTTTTCCTGCAATGGGCTAAAATAACCATACATATGATAAAACTCAAGCTTGCTGTTATAAAGTTTGCCAAACGAAAGGAGAACTGTGCGACCACCAAGCCCTTCAGCAAGAAGTTCAACGTGTGACAATTAGTAGGGAAGAAAGCTGAAGAGTGGGCACTTGCTAATACACATAATTCCTGCCTTTGAAGAACACCTTTTCAAGTATGTGCAGAAGGTTAGGTTCTTCGGTATCGCTGTGCTGTGGGTATTGGTTTCTCTTAACATTGTCAAGAAGAGCTTAAAAATGTTTCTATTTTAGCAAAGTAATATGCAGGTTGGTTTGATCATGACAAATATGCTCATTTTTTTCTATAGCATGTGATACATACTATTCGTATTGGATAACAATCTTTGACCAAATTACTATTCATTTGGAAATCCCTTTGAACTTAAAATTTGTATTCGCACAAGCCTAATGAAAACAACACGCCAAGCGCTTGATGATTTTTGATATTTGCAAGAAATGATAAAATGAGTGACTTACCACAACCATAGCGATTGGAAAATTTGGCCGCAGCTGATAGTCGGCCCACGGCCAAATGGCACCGTACGAGTCCTTGTAAATCAGACGGCGATTAATCAATTCAGGGTGTAAATCATCATGGTGCACGGGCTGATGTTCAGCAGGCACCCAAAAACATGGTTCAAAGTTCTTTTTGATCAACGACCCCCACTGATCGAAAGTCATCACTGTTGTGACACCTGCAAAACAGCATAAGGGTATAATGTTGGGCAAGTGTTTCAAGTGAACGCATAATGAACAAGTGTTAACACTAATGTTGTCACTCGTTCTTTCTGCATCCTTATTTCTGTCGTTCACTTAAAAAAAAAAAATGAATGGAAACTATGATGCCTCGCTGAAACTACCTCCTAAAAACTTGGAGGACACTTAAGCCTCACTTTCAAGCGTATGTAGAATGCGAAATCGGGCATCGTGCGCACCGCCTTCTGACCTGCTCGCCTGTGTTCAGTTCCCACTGCGTGCCTCAACCGTGCCGTAAGCAAACGAATGGCTGTGGTAGTAACATTGGCCATTTGCAAGTATCATTGTTTCAAAAAGTGTTAACTGCACATAGAACGATTAGGAAAACGACAAGACAAGAAAATAAGAGAGGTAACCTTTCACTTTGTCCTTTTCTTAATCATTCTATGCACTCAAAACTTTTTAAAATCAATCCCCACCAACTTGCCCAAGCGTCAACCCTTTCTATCATTGAATGTCTACTGCAATCACAGCTGTTAAGTTCCTACTACACCATCATTCTTCCTTTGGCAAATCATCAAAGGGCCCAAGATTTCTTGAATATGTACTATCTATATACTGTTCAGGTTTCGAGGTTGATGGCAGGTACGATGGGTATCTTTAGGGTAGCTGGCTCCCCACCATTGTCCGCTTAGCCGATGCTCACCAGTGAGGAGACATCTTCTTAGAGAGGGAACGAAGGTTTATTTACATGATGTAATGAGATGGAACTGTACAGTGATCCAGCAGCGATTCAGCTCTAATTTAGCTAGTATTTACAAATTGTCCACCGCTTTTATAGCTTGTCGTCTCCTTACATGGAGGTTTAAAAAAGGTGGTGACCACTCTTGCCCACGAATCAGGTGACGTTAAGTCTCAGTGGTCCACCCACCATAAAGAGTGCAGAAATTGGGCCACTCGTGAGAAGAACGTGGTTGAGAATGTCCAATGGTTATCACGAGCGCATCGTAAAATGACGCACCCGGCCCACGCCTTGAAGGCATCGCAGGGTGAGGAGGTAAAGTCCGGTGGAGGGAGAAAGTTGAGCTCCTTCAGGGAGAAGATGGCCGCTAATACGAATGTCAGCAGCGGTCGATGGCTGCGTTATGTTACAGTGTACCAGAAGTTTCTTGAACATGGCAGTCCAGGTGCTCAATCTCTGAGAATGCTACTGCAACGCCTTCCCACGCTTCCGAACTGTCAGTGCTTTACGACGACCTCGGGAAGGTGACAATAGCCGAGTCGAGAGAGGTTGACTACATGGAAATGCAACCATGCTGCCGTCTCACGCTGTTCGGCCCGGCTCAACAACAGGGTTGTTCCGCAAAGCTTCAGTCGAGTTTCTCGTAACCCGGCCACAGAAAACAGCCTGACCCATCTGCAGGACAGCGTGGTGCTTTTCGCTTCTGGGGCACAAATGAGATTGAAAGCATTATAGCAGACTGGCTTACGCACAATGACGTCTGCTGAGACGAACTGCCGGGCCAAACATAATACACAGAGACTCTCTCTCTCTCTCTCTCTCTCTCTCTATATATATATATATATATATATATATATATATATATATATATATATATATATATATATATATATATATATTGTCACGTGGTCGTGACGTGGCCGAAGACAGGAGACTTGGTGTTGGGATTTAACTGTTTATTTGGGCGAACCTGTGCCCGGTAAACGGAAAGTCCAACTACAGCAGCAGTCTTGCACAGATAGCAGTCTCGGACTGATAGCGGCGAACGGAGCGTCGGCCTTCGATCAACAACTGACAAGCGGCGAAGCGCGTCGGCATTTATACTCTTGCCGTCGAATGTTCTAGTGTTATCGCTGGCGGTGGCGTAGGTTCCAGAACAATCTGTACCGTTCGCACAGTGGGCGTGATCTTATTGAAATGATCTACTACATGACTAATTATGAAATGGAAGCGCACAACGTAGAAGCAGACGGAAAGACAGGGACACTGCTTCTACGTTGTGCGCTTCCATTTCATAATTAGTCATGTATCACCAACTCGCCCAATCAACCATTTTGACGATCTACTACAGTCCGGAACCTTCTCGAAAACTGCAGGCGCGGTTTGCGCTGAGAATCGTGTGGTGTTTTGGGACGATAACAAAAACTTGGGAAATGAAACGTGGCAATATATATATATATATATATATATATATATATATATATATATATATATATATATATATATTGACACGTGTGTACTGGTGAACCAAAACGACGATAAGGGGATTTGGCGGACACCAGGTAGTGGAGCTCTGGCTGATCTAAGATAAAGTAGCCAATCTTTCTGTTCGGCTGCTGAGAGTCGCTGTGTCAACGTTTATCTGCTTTTGGGTCGCGCTGTACCGCGACACTGTTGGAGGTGCTAGGGCGCAACCCTACCTAATGCTCCATACTCTCACTGGGAGCCGTTCATTTAGCTCGGACACATTGTCACCCATTGCAACTCCCGTGCACCGGTTCAGTCGGCGGCTGATAGGCCTCACTCCAGAGTTCACTCCTTCCACGGAACCTCGCAAGTGCCGATTACCTCTTTAAATGGCCAACGCCAGTCCGCAACCGGCACCCCAAGGCCCCCCGCCAACACAGCCTTCATAGGTAACCATCTTTCAACCAATGGTTCCCGATCACTTTAGTGGCGGCACCCATGAAGACGTACATGACTGGCTTGAGCACTATGAGCGCGTCGCCAAGATTAATCTGTGGCCTGAACAAGAAAAACTCTCACACGCCTATTTCTACCTTGACGGCGGTGCGTAAATTTGGTATGAGGACAGAGAAGGCAGTCTGTTAACTTGGGGCGACTTCCGACAACAGCTTGTCGATACGTTCCCCAATGTCGATCGACGCGACCGTGCGCAGCAGCTGTTGGAGCTACGGGTTCAAAAACCCAATGAAAGCGTTACTATGTTTGCTGAAAATATGACTCGTCTTTTCCGTCGAGCTGACACGAACATGAGTGAAGATAGGGAGCTGAGCTACCTCATGCGCGGCGTTAAGGAGCAACTTTCCGCCGGGCTACTGCGCCACCTTCCAAGTACCATAGTTGACTTTATCAAGGAGGCTACAGCTATCGAGCGGGCCCTCCATCAACGATGCAGGCAGTATCATCGAATGTCTAGCAGCGCCCCAATCAATGCTGCCGCCATACCTGAGGATCAAAGCTCCCTGCGAGACCTCATTAGGGAGATAGTTCGCGAAAAACTGCAAAAGTTTCGGAATACAGTTGCTCAAACCCCCGTTGCGTACGTCGCTAACTGGTACGCGGCGAAATCCGCCACGCATTTTCTACCGCTGGTCCTGGTGACGAGCACCGTCCTATGAGCTATGCCAATGCTCTGCGACGTTCACCATCTGGTACATCGCCGCCATATCACCCAGTGCCGACGGCCCCCTTGGTCACCGCTGCAAGAGCAGACCCCAAGCCGACCGCCAAGCGAACCGACGTACCACCGGGCGTCCACAGCAGCACCATGGACATCGTCGCAAGAAGGGAGGTTCAGACGTCCACCGTTCCGAAGAACAGACGCATGGCGCACAATCGATCGACGTGCACTGTGCTTTAACTGCGGAGGTGCAGGTCATATTGCCCGTCATTGCTGGCACCGCAGTGATTCATTCCGCCCTCTTCGAACATGGTCTGACGATTGACGTGCGAACGAAGAATACATACCACGCCGGTAGGACGCCTCTTTCCATGGAGCCCATTCTCACTTTTACCAATACAGCACTTCTGACGAGGAGGCAATACCTACCCGCCAGCCAGGTTTGGGACGTCAATCCCGCTCTCCTCCCGCTCATTCACCTTCGTCACACCGATGTACCTCCGCGGACCTTAACACAAGAAGGTCACCCAGCCCGCGCCGGGGAAACTGAGGGCGGTGACCTCCGGGGGTAAGGTTGCAGGCCATGAATATGATGAGGAAAAGCCCCCATTACACGATGCTGTAAATCCGACAAGACGTGAGAGCGACGACATTGTGACCGCCGACCTGAGTGTTTTCCTTGACGGCCAGAAAATAACAGCCTTAGTCGACTTTTCTATTATCAGTCAGGACCTTGCCATCCGCCTCAAGAAAGTGAAGACGCTGTGGACAGGCCCTCAAATAAGGACGGTAGGTGGTCAGTTATTGATGCCCTCTGGAAGATGCACAGCGAGAATTGACATAGGAGGTTCTTCTTTCGTTGCGTCGTTCGTCGTTCTAGCCGCATGCTGCAAGGATCTAATTATTGGTATGAACTTCTTACGAGAGTACGGCACTGTCATCAATATCCCAGACAGTTTGATTACATTCCGCAACAGTTCGGGTGCACCTGATTGTACACAGGCGCGACCATACCAATTGCGTCTAACTGATGACGATGTGGTTCTCCCTCCTTGGTCATGCACGCTTGTTTCTGTGGCAGCCGCTGTCCAGTTTGACAGCAAAGGAGTAGCAGACGGAATAACCTCGCTCCTCCTCACACACGGCATTTCCGTCGCAAGAGGTATCGTCAGTGTCGCCGCTGGACGCACGGACTTGCTTTTGACAAATTTTAGTGATGAGCGCCGGCACCTTCCAAAAGGCATGGCCGTCGTTTACTTCGACGATATCACAGACGCAGAAGGCTGCTTGGCAGTAGTCGACGAGGCGCCAAAACTTGATTTAACACCATTTCTCGACGTTAGCACTACTTTGCCTAAGAATGAGCGAAAGAGGCTTCTTGAGCTACTGGCCGAATTCAAAGACTGCTTTTCGACAACATCAAGAGTTGGCCGCACGCCTCTAACCAAGCATCGGATAATTACCGAGGACATGGCGAGACCAATTCACCAAAACCCCTATCGCATGGCTGCAAAGGAACGCGAAGTGATACAAGAGCAAGTCGACAAAATGCTAGAAGATGACGTCATTCAGCCCTCAAAAAGCCCCTGGGCATCACCTGTAGTCCTCGTTAAAAAAAAAGACGGCAGCCTGCGCTTCTGTGTAGATTACCGAAAACTCAATCAGGTGACAAAGAGAGATGTGTATCCACTTCCTCGTATCGATGACTCTCTCGACAGACTTCGACATGCTCGTTACTTTTCATCGATGGACTTAAGGAGTGGGTATTGGCAAATCGAGGTAGACCCAAGAGACCACCAGAAGACTGCTTTTGTGACACCAGATGGCTTATATGAATATAAAGTCTTGCCCTTTGGTTTATGTTCAGCGCCTGTTACCTTTCAAAGACTTATGGATATTGTACTTTTTGGGTTAAAGTGGAAAACCTGCTTGGTCTACCTTGATGATGTCGTAGTTTTCGCCCCAACATCTGACCAGCACCTTAAAAGATTTGAGGCAGTTTTACAAGCCATAAGGTCTGCGGGCTTGACGTTGAAGCCTGAAAAGTGCCACTTTTGCTATGAAGAGCTGCAATTTTTTGGCCACGTTGTCATTCACGCAGGTGTTCGTCCTGATCCTGAAAAGATCGCAGCTGTTGCACAGTTCCCGGTGCTGACTGATAAGAAGGCTGTCCGACGATTCCTCGGACTATGTGCGTATTATAGGCGATTCATCGCAGACTTCGCACGCATTGCATCACAGTTAACCCGCCTCATGAGAGGAGACGTTGCTTTCCAGTAGAGCAACGAAGAGGAAGCTGCTTTTAAGAACCTCCGCCAGCGACTACAGACGCCTCCAGTGCTTGCCCACTTTGATGAGAAAGCCCCAACGATGCTACACACTGATGCCAGCAATATTGGTTTGGGAGCTGTGCTTGTGCAGCTGCAAGAGGGCACAGAAAGAGTAATCGCCTATGCAAGCCGAACACTAACACGCGCCGAGACTAGTTACTCCACGACTGAGAAGGAATGCCTCGCCATGGTATGGGCGGTCACAAAATTTCGCCCGTATTTATACGGCCACCCTTTCAAAGTCATCAGCGACCACCATTCACTGTGCTGGTTGACAAATCTTAAAGATCCTACCGGGAGATTAGCGCGTTGGAGTCTCAGGCTGCAGGAGTACGACATGACTGTCGTACACAAGTCAGGGAACCACCACATGGACACCGACTGTCTATCCCGCTCACCCATTGAATCGGCAACTCTATCCGATGAGGGGGAAACAGCATTTCTCGGTATGCTTGACTCAACCGCTATTGCACAGCAACAACGTGGCGACCCTGAGTTACTTGCCCTAATTAATTACCTGGAGGGAAGATCTCAGAAGGCACCGACTGTTTTCGTAAGAGCACTGTCATGATTTTGCTTATGGGGCGGAGTACTATACAAAAGAAACCTCTCTTCGACAGGATCTGTGTATTTGCTCGTCATCCCAGCAGCCCTTCGCTCCGAAGTACTCGAAGCATGCCACAACGAGGTGACTTCAGGCCACTTAGGTTACACAAGAACGTTGGCCAGAGTACGGCAGCGCACCTTCTGGCCAAGACTGACCATAGCCGTAAAACATTATGTTCGTACTTGCCTCGACTGCCAGCGACGGAAGTCACCGTCGACTAAACCAGCTGGCTTCCTGCACCCCGTGCAGGTCCCAAGAACACCATTCAACCAGATTGGCATGGATATTTTGGGCCCACTTCCTACTTCTACTGCTGGGAACTGCTGGGTTATTGTCGCGACTGATTACCTTACCCGTTATGCGGAAACAAAGGCTATCCAGAGAGATACAGCAGCGGAGGTGGCACAATTTTTCATCGAGAACGTTGTCCTGCGGCATGGTGCACCAAGCGTCGTAATCACAGACAGAGGAACCGCATTTACGGCAGCTCTTTTGGAACAAGTCCTCATGCTGAGTGAAACAACCCATCGTAAGACCACCGCCTACCACCCGCAAACGAACGGGCTTACAGAGCGTCTGAACAAAACAATTGAAGACATGCTTTCAATGTACGTAGACGTCAAGCCCGAAAATTGGGACGAAATCTTGCCATATATCACGTTTGCATACAACACTGCCAAGCAAGAAACAACCCGGATGACCCCGTTCAGCCTAACTCACGGAAGGAAAGTACGAACAATGTTAGATGCGACGCTAGCGCACGGATGCGACGACATCGAACCGGACGCCGAGATGTTTACAGAACGAGCGGAAGAAGCAAGGCAACTAGCACACCTGCGAATCCAGCAACAACAAGAGTACGACGCGAGCCGCTACAATTGTCGCCGCAGAACAGTCGTTTACCAGACCGGCGACAGAGTATGGGTTTGGACGCCCATGCGGAAACGAGGACTCTCTGAAAAGCTCCTAAGGAGATACTTTGGGCCATATCTAGTACTGCGACGACTGAGTGATGTTACTTACGAGGTCGTCCCCGACAGTTCATATAGTATGAGGCTTCGCCAGCACCGTCCTGAACTAGTTCACGTTTTGCGCATGAAGCCTTATGAAAGGTAGTGACTGCGCAAGACACTTCTTAAAGAACAGACAAAAAAAAACTGCACTACTGGTTTAGCATCGGGGCGATGCTCATTAAGAGGGGGCCAAATGACGCGTGTGTACTGGAGGACCAAAACGACGATAAGGGGATTTGGCGGACACCAGGTAGTGGAGCTCTGGCTGATCGAAGATAAAGAAGACGATCTTGCTGTTCGGCTGCTGAGAGTCGCTGTGTCAACGTTTATCTGCCTTTGGGTCGCGCTGTACCGCGACTATATATATATATATATATATATATATATATATATATATATATATATATATATATATATATTCGTTGAAGGGCCTGTCAATGTCCATGTGCCAACATGAACATTGAGAGGCTCCTCAGTGGCCTTAGGAATGTCCCTCAGGAATGTCAATTAAACGTACAAATTTGTTACCTTTGTACAACATCTGATGTACGTCCATCGGATGTACTGAATACTTTCGTGGACGTCTGATGACTGTACAGAATATCAGAAATGTACATCTCGTCATATTACTACCGGATATCCATCTTTACTTGGGAGTTTGTCAGCTTCACATAGCCTGGTGGCCTGCTTTTGCTTTCGGGATTCGGGAGCAACAGTTCCTTTGCTTTAGGAATGAAAAAAGTGGGAATTTTAAGGGCTTGTTTTTTTTAGACACAATATTAAAGAGAACTAACAGACAACTGTCAGTGTGCAACCTGTTACAACCATCAGTGTGCAACCTGTTAACAGATGAAGATGTATGCAGTTACACGAGTTACTTGAGAGTTATGAAAAAGAACATCATAAAAAAAAACAGAAAAGATTAAAGGACCAGTGTTGCCCACTGCTCCATGCATACGTTAACCCTAACACAGTAGAACTAGCACATCATCTACCATATTGTACACATGAGGTGTGCTGTCACTATCACTGTGGCTGTACCATGCTCAGTCTTCTCCACTGCATTGTATGGGTAGTAGCCGTCCTTGTACATCTGGTCCAGCCACCGCAAGGCAGATTTGCAGAGACCTACCAGTTCCACTGCAGACCCATCTCTGCAGAAAGGAAAAGTAAGTGCATAAAACCATCTAAAGAAAATATCTTGTTTCCAATATCCTTGTCGGCACACAAGCCCAGCAGTATGCAATTATTCACTTCCACTTCTGATCATTTACTATCAAACCACAAGCACTGACATAATAAATCAATGGTTATAATGAAAGAAATGAATGTGCATTTATTAATTTTTAGGTCTAACAAAAGCCACTTATACTTAGAACACACCTATACTATGGTGAGGCAATGTGAGTGGTGCCAGTAAAAGCATCTAGGAACGCCACACAGAAAAGATCAAAGCACCAGTGTTGCCCACTGCTCCATGCATAGGTTAACCCTAACACAGCAGAATTAGGACATCATCTACCATATCACTGTGGCAGTACCATGCTCAGTCTTCTCCACTGCATTGTATGGGTAGTAGCAGCCGTCTTTGTACATCTGGTTCATCACAACTTATATTTCTACCAAATGCATAGAGATGTGCTATATAAGATGAGTTCCTGGCATTTAGAAATGACATACTTCTCACTGTACAATCAACAAAGTGCTTACTAGTCTAGGCGAGGTCCGCTATGCTGATAATACTGTCACGGGGTTGTGACTTCGAAGTTTGAAGATCAAACTGTTTATTCAGCCAAACTTGTGGCCAACCAACAAAAAGTCGGATTACAGTGATACATGCTGGTACTGAGAGCGGCGAACCGAGTGTCGACTGTCAATCAACTGACAAGTGGTAGAGCGCGTCAGCATTTATACATGTGCCATCGAATATTCCAGCATTACTGCTGGCAGCCACATAAGTTGCAGAATAATCTGTAATGTTTGCAGTGCGGGCATGTCCTAACAAAATGATCTACTAGAATCCCGAAGCTTCTTGAACACTGCAGTTGCGGTTTGTGCTGAACATTATTTAGAGTGTAATGGGGTGATGACAAAACTTGAAGAAGGAATGTGGCAATATAATAATTGTTGCGGTTTGACGTCCCAAAACCATGATATCACTATGAGAGATGCTGCAGTGGAGGGCTCCAAAAATTTCACCTACCTGGGGTTCTTTAACATGCACCTAAATCAAAGTGCACCTGAGACTGTGCAACTAGCCTCGAGTGTTTCTAACTCCATTGAAAAGGCGGCCGCAGCGGCTTAGATTCGATCCCACGACCTGTGGGTCAGCAGCTCAGCACCATAACTACTAGACCACTTCAGCGGGTTAGGTCCACTATCTTGTTAGCCAATCATTCTGCGTCTTTTGATAAATGCAGAATACAGTATAGAACACCTATAATGCTTGTTGCCATGGCCATAAACATTCGCACTATAAGCATGACACTTCAAAAGCTGCAAACATGCATAAATCTGTGCAGACATGTGCAGGTGAATGCATCGTCATTTTCAGGTTGATGCACTATAAAGCTGTTGTGAATACAGCTCCTTTTGTCTATGCCATTGACCTTGTTCTTCAGTGTGAGCCGTTTTATTTCTGTTATAGTACATTGACAGCCTTATCTGAAAGAAGAAAAGAAGTGAAACTTCAAGTGCTTGTTTTTCTTTGTTAGACACAGTACTAATGAGTACCAACAGGCAACTATGCCAGAAACAGCCTTTTCGTCCACTTTTCTTTCTTCACATTTACATTAGAATTATTACTCAATATCCCCTATACTTTCCTCAGCATAATTGCACACACATGTGTTGGTTTTCGTTGCATTCAACTATTGTTTCAATAAACTTCAGTAGTCCCATGCTCTGTCTTTTTTTTCTTCTGCTCCATCTTGTTCCCACAATTTTTTTACAACACGCATCACTTCTAACATACTCAGCTCACTACTTTACTGGTACTTAAATTCTGCCTACTTTCCTTCAATCAGACAGAAGATTCTGTTCTGATAGATTTGATGCCTTCGGGTAGTATGCAAGACATCATTGGTCAGCTACCAGCTAGTAATAAGATCAGGTGTTACAACCACACACGCCATCATAGCTACTAGCAGTGCTGACTGACACTACCAGGTTGAAATGCACGTACATACCCCATAATGTGGATGGAGCATGACCACTGGCATAGCTCAGTGGTAGAGCATCGGACGCATTATTCGAAGGTCGCAGGTTCAGCCCCTGCCGGTAGCAAGTTACGTTTTTGTCCACTTTTATGTCTTCACATTAACATTACAATTACTAATAATAACATCCTCAATACTTTCATTGATGTCACAGTCTGTTAGCTCTCATTAATACTGACGGTAGTGAATGGGTGAAATTTATTAGGGAATGTTTTTGTGAACTTTTGGTGGAATTTCAAAATGTTTGTGCAGACATACAAGAAAGAAGAAGATGATGACAAAAAAGCAAGCCAGTGGCAGGTGGCATACGTGGCGGTGGCATGACAAGGAAAAAAAAAAGCAGACAAAGAAGAGGAGCATGAAGAGGGCCGAGCCAAAGCTGGCCAAAGGACACGCCGGGCCAGGGCACTTTCCTCGAAGATTCCTTTGGCCATGCTTGGCGAAGCTTTGGTGCTTGCCTGGTGTTCCAGCGGCTCCAGCTAGAGCACATCGAACCTGGGCACTCTTCGTGGAGCTCCTCCAGTTTGTTCCTGGTGATAGAGGCCCGGGAGCCACCCCGGGCCCCGATACCTGTCTGGGGCTACCGACACCGGGCTCGGCTTCTACTGTGTCAGCGTGCGGGACAGGAACGACCAGGTTCAGACACAAGGCCTCAGGGAGGCCTTATCTTCGTGCCAAGACTGCACGTGTTCCACCCACATGTCTGGGCTCGCCACCTACAAGGGTCATTGCCGCACGTGGACTGCTGCCTTCTCAAGACGACATTCGCTACAAGACCATGAGATCTTGCCTTTACCCCCTAGACCGAAAACTTCATTGATGGTAGGACTTTAGGTGTGCTCAGCTCTGTGCATGTCCGTGTGTAGTGTACCTCATTAGTTCCTTGTCTTCGTAAACATAGCTTGAAACTCTCTCGTATAAAGGTACTTTTCAAGGTGCTAATTGAAGGTGCTACAAATCTAACGGTCTCTACAAATCTAGCGATCCATGTGCACCACCCTCACTGCAGGACATTGAATGTGTTCTCACTGGCTCTGTTTGGCAACACCATCTCAAGTTACCTGGGTGTGGCAGGATGCCCCTTGTTGCCAGCTTTCTCGGAGCTTCCCATCTTGTCCATCCATGTTCCACAATTCCAAGGATTGCCGCCATACACGAAGCCATTCTTGGTGTCTACGCCAGCCTTAACATTGAAGCCTGAAAAGTAAAAGACATGCTCGGTACCTGCGCTGCTAAAGACAAACGAGCATAAAGACAGGCAAACGTATGCAGCGAGTTAGGGGGGCCTGGGGGCTCGGACCCCTCAAGGCTGCTTCATCAGGGGCAAAGCGTCCCCTGGCACTGGCCTGAGATATTTTTTAAGAGCTTGGCTAAGGCTCTCATCTATTGCCACTGAACTGTTTGCCACCCTTTTTTGCTGCTATATCACAGAGGACTGTTTATGCCAGCTCCTTTTCCTTTCAGGCTTTTAAAATTTCGGTTAAGGATTAATGACAAGTAGGAAGTCTGGCGCTATGGTCATATTGAAAACAAAGTCACCCGAAGACAAATATTGTGGCGTTTGCATGGCTCTTGTGCAAAATAAGTACAAGATATGTGCATCAAGAAAATGAGAGTTTTGTTTTATGTAAAAGACAATTGTTAAAAGCAAGTTCAGAGTACACAAACTAGTGACATAGTGACAGGTAAACTGTAGCACAATCGCACTACAATGTAATACATGAAGCTCTGCGAAAAGCTTCATAAAAAGCTTCACAAAACACCCACACAAATTACTGCTGCAAAACCTGACCGATTCAAACCAAGTTAAAGGAGTACTGACACAAAATTTTAAACGTGAGATAACCTGTGTGATATAGTTGCGTGAACGCACGCATCATCTATGAAATATCACTGAATAATATATCCTAGAACATCAGACGTAATAGCCTAGAACCCCCGCCCGAAAAACAAGCCTTCGATTTTCGTGTAAACAACCAACCACCCCTTGCAGCACGAGTTTGTGTTGGCTGCCCCAATCTTTGCGAGTGCTCTCTCTGAACAGAAATGGAAAGAGAGGGCATACTTGCATGGGAGTACAAAGAGCGATGTCCTTGCATCGGTGGTGCATTCTTTGGAAGTCATGCACATTTTCAACCCCTTAGGGGATTATAGCAGCACTCAGGATACCTTCATTGAAATAGCTGTCAAAGTGTGCTCAGGTGTTAACCTAAGCAATGTGTGCTCAGGTTAAACACAAGATTAAAAAGCAATTCAAATGTCCTGCACAAAAATGCAAAAACAATGCTAACATTTAAATTTCAGGACTCTGTCAGGTGCATCAAAGATACCACTTTGAACCATGTGAAAATTACAGAAAAAGTGGAATGCTTTGCATCTACCCATGCCTTTATGCACCGTCTACAGAGTGCTAGTTGCACTAGCTGCAGATGCCTCTGAAATGCGTACTCAGAAAAACGAGGACATATTCGTCACCGTGAACCTTTTGGTCATGATAAACAAGAAACCTTCTTTGTGTCCCTGCTTCTGTTTTTTTTTTTTCTTTTGCTAGTTTTTAACTTTGCATCACGTCTTTCATGAAGTTATGCACCAACAGGCCCAACGTCTTATATTGTTATATTTAGTGGTTCCAGCACAATTAGGCAAAAACTCAGGAGATGCCAATTGTTTCACTGCTTAGAGAACTAAAAACAAGGCACAAGCACTGAACATTCCAAAGAGCTCTCTCCAAAACATAATCTTAAGAATTAAAGATTATTCGTAAATGAAACAAGAATAGTCGTGCATTAACGTAACCAAAAAGGGTGAGAAGTTTACACCTGTCGTGTAAAGCTTAAATAAAGAGCAAAGCAGGTTGATCTTAGGGGCTTAACATTGCCTTCTTGGCCGATACAGGGACTTTCCTTGGCATAGACAGAGCAGTGTCCAACCACAGCCTTTCACGGATGGTGCAAAAATATCCGAACTCCAGTACCGGAGCTAATGTGCGAAACTGGCTGTGGCACCTATGGTAGAAGCACAGGCCTTTTATCGCTCGTAACAGCTCGAACCATGTTGGGAAACTCGGCGCAAAGGCTGCACGAACTGTCGCCATCGGTGGACGTGGCTGGTAAGCAATGGCACATGACAAGCAACGACGTGAAGGGTTTTTGTGGACATCCAACATTTCACCTCGTGCTTTAACAGCTTTGCTCTTAAAAAAACAGATGATATCCCCAAGTAGCCTTTTTTCCAGAGAGTATCACTATTTCTTAAATCTTTAAAGCAAGTAACAATTCCCAAAAACATAATATTTTTTAAATCAGTAGTTATATGTCTACAAACTAAAGTGCGCACACTCGACAAAATGAGGAACACTGCTAGTGCACCATGCTGGCATCACATTCAGTCACATTCATAAATGTGCATTTTATAAAGTCACAGCAAGCTGCTACCGACAAACCTGGTCCAACACAGCTCGAAAAATTGGTTTTCACGGACAAAGTTGAATAGCTCTTCTTCAAATGACTTCAGCTTTGTGCTTGTGCACTGGCATAAATCCAGAAAAATCACAAAGGGGGACACAAATCAGACCGTAGCAGGTTTTTTTAATATGGGTTGTATTTTTATTTACAAAAAAATAAAATCATGCTCTGAAATAAATTTAAAAAACAAGCATGAGGTCCGAGCTCGAGTAACTGCACTGTTTTGTACAGTCTCTTTTGAACCAGTCGAGGGGCTATACCGATCTCCAGTATCACACAGCTGAGTGGTATTGAACACAGGTACACACTAAAAAATAATCTGCCTTTAAAAAAAATTTGAATGTGCTGCACTCAACTGTCAAGTAACTAAAATATATGATGTTCTAAAGCTAAATCACAAACAAAGACACTTGCAAGGGGTTTCATGCGCCCTCCCCTCCCCCACTTGAAAATGAGGGGGGTCCAAACTCCCTTGAGCCCCCCCCCCCCCCCCCCCCCCATGATTTACACCAATGGACTTGTGTGGTACTCACCTTCATCGATTGATTTGATTTGATTGATTTGTGGGGTTTAACATCCCAAAACCACTACATGATAATGAGAGACGCCGTAGTGGAGGGCTCCAGAAATTTCGACCACCTGGGGTTCTTTAACGTGCACCCAAATTTGAGTACACGGGCCTACAACATTTCCGCCTCCACTGGAAATGCAGCCGCCACAGCCGGGATTTGATCCCGCGACCTGCGGGTCAGCAGCCGAGTAGCTTAGCCACTAGACCACCATGGCGGGGCTACTCACCTTCATCGGTCATCTGGCTATCGATCTGGTAGCCTGCATTCCTCTCCCTAAATGCAATGCCTGCAAAGTGGCGCTGGAGGGCTTCCTGTATCACTTCTTCAAGAGGCATCTCCTGCACAAGAGAATGAATCAGTTGCATGCGTGTCAATGACCATTCTATGTACATGCTGTAAGATGTGAGGACACTCGTGAGACACAATTAATCAGATAAAGTAACAATGCCAACCGCTCGTTGGATCGTTCATAAGCGGGTGATGCAACTTCAAGACAAAAACGTGTTTTCGTTGGAGCTCGCACTTCGTGGGAAATCTGCTTTTCCCAGTCAGTAAATTTGGCTATGACATGCATGCAACTAAAGTTCGATATGCATACCGTGTCTTTCACGGACAAAAAATACCACATGCATCAGATGTCGGCACTGCTTTGGCGAAGATGAAGACAGCACTTTCTGTCTTTGGGTTGCGTCTTTCAGCCAACAGATATTTGCTGCGATCAACAGACACTCGCCGTTTTACTTTATTTGGTCGAACGTGCCTTGCATGCAAGCTGAGAAATATTCCCACCAGAAAAGAACTTACACCATGCCTCTGTACAGCCACGCAAGACAGTGATGCACTTATGCCTCTGAAATACAGTAGGGTCTGGACAAACTCTGGCATGCTATGTATACTACTCGTATCAACTAGTGGCTAAGAAAGAGCTAGATACATTGAGCTTTGGATTATTTAATCCACTGCATAATAAATTTGTCTTCATTCACCTTCATTTAGTAGTGTACTGTTGCATATGGTTACTTTGCAGAAAGCACAGCCACGTTTCGCACGTCGTTCAACGTGTTGCTTCCTGTGAGTCATGTGAAAAGTGTAATATTTCTTTGCTCAAAATAGATATGACCAAAAATAAATTCGCAATCTAGCCTGCAGTTTCGGTCTATCTATGCCAATTTTCAAGTCTCGGTTTGATAACGTGCAATTTATTATCCGTTATTTATTAGGCATTGTCAGATTTATTAGGCATTGTCAGAACGCACAGAGCTGCCGTCGTAGGAAGGGTTTCTTGTCAATTGCAGGGACGGCCAGTGATGTATTGGCGGGTGCGTGGTCGTGCACAGACCCAGCCAGCTGGTCCACCACTACGTTTCCAGCAATCTCGCGGTGCCCTGGCACACAGCACACCACAACCTGTCGTTTGAGTGCGTAAATTGTGCATAAAAGAGAGTAAAGTAATATAAGGACAGGATTTTTATGTTTTTTCAGCATTTTCAAAGCTGTTACGACATTCAGCTAATCTGTGTACACACTGCACGTTGCAGTTCTAACTCATTGATATGCTTGACGGCCACAGATATCGCATGGGCTTCTGCAGTGAAAATACTTGTTTGCGGGTGCAGAACACCGGATTTTGAAAAGAATGGGCACACAGCTGCATAGGACACACCAGTATGCATCTGCAAAAAATTCCGGGCAAGTGCATTTATGTTGAAGTTCAAGGAAGTGTGTGCGGAAGTGTGCAGTAGGTGCGTGTTTAGTAACCTCAACGAAGGATACGTCACAGTCAATTATCTGCCACTGCCACGGCACTGGATATGCTGTGAGAGCCATCAACCGGTGCTCTAGAAGTGGCACGCCTGTTTCCTCAGTGAGGCTCCTCACACGGAGCGAGTAGGGCCGTCTCAGTGAAGGACAGTTGTTGAACAAGGCACCATTGGACACATCAGTAATTATGGTGTGAGTAGGATGCTCCTCGCCTGCGTTAACCTTGTGGTCGTATGTAAAGGACATGCAACATCTCTGCAGATGAAGCGACCATTCACTTGATTCTACATACATGCTTTTTACGGGACTAGTTCGAAAGGCACCTGTAGAAAGGCGAATGCCTAGATGGTGGACGGGGTCGAGCATCTTTAAGGGTGATGGGGTCACAGACTGATAGGTGATAGCACCGTAATCTAGGCGCATGCGTACGAGGCTTCTATACAAATCCATCAGGCATTTCCTGTCACTACCCCACGTAGTGAGTGACAACACTTTAAGAATATTCATTGTCTTTAAGCACCTGTTCCTTAAATACTTAATATATGGCATGAAGGTTAGTTCTGCGTACAATAATAGGCCCAGAAACTTATGCTCAGACTTTACAGCCAGACGTTTACCATGCAGGTCCATCTCAGTATCGGGATGAACGCTCCTTTTCCAGCAGAACTGGATGCAGGTTCTCTTTTGCGCATTCAGTTTAAAGCCATTCTCATCTGCCCATTGAGAGACCTTGTTCAAACCTCATCGAACCAGACGTTCACACACTGAGAGGTTACAGGACTGGAAACCAACCTGCACATCATCAACATATGTACGGTAAAACATATTTCATGGTATAATGAGGCGCAAGGAGTTCATTTTGACTATAAATAGTGTACAACTCAATACACCTCCTTGCGGCACTCCTATTTCTTGAACAAATGTACAAGACAATACAGTGCTTACTGGTACACCGAATGTCCGATTGAACAGGTATAGCCAACATTCTGCCCCGCACACCTAGGTGTGACAGGTCTTGAAGTATGCCAAAGGGCCTACTTGTGTCATAGGCCTTCTCCATATCTAGGAACACAGAAAAAAAATACTGTTTGCAAATGCAAGCATCACGAATTTGTGCCTCGATATGGACAAGGTGGTCAGTAGTGAATTTAGCCTCCTGAAACCCGCACTGGTATGGGTCAAGCAGGCTATTTGTTTCAAGAAAATGCATCAGTCGCATTTCCTTGAAAAAGCATCAGTTTATCATTTTTCAAAGACCTTGCACAGGCAACTCGTCAATGCTATGGGCCTGTAACTTGATGCTGAAGATGGATCCTTACCCTGTTTAAGGATTAGAAAAATTATGGCTTCTTTCCAGGCGAAAGAGATCACTCCGGATGAGCAAACAGCATTATACAAAGAAAAGAGGGTTTTTTAGGTTTCAGGGGGCAGACGTTCCAGCATTTCGTACACTATACAGTCAGAGCCTGGGGCGGTCCTGTTACAGGAATTTAGCGATGCTTCTAGCTCTACCATGAAAAGTTCATAGTATGCGTCATTACTTGTGGATTTCCGTTCTATTTTTTGTTTTTCTGTTCTTGCTTTGTAATATTAGAAGGCCGGACTGTAATGGGTTGAGCTGGAGACCTGTTCAAAGTGTGCACCGAGGGAGTTTGCTTGGTCTTTTAAACCGTTGCCTTGTGTGTTTGCTAGAGGAAGAGGATGTGCACCTCGCCCTACTACCCTACTGACCATGCTCCAGACTTTTGCCTCATGTGTATATGAGTTGATGCCAGATAGAAACTTCTGCCAGCTCTCCCTTCTGGCTTGCTGACACGTTCTCCTGTTTTGTAATTTGATGTTTTCAAAAATTGACAAGGTTCTGGTTGGAAAGTCTCGAAAGCGCTTCCATGCTTTGTTTTGTTGTTTGCGCGCATTGAGACACTCACTGTTCCACTACGGAACACGCCGTTTTTTGGATAATCCCGATGTTTGCGAAATGAACTTAGCAGCACCTTCAATAACAAAAGCAGTAAAGTACTCTACAGATGGATTTATGCTATAACCGCATATGTCAGTCCAACTTAAGCTAGCTATCTTATAAACTGGTCCAAATCGGCTTTTTCTATGAGCCATTTGGGACCATGTGCAGGACATTCAAATGATGTTAGTGTACTCAAAATTATAGGAAAATGGTCACTTCCCTAAGGATTATTTCTTACTTTCCATGTGGGTTTCAGAAGGAGCGATGGAGAGACAATGCTGAGGTCTATCGATGAGTAGGTATTATTAGCCAGGCTATAGTATGTTGACTCTTTTCGATGGAGGAGACGCGCACCAGAAGAAAAACTGTTCAATAAGGCGGCCTCGCCCATTGCAGCAAGAGTCACCCCATAGGCTACTATGAGCATCAAAGTCGCCTAGGACAAGACACGGTTCTGTAAATTCATGGATCGGCGACTGAAATTCGTGTTTATTCAGTTGATGGTGTGGAGTTATGTAAGTACTGCAAATTGTTACCAATTTGTTGAAGATGACAGCTCGGACAGCTATTGCTTCCAGGGATGTCTGAAGGGGTAAATTTGTACAGGCTGTTCCTTGATTAACTATTATGGCAACCCCACTGGCTCATCTCGGTCCTTTCGAAAGATAACGTCATTGTGTAGAAAGTTAGTGTGTCTTGATTTTAAGTGCGTTTCTTGCACACACAGCACTTTTGGTGTATGTTTGTGTAAAAGTTCTTGGATATCGTAGAGGTTCCTCAGCAGTCCTGTGATGTTCCACTGTATTATATGTGTCATTTTAAAGTTATCACCTCCTGCGAGGTGGCAAATGGTGCCCCATGAGTAGGCACATTCACAGAATTTTTGGACCTAACTGCAGGTGCAGTGGTCAGGGTCTGGCAGACTTTGAAGTCTGCTGAACCTGTTTAGCAGGAGGAAGAGCAGCACAGGCTACTCCAGCCATGGGCGCAGACGGCAAGACCGCGGTCACACTTTGTGTGACATTCGCGGGTGCGGTAATATGTGATGCGGCGCCCTGACGCGTCACATCTGCAAAGGAAGGAGAGTGCTTGTTATGAAGAGAGAAGCACTGGCGTGCCTCTTGAAAAGACAGATTGAATTTCACTTTAAGTTCAAGAATTTGTTTTTCGTTTTTCTAGGATGAGCATGATCGCGAGTAGGCGGGATGGTCTCCTCTGCAGTTCGCACAGTGGGTTGCAGCAGTACAGCCGTTCGATGAGTGTTCGTTGGAGCTACAGTTTGCGTAGGTAGCGCGCCCTCTGCAGCTTTGCGACCAATGTCCAAAGAGCTGACATTTGAAACAGCTACGAGGATTTGATATGTAGGGCCTGACACGAAGCTTGCAGTAGCCAGTCTCAATTGAATCGGGTAAGTAACTGGTACCGAAGGTGATAATTACATGTATCGTTGACAAATTTCTTCGTACCTTCCTTACATTCTGGTCTGGTCAGCCTTCCAATAGTTCACTCTCTGATAATCTAAGAAGATTATCAAAAATGACACTGCGAACTGTGTTCAAGGTTGTGTGGGGGCTTATGGAAACTGGGACATCCCCAAACGCTACTAGTTTAGATAGTTTGTCGTATTGGAGCTTGTCGCGAACCTCCAAAAGGGGGTCGCCGCTTCCCAACTTGCTTACACGATACCTTGGGCCAATTGCTTCAGTGAGTGTTTTTGAGACAAGGAAAGGTGAGATTGCTTGGACTGTTTTGTTTTATTTCTGACTATGCACAACATTAAACTTGGGGAAAGACTGCTTTGGTTTTGACGAAAGGAACTGTTCTTCGGTGTGCCACCTTATTGGGCGGCGATCAGAGAGAGGGGGAAAAAGTTGGCCATACAGATAGAGTAAAGTTCGGCAGCGATAGTGGCCACCCACCACCGAGCCCAACAGGGGGCGCTACAAGATTGAATAGTAAACACTTGGAGACCCCAGCCATGGATCCCCGCTATAACCGAATATAACTACCCAAGGTTGGGTAACTACACAGGGTTAACCCTCGCCGCCAGGAAATTTGGAAGTAAATAGAAAAGAGAAGAGACAGGACAGATAAAAAGTGAGAGATAAAGACGAAGATGTAGGGAGAGAGAGATAAGAAACGGCGACTGCAGATTTCCCCTGGATGGGTCAGCCCAGGGGTGCCATATATGTGAAGCCGGGGCCAAAGGGGTGTATTACCTTTGCCGGGGGGCTTAAAGATCCAAGCACCCAGCTTCAACTCAATTCCCAGGATCCCCTTTTCCCCGGACACCGCTCAGCCATGCACAGCTAGGCATGGGAAGGAGTCGAAACCCCCCATTAGCTCAAGTCCGTGGTGTCACTACACACCAAACGCCTGCTTATGCAGACGCCCCTGTGGGGAAATGGTCTCATCGAGCGCTGTGGGGAAATGGTCTCATCGAGCGCACGATGAGACCATTTCCTCACCAATATGATTCTATGTAAGTCAATGCAAGGCACAAGAATTGGGATGATATCCTCTTCTTTATTACGTATGCCTACAACTCGGCAAGGCATGAAGCCACTGACTACGGCTCCTTCTATCTCCTTTACGTTCAACCATCGCGGATCTTCCTTGACACCATTCTGCCAATTCATACTCATGTGGACCGTTCGATTGCTCGGACTCGGACTCTCTGCCACGCAGAGGAAGCATGGCACGTAGCTCAGCTTCATGCATTGGCATCCCAGGACTGTTCTAAGATCACCTACAATTCATAGCACAAAGATGTCTCTTCCAACAAAGGCAACATAGTTTGGCCCTGGATGCCGCTATGCAAGTGTGGCCTGCGTCAAAAGCCCCTTCATCATTTCTGATTGCCTCAGTGACCTGACATACTCAATAGCTCATCTCCTAAATCGTGGCTACCATTCTCCGCAGACGCAACATGTTCCTGTCACACGCCTAAAGTGCTGTCATCGGCGCGACTCGGCGTTGACATAGCTGTTACTCACCTGGCGGGTTTTGTCTCTGGAGGGAGGAGTGCTACACTAATGCAACAGACAGGATGAATAGCGCTTGTGTATCGGTGTGGGGGGCAGCCATTCAGCCCCTTTTTCTATCAGCGCATCTTCAAACAGACATCTTTCATTGTAACAATATGCTGTGTATTGCTGCAAAGGATCGATGTGCCGCGCAACAGGACCAACATTGACAGTATTTTTTTTCTTCGCTGACAATGAATACACCTAACAGACAAACTGTGAAAGCATATTGGGGCTAATATTTGATTATTTTTTTGCAACAGTTGAAGCCATTTTGCAGAATTAGACATTTAACTGCATGCTTATTAAGATTAATTAGTAAAACTTATGCAACACACTACATTCCTTAATTTTTTCTTTTGAAATGTAATAATACTGAGTGCCTTGGAATCATGTCTTACAAATTCGGCATATTTACAGACTGTGCATCGTAATTTGCGCCTTAATACAATGCTCCAGAGGCAACGAACACACACCTTAACACCGGGCTCCTGCGGTGGGCTGTCGTCAGTCGGATAGAGACGTGCGACCTTGTCTTTGAGAATAAGGTAACCATCAGGAACCTCCTTGGTGTAGTCCTGAATTGCCTGGATCCACCACCACACAGCGTCACGACAGTTGTACCTTGCGTGCGTGCCCTTATCCAGCAGGTTTGGAATGAGACCGTGTCGAAGGCAGCCCGCAAATGCCAGGATTATGTACCTGCCATTGTTGCACACAATACAAATGTCAGTATGTTTTGCCAATTTTAATTCTAAGAGACACAAAAAAATGAGGTGCCAACTTGCCTGCCTCCTCCTTTTGTGTTTGTTTTAGGCTTGTGAGGATATTTGAGCACTTCGAATATTTGGAAATATTCGAAAGAATATTACAGTATTTGAATTCACTTTGATACCAATTTTAATTATCCGAAATTTAGAGCTATTCGTAATGAACCAAAATTTCCACATGTGCACAAATTGAACGATGATGAAGGAGCTTGCTCCAGAGGTTAAAACCAGTAAACTGTGAATCCTCTGTACATATGCTCAATCATCTTCATATAAAGACATGACATGAGAGCTGTTATGGTGTGAGCATGTATACATGTTATATACACAATGTTTATTATTAACATATTCATGTACTATACCGGGTGTTCAAAATTAAGCTTTATGATTTTTTTAAAATTAGGCGCTCGAAGGCACGTGAGAACCACTTGTGCAAATAAGTTAAGCGGCCAGGGGGACAGAAAGTTAGATGATAATTATCGCTGTCAGCAGCCCAATTAACTAAAATTTAATAATTAACTTTTTACTGGCTGCGGTAAGTTGGCATGTTTATATTGAAAAAATGTAGGCAGTGGTGTTTGTACACAGTTTCAGTTGGAAGATTTTTTCTAGCACGCCTGTGTTCCGAGATATCCGGCTCCAAAGTTTAATTGTCTTTCGCACGATTACGCATGCAAGAGGGTGAGGGTCCGCGCAAAGCTCCTCCCTAAAGTGACGCATCTGTTGCGTGTGGTGTTTAGTGTGTGAAGAGGGTGGAAGCGTAGGCATAGGTGATAGCAATTACCCTTGCCCTCTTCGGCCGTCGAAATCAAAAATCGAAGAACGCTTGCAACCAGTGTCGTAACACGCAACTGCAGAGCCTCTAACGATAGTGGCAGATACCATGCCGAGATAATGGTGCGAGCGGAGAATCTGGATGCCAGTGCGCGTGCGTAATAATCACTAGAGAAGCATGCGTGGTCGTTGCCTGGGCTACGCGAATAGCGTGACTGCTGATGTCCGAGTACTGTAACTTTTATTGAAACAAGAGCAACAACTCCACCAATAATAACTGAAACAGTTTTATCCTTGCTAACGCATATTTCCTGCTGCTACATAAGCATATTTCGGTCATGCACAAATCTCATCGAAACTCTTCACCTCTCAAGACGTCAATGCCCCAAAAAGTGTTCAAAATGCCTGCCTTCGGCAGCAACGCAAAGCATGAACCGCTGTCGCGTCGACTCGATGACTCGGCGCAGTACTTCTGCAGGAATACTCGCACAGGCAGATGTTATCCTGTCCTTCATGTCATTAACATCGCTGGGCTCTGTTACGTAAACTCGATCTTTAACGTAGCCCCAAAGGAAAAAGTCGAGCGGAGAAAGGTCAGGTGATCTTGGTGGCCAAAACATCGCTCCTGCGCGCCCAATCCACTGTTGTGGAAAACGTCTGTCCAACCAGTTCTTCGCCCTGGTAGAAAAATGTGGTGGTGCTCCATCGTGCTGAAACCATACTTGGCGCAGGTCATTCAGGGAAAGACTGCAGACAAGATCATCAATGACAACACCTAATATTTCTTCTGTGTACATCTTTCCGTTCAAGTTGTCCTCAAAAAAGTGAGGTCCGATGATCCTGTCCCCGAGTATGCCGCACCACACATTCACACTCCAGCGAACTTGATGCTTGTGCTGCCTCAGCCAGTGTGGGTTTTCTTGTGCCCAATAATGGGCGTTGTGAAGATTAACACTTCCATTTCGGCAAAACCGAGCTTCATCAGTCCAAATTATTCTGTGCAAAAAGTCATTTTCTTGATCAGTTTTGATGAGGCCCCAATTGCAGAAGTCAACTCGCCTTTCAAAGTCCGCCTCATTTAGGTCCTGATGAAGGTAAACGTGATATGGATGGAACTTGTGCTTTCTTAAAACATTTGTGACTGTTCCGATGCTGCGACCGCACTGATCGGCAATCTGTCGGATGCTGAGCTCTGGCATCGAGGTTACGCACGCGACAACGTCGATTTCAAAGTCTTCATCGACGATTGCCTTCCTGGTCCGTCTCGGAAGGTGGACAGAGCCTGTTGTGCAGAAGCGTCGAAACAGGTTTGTGAAAGTGGGCCTTGTTGGAAGGGGACGGTGTGGGTGGCGAGACGCGTAAAGCTCCATTGCTAACGAAGCGTTGCCATTCATTTCAGCCATTGCAAGCACCACGTCTACTTTTACTTTGGTAGAATACCTCACGCCAGAAGCAGCCATATTAGCTCGAAAGGACTCCACGTGGATTTCCTTGGTAGACCTTCAATGCAGAGACGCTGTGCTCTAACCGGAGGCACCCTAGTGCAGGACGGTCCTGCTAACGCGTTCACAAGAAGATGTCTCAGTGTGATCTAAAGTCACGAAAAAACGTCGCGAAAAATGGTCTCCTGTTATCGCGTTCATCAGGATCATGCGTAAGGCTCATGGCGCACCGCGCTGTCACATTTTGATTTCGCCGGCCGAAGAGGGCAAGGGTAATTGCTATCACCTATGCCTACGCTTCCACCCTCTTCACACACTAAACACCACACGCAACAGATGCGTCACTTTAGGGAGGAGCTTTGCGCGGACCCTCACCCTCTTGCATGCGTAATCGTGCGAAAGACAATTAAACTTTGGAGCCGGATATCTCGGAACACAGGCGTGCTAGAAAAAATCTTCCAACTGAAACTGTGTACAAACACCACTGCCTACATTTTTTCAATATAAACATGCCAACTTACCGCAGCCAGTAAAAAGTTAATTATTAAATTTTAGTTAATTGGGCTGCTGACAGCGATAATTATCATCTAACTTTCTGTCCCCCTGGCCGCTTAACTTATTTGCACAAGTGGTTCTCACGTGCCTTCGAGCGCCTAATTTTAAAAAAATCATAAAGCTTAATTTTGAACACCCGGTATAAGGATATTTACATACTGATGCCGTATATACATTTTGTTCAAGAGCTTATTTACTGATCACATAGGCTCAGAGGTACTTTCATTTAGTATAATGGCTTTGTGATTCGTATGGTACAAAGCCAGAAGATATCAAATTATAGGATATAGTGGAAAGTTCAAGAGGGGTCCTGACGGCGATCCCGCACTGTAGCCGCGTTGCAAGTGGGTAGCACCCTGAGTGTTGTCTGGCGAAAGAGAAAAGAAACACGTCGAGAGAAAGTGCTATATATAGGCGCGGCCACCTAGTGGTTTCCCACCAAACCAGAGCACGCGCTGAAAGTGGAGCGAGTGTCGCCCGAGCAGCAGCACACCATCTAGTGAGCGCTCTTGAAACGAAGCGCAGAGCTGCGTCTCTAGGGGGAGCAATGATCACTAGTGTTCACACGGGTGCAACGACGAGAGACAACACCCAAGCAATAGAAGCAAGCTCCTAATAACTATACATAATTCTGAATTCAACTTTTTGTAAAAATCGCTTCACTGCAGCAATAAAATGTTATGCCAAGAAAACACCTGAAACGCTATGCCATGTAAACATTTACACAAAAGAAATCCACACTGCTGCAAAGTCTCATATCAATGTTAAATGAGTACATTATCCTCACATCGATTCATAACTGTTTAGTTTGAAAACTTGTAATATTGGCTTATACGTTCCAAGTATAGTAAATTCTAAAACATAACAAATTTTACAGGTTATCACGTGCGTTCTGTCAAAAGTCATGTCCTGGTAGTATTTAAAGTTGCTTCCTTTTCACTTGAACCAAAAAGAATGGCACTTGCAGGAGCCTCATTTCAAACTTACAAAAAATTGTGTGGGTTAGTTGAGTTCTGACAATAATGACCATTTTTCTTTATAACATGTCATACATACTATTCAAATTCGTTTCGAAATTATTTCATGAGATCACTATTGGCTCTCAGCCGCCTGGCTCTCAGTCGCCTCCCGTGCTTGCTGGATGGTCCATATTTGATCTGCCCAATCTGAGCTAATCAGCGCGGCTTTCAACCACACTACCAAGCTGTTCTGGGGAGACTGCATTGGCGTCCTGTATCTGTGCGCATCATTTTTATTGACATCAAAGTGTATTAAATATGGTAATTTATTTAATACACTATGCTTTTACCGTAGTCATAGAAATTTAATCGTGGTGTAGTGCCCCTGGTTTTTCATTTCTTTTGCGTAACTAGCGGTACAAGGTACGGTTTCGATTCTAAGTTGATTGGGTCCTTAAATTTGAAAAAATGGGTCAACCTACAATCGTGTTAATACCGTAAATTTCCAAAACCACCTTGACAGCCTGTCAACAGAGCAAGAGGGGTGAGGAATAATAGCCCTCGCTGGGTGCCAGTAGATTTCATGTGCGCCTCGTAAATGTTCTGCGATGTCAACAATACTCGCTTTTCTTGTAAAGTGCCACGAGGGGCCTCTGTCTATGTCACACTAGTGGCGATATCACAAGGTGCTGACAACTCAGATGAGCACTTACGCTTACTTCAAAACCTAATTAAAATATTGTAAAGGCAATGAGTGATCAATTGATTGGTTGATTGATTGATTGATTTGTGGGGTTTAACGTCCCCAAACCACCATATGATTATGAGAGACGCCGTAGTGGAGGGCTCCGGAAATTTCGACCACCTGGAATTCTTTAACGTGCACCCAAATCTGAGCACATGGGCCTACAACAATTCCGCCTCCATCCGAAATGCAGCCGCCGCAGCTGGGATTCGATTCCGCGACCTGTGGGTCAGCAGCCAAGTACCTTAGCCACTAGACCACGCCGGTGGGGCTATTGTAAAGGCAATGTTCGTTAATCATAAGCGGTCAGAAGTGCCCACCCATATGGGACTATCAAACAGAAGTTTCAAATTTGGTGTCAGAGATACCTTAAGGGTGAAGCATGCTACATTGCTGTAGGTAAAAATGACCTGTTGAAGGTAGGTACCATGCAAGAGTTATAAAGTCGGGTTTTTGAGACCTAGCAAAGTGCATGTTTGGACTAGCTAGCAGTCCATTGATGCTAGGTACTTTCATGTAAACTTCACTATACAGAAAATATGAAAAATGCTCTTTACTCGTGCTGACAAAAAAAAAACACAAGAAAAAGTCAAAGCAGCAGAAATGGCCAAGCATGATCAGCGTACCTTCCACTGCCCTGTCAAAAAATTGTGCTTTCTAGGTGTAGCACTTGACAGTGCCACATGTATTATATATAACTTCCTAGATTTGCGTGTAACTGATGTTTTTTATCCATCTTGTGAGCTCACTTCACTATTATCACATTTGGGTGTCGTATGTAAAGCTGAAGTGGTGCAGGTGAGCAGTTATCGTTACACATTATCATCATCATCATCATCATCATCATTTATTGTACCCTCAACTCTTTCGTTACCACGCCTATTCAAATGGATCGCCGCTGATCGACACTTTGGATTGTCAATTTCGGCATGTTGAATACGTTTCTCGTGAACCCAGCACTTTCTAGTAATTGGTCCAGCCACTTAACTTTCAGAATCAATTTGAATTTGCCAGTTTAGACATCATAGTGGTTTTCGACGGACTTTTATGCGAACCAATGTGCGTGTGTTGTGGGAAAAATGCACTTGGCTGGTGAACATGACAGAAGTCCATGCCCGTCGTGCTTATGCAACAGTAACATCAAAGTTCTGTAATCAAAAAAACCTTCGCAAGTCAAATATAAAATTAAGGTTGTCAGCTTCACAATATGAAAGTGTTTATCACTAATAATTGCCAGAAATTTATACCAGATATTCAATAGAAAACCGTTGCTATAGAAGTAAAAAAAAAATTTGTTCGACAAAAAATATTTCCGAAAGTCCACCGCATGTCTAACGTGTGGAGGCGGCCTTCTCAGCCAGTTTCCAGCAGCTTTAGTTTTGCTTGCATCGTTATATCAAATGCAGTGCCGCCACTGGTGTCACTGGTCGCTCCTATGGCGGCGGCGTCAAGCATGCATGGGTGTGCAGCTGTGCTGCAGAGTGCACGCGCTGCTCAAAACTATCTTGCAACCGCACCTGTATTGAGTGAAAACTAGATTAGAGTCCAAGGATAACAGCACCTCTGCTTGAAGTTCAGTGGCGGTGATGTTTTGCGCCAGCCTGCAGCTGTCTAGGGTTTGTTTTCTTTACGGCCTCAAGTTGTCTCCTCCGCCGCAAGTGTGTAGCTGCTGAAGTTTGAGCACAATCTTACAGCTACTCTGGTAACGGGACACGTCACTGGGGTGCGGCAAGCTGGCGTCAGCTGCAGAGCTTTCCCTCGCGACAAGAAGGCGAATGGAGCACATTGGGCCCGACTATGAAACAGCGCAAAACGTTTTATAACTGCGCGCTATAATGTTATTTTCTTTAATATGATGTGCAAAATTCAAAGAAATACGCTTGGAAGCTTATATTGGAACGCCAGCCTATGCGGAGAGATATGGCTCATGGAGAGAAGTGATGCTAGACGATATAGTGAAGTTCCTTATACATATGATTGATAGAGGGATTATTCACATCATGGGCATCCATCCTATATTAGAACACCTACAGGCTTTCATTGCAAAAAAACAAAAACAAAACAGAATACTGAGAAAAACATATGAGTTCACATGTGTAACACGAAAAACCAAGCAATGTTGCACCGCATCACACGAGGAATGAAGCGGTTTATTATTATTATTATTATATTTAAACTATTACTAGGTGACCTATCTTTAAATTATATATTTTAGTTTTTCACGGTTTTGAATATTTTAGCATATATAGCATTTTTTATAGCACTGCTTACCAGCAGGCTATTAAAATTGTACACTTTTCCTATTTTTATTTGTTTCAAGATATTTTTGTTGCTCTACAACATATACTTTTCAGAAGGAGCATTTCATTGTGCAGAATTTGGTATGCTGCAATGCATGTTGAAGTACTTTTTAAACTAGCAAAAGCTATCTTCCAGAGACATATTGCCATGTTCTTTTCCTCAAGCTTTGTTATCACCCTGTTAGACTATGTTCAGCGCAAACCGTGCCTACGGTGTTAGAGAAGCTTCGAGGCTTCTCTAACACCGTAGCTTCTCTTTTTTTAGAGAAGCTTCGAGGCTTCTCTAAAAAAAAAAATGTTTGCAAAAATACAGAATAAATGATTTCACTTTCAAAAGCTAAGCAAGGACAGTGCAATAGGCAGAACAAGTGGTATAACTGCTTTTAAAAAAAGGAATAGCACATGAAATAATGCTGTGATGGTGGCAGATTACGGGCCGAGAAAACATGAAAGTATGTGCCTACACATGTGTATTAACAGTAAAATTCAGTTAGAAGTTAGAGCTTGCATGTGTCATGTTCTTTTGTCCCTAGTTTTGGAAGTTTTTATTTATTTATTTATTTGATACTGTGAACCTCGTGCTATTGGTCATTACAGGGAGGGTGTTACATAATACATAATATTCACACAATAAAGCAGTATTCAATATCACAGAAATAAGAGATCAATAATCATCACCATGAAAAGAAGAAACAAACAGCAGTTACTATGCTGATTAAAAATCGAGAAACAAATGCTTCTAACAGAAGTTAGCAATTATCACTGCAGAGAAAGCTGTATAAAGCATCTTTTAAATTGCGAGGGTGCTGACACCCCCTGTAAAGTTGTTTGCACTGCGTGGCGCACGTGTTTTGCCTAAAAGCTGCATTTCGGGTTACAACTACTGTGTGGTAGGTGGCGTTGTGTTTGCGAGTGTTGATCACCGCTATCATCATCATCATAGTATAGCGCGGGCGGTGACAAGCCTTGGTAGCGGCGAGCGGGAAATAAGCTGGTCTCTTTGGGTGGTGGCGTTTGGCGGGAACGGTTGTCTCTCGTGGTGGGTGTCTGCCGTGTACGGAACCGTGGGCCGCCTGCGGTAGGCCCACGTGGTGAGTCAGGCGTTAGAGACACCGCCTTGATTGTCATGTTGTTGAGTGTTGTTTAATATTGTGTAAAGATGTCTTCGAGTGTTAATTACAATTGATGTATAATCATTCGGCTGATGATATCGTCGTTCTAAATTAGTTAAATAAATGTGTGTATCGTTTGGTTTGGACCGACCGCGTCTGCTGTGTTCGTTCACTCCAAGAGCATGGTGGTGGCGCTCACCATTTCAAGACACCACAAAGTTGATTTACATCGTTTGTTGCACAACTAAATCAGGTAAGCTATTCCACATTTCTGTTGCGTCTGGAAAAAAGGAGTGGCGGAAAGCATTCTGCGTGTGAAATAGGGTTGAATAGCTCTACTATTATTAAGACGATCACGTCGCCTTCCAGTTGGCTGAAGATATAAATACTTGTTTATTTTTGTTTGCCCACTTATAATTTTAAAAAGAAATTGGAGGCGTTGTTTGCGTCTACAGTATTCTAAAGACCCAAGCTCACAGGACTCTGACAAGGCCTTGACGGAGTGTGTGCGTTGATATTTACCACATATGAAATGGACTGCTAATTTTTGTATTCTCTCAATTTTAGTCCTCAAAACCTTTTGGTGAGGTGACCAGACAATACTAGCGTACTCTAAGACTGCTCTTATGAATGCTTTGTAAGCAGTTAGTTTCTCGTCTGGTGTGGCATGTTCCAGCTTTTTCTTGAGGAAATGAAGTTTTTTATTCGCCTTAAAACACATGTTATCTCTATGGGAGTGCCACTGTAATGTGTGCATGATACTAACTCCCAGGTATTTGAAACAAGCGGCATTATTTAAAGGTCGATTTCCGATGTGGTACATGACAGACAGTTGCCGCCCACCTGAGTGAATATGCGTGGATGTTGTCTTGCCGTACTTCATTTCCATGTCCAACTTTTTGCACCACTCATCTAATGCCAGCAAGTGCCTGTTCAGATTAATTGGCTAGCTTTCACAAGTCACTGGGGAATAAATCAAGCAGTCATGTGCAAACAGTTTCATTTCAATAGGTGCCTTAACCATTGAACATATATCATTATCAAATATCAGAAAAAGAATTGGTCCTAAAACAGACCTATGGAAAACGCCTGAGTACACGCGTAGTGGTCTTGAAGTATAGCTTTCAATTCTTACATGCTGTTGACGCATTGATAAATAAGCTCCTATCCATTTTAAAACTTCTTCGCTCGTACCTAATCTTTCAAGCTTAAAAAGTAACTTACGGTGAGAAACCTTATCGAAAGCTTTCCTGAAATCCACACAAATTACATCAGTCATTTTCGCGCATTTTCGTACATGTGGGCATCGGCATTTCTATAGAAATCGTGGAGCGTTTCTGCTAATTGTGTGACCGTTGAAAGTTTATACTAAGGTAGCATCAACAAATGGTGAGAGGTGTGGCTGTGTACAAAGTTATGGGGCAGCACAGAATCATGTGTTACCTTGCTTCCTGGAACCGGCCAGTAAGCAAAAAGAGGCCCCGTAGTGCGATGAACGTGTCCCGGCCCCAATTCCTCATGTAGCCAGCTGCAAAGTGAGGCAGCCCTGCAAGCACACCAGCAAGATGTTACTGTCTGACAGGTGTCTTGCTCAGCAAGTTGGTACGATAACATCATTAAAAGTACTCTGCAATGCTTTTTTGTCAGCAGTCTGCAGCGCTGGAGTGCGTGTAGTGCTGAATAGTGAGATAAACACAAAAAAAAATTACAGTACAATCTCTATGATACGATTACGGTTGATGCAAATTTTGCAATGATACGAATTTTAAGGTGCCTTTGAATTGACATTATACCAAGTACGCTGTGATTAGGCGTTATACGAACAAGTTCCCCAGCCACAGCTGATGATACGAACACGCGATTGATCGCTGCACGCAAACGGCGCAACGCGGCTTGTCTGTGGGCGGAAGGCTCGTTCACACCGTGCCAGGAAGAGAGTGAACGTGGCAAAACTCACGGGAATTTTTAGCCGTCTAAGTGGCCAGAAAACTACGTCGCGAGGCTGACGCGAAAAAATCCTCACGAGACCAATTTTTCTACCACATAATAGCGGATCACCTATTTGCTTCACAACTTATGCTACACAGGCTGCACTAGGTCTCAAACCACGTGATGTAAACAACGAGCCGCAAATTCAACATGGTGGCAAAGGCAACGGCGGTGACTTGCATCGATGCAGTTGCGAACTACATGCGCAGAACGACAAAGTTCACAGCCTTGACAACAACGCCTTCATCGAGAGTCTGGTTTATATTACAATCACTGTGAACACCTAAAGTAAAAGGTGCAGCAGCAGCGAGTTGGCATGACCTAAGGTGTCTCGCTTGCTTTTTTACTGCTGGCTGAATCCGTCGGCATCGCTGTCAGTGCATCCACTCATGTCGCTTCTGCTGACTTATCTCCCGAACTAACCTTTGTAGTGGTGTAAACTGTTTCTTTTGAGTGCTTTGAATGCATAACTAGAACTCGTTACGAATTTTAATGCTCAGGAAATGGGCAAAATGGTGTAAATTCTCAGGAGGCCAAGGAGGCAGTGGTAGGCAGAATGAATTTGAACAATTTTCAGTGGGCCCGATTGTTGTTTCGTGGCCACTCTGGCAATTTCACTTGAATTCTACCGTGTGAATGATTTTTTTCGAGTCGACCTCGCGGTGCGTTCTTCCGGCCACTTAAGCCGCTTAAGCGAGTGAATTTACAATAAGTGTTGTTGCTTTCCCTCCTTTCGATGCCAAGTGTGAATGCGCTTTAAGTGCCAGCAACATGAGTGTGGAAACCACGGCCATTATTCAAGAGGCGGTGAAGGCAGGAAAGTCCAAAATAAAATCATGGATGTTTTTTGAGCAAGTATTAGTTTACCCCAATAAAGTTCTTGTTCATCTTCCTGATCAGCTTCAACTGGTTTTTGGCTCATGCGAATTCGGGATGATATGGGTATTTTGCAGGCGCCCTTTGAACACGTATCATTGAGATTTTAGTGTATTGAAATTGCTGCATGTCAAGACAAGTTATTAGTCATTAAACTGAAAAAGCCCAGCAGGGAATGAGAAAAAAGTTTCATTTCATTCTCCCAATTGACATCAAAGGCCAGTTCCAATCCCTGCGTGCCTCTTACATGGCGGACGATTTGTCTCGTGGTGGCCATTGTGCAACGCACCTACATTCCATCCCACCACTACCATTCAGCACAACCGAGGCTACAGGGTGTGAGCAAGCCATACAATTACGCAGCGAAACATAGTTCCAGACGTTATTACCTTACAATTGACAGTGATATTTGCCCTTGTTTGAAAGATGTTACACCACATCGATGCATCATATGTTTATTTTTCTTCACATTGGTGTCATTGTGCCGTGAATAGCTGCATTACTAAGTGCTGGTAGCAGTATTTATACAAATCAACATGTCAGCGTCCATGCAGATATGACTGCCCGCTTCAATTTGAACTAGTGCTTACTCGCCCACTGCACTGGCAGCAACAAATGAAAAAATGAGCCATCAATTAGTGCCCTCTTAGGCTGAGGACAAAGCATCAGGTAAATTCTGTTGTTATTAGTGAGATAAGCTGTTTGTTTAGCCATGTCTGTTCAGCCTAACCAACCGAGAATTCAGTTATGGTTGTTAAAATTAGCACATTGCTGTCAAAGCATCAGCACATTATTTTAAAGCAAATACAAACATCGGTCTGTAATTTAAGCGTCATACAAAGCACAATGACAACTTGATAAATTCGAAGCACAGAGCACCAACTGCAACAGGTGCGGCCAATTTTATTTTTCTTTGCGATGCCATCAATTCGCTTCACTCGCCCTATGCATGCAAACAGATGCTAGGTAGACGCAATGCGGATGAATACATGTCGAGAGGCTAGTTGCCCATCTCGTTCGCTACCGGGGCCCTGTAGCCTTCACAGTGATGAAAGGAAGTTCTGAGATGGTGTATAGCACCATTCTACAGTTGTTTTCAAAATTTCATATTTAAAAACAAAAATCGTTTTTTATCTAAGAAAATATATAGAATGCTTTGATAATTTTTAGTGCATAACAGCGTGGCCTAGCTGGAATCATATGAATATTACGTGAGGCTTGTAGCGTCAAACCAGTCAAAACGTACGGTCAATGTCATCACTCCCATGTGATCAAAGCATTACTGCCAATCACAAAATAGCCATTGTGAGTTACTCTAGGCCAAAACCAATGTGGTTTCTCTACTGAAATAAAATTATAGCAGCTTTGCTTTTTGCACTGCCACTCGCGCAACACTATCAGTGCGTTCCACTGTTCAAAGAGCAGCAATAAAAACTACACGCATAATTTATGTCACTGGGCCCCATTAAAGGCCGCACAAAAAACACGGACAGAGAAAAGGAGCACACGTACTACACATTCTAGTGATGGACAATGCTGGTATTGTGACTAACAAGATAATGATTATAACTTGGCAGCAAATTATGTACTATAAACTTTCTTTAGCTCCTTCACTCAATGCAATCCACACATTTTCATTCTGTGATGTCTCTTACTTGTTTGACGGACAACTGGTGTGTTCATTGGTGTTACGTTTCATTGAAGTAAGCTACAAGGTTCCCAACTGACATCTTGCCTACGTCTACATGCTTTGTCCAAGTCATGGAAAAGATCTCAAGAGATAACCTTCTTCAAGTGTTAACACATTCAAGTGATGGAGAATGCTGATATTGTGACATTGTGGCAAATAAGATAGTGATCACAGGGATTAGAGTGAGATAGTGACATGGTAACAAACGATTTACAAACTTATGCAAGACGCATGTACCACAACATAAAGCAGCAAAGGTCCATGATATTAACTTTTCATCATAACTAGGCTTGTGCAAACATTCGAGCACTTCAAAACTATTCAAAACTTCGAACTATTGAAAGTGAACAAATAAGTAAGGAGCTTTTTTTCTAAATGGGCCATATCCAGAATCAAACCTAAAAATCAAATAAGGCTCTATAGGTGTATACATACTCCCAACTTTTCTCTAAAACAGTATTAATAAATTATGATGATAGCTACCCATTTACTATTACAGTTTTATAGAAAAGTTGATAGTATGTATATGAGAATACGATTTTGTTTGAGCTAGTTTTGGCTCATAATTTGGCTTATTTAAAAAAATGCTCCTCAAGTGTATATTTGTCCGCATATAATGTCCCTGTAAAGACGTTTTCACTGCAGTAAACGATCACTATACTGTGAATACACATACCAAGAAAAATTCCGCACTTCCGTGAAACCCCACTTTAAGGTTATATGAGCACATTGCCCTCGCATCATTTGTTTTTTTTTTTTAAGTTTAAAAAAAGCCTGATATACTGACTTGTGTGATGTAACGTAACACATTTCACAAACAATCGCTTGTATTCTGCCGAAAGTGATATGCTGCTACTATACAAAGTTGGTTCCACTTCCTTTGAACCAAAAAAAATTAAATTTGCATGTGTTCTTTTTTTCTGCACAATTCATCCCATTTCAACCTGCGCAATTTGAAAACAATTTTGTGCAAGTTGGTAGAGTCGTGACAAATATGCTTATTTTTCAGTATAACATGTGATATATTCTATTCAAATTCAATTTAAAATTATTTGACCAAATCACTATTCGCTTTGAATTCCCTTCGAACATAAAATTTACTATCCACACAAGACTAATCTTGACGGAAAAAAGAGCTTACTCAAGCACACAGACCAAGGAAGGCATAAATGATGAAACGGGTGCCCACTCGCAAGGGAAAGTTCTCTGATAAAATATGGATTCACAGCTTTTTCATTAGGCACGTGGCAAGGTTTCTGTCGTGGAAGACACAAAATACAAAGCCTTCCACATTTGCCTTCCACATTGAAATTTGCCTTCCACATTGAAGGCAAATTTTATGAGGGCACATGCATCAAACAGAAAGGCAATGTGGAAAAAAAAATTACTTGTGGGATGAGTTGAATGCGATAGCACAATCGGACGTAGTGTGCGTCACCTTCTGAGCTGCTCACCTGCTTCACTCCTCAGTGAATGCCGTAAAAAAATGAACAACTGTGCGCGTAACATAGGCTGTTTCAAACTATCCTAAAAGCCCACTGCAAGCACAGTTGTGATGTGCCCACTACACCATAACTACGTATTCCTCTTGCGAATGGCGTGTCCGCATAGGCCAACACGCGAACCTATATACATGCAGCTGTTCACTTTCTTGAAGCGTCTGCTGCTGATGATGATGAAATGTGTCCAAGCATTTGTGATAGGTGGGCCTTTGAAACACCCACTCATTTCACCATTCACATGCTCTGATATTAGGTGCGATTCTGTGCTCCTTCCATGCAATATTACATGCGTTAAGAAGACTTCTTCCATTTCATCACCATCACAGTGCTTTGTCTCAACGAGTTTTGAGCAATACCATCGCTCAGTGGTAGAGCACCTGCTTGCCACACAGACCGCGTGGGTTTGGTTCTGACCAAATTTACGTAACATTATTTTATTTGCACCTTTTTTTAATTTTCCAGTCATAGACGTGATAAAAATTTTTCCCT